TCGCCAATGGCGACTAGGGTAAGTAAAGACGGCTGGGCACAGTGCTAAACACACACCAAACTAATAATTAGCTCTACAAATGTTTTGAAAAAGAAATCCTGGTTATATAGTACACCACCAGTGGCGGAACTAGAAAAAAAGGGCCACCCCGCAAAAAAAATTTTTTAGGCCCTTCCCCCATATACATATATTATATAGGCCTATATATGTATATATGTATATATGTATATATATATATATATATATATATATATATATATATATATATATATATATATATATATATATATATATATATATATATATATACATATATAGATAGATATATATATATACATACATACATATATATATATATATATATATATATATATATATATATATATATATATATATATATATATATATATATATATATATATATATATATATATATATATATATATAGATAGATAGATAGATAGATAGATAGATAGATAGATAGATAGATAGATAGATAGATAGATATATATACACAAACACTAAATACGAACATATGATACTCTTTGCTGGCCTGTTCGGGTTATGAACAAAATAAATGTTTTTTTTTCAATTAAAACATCATGTCATGTGAGTTAGTGCTTTTGTGTGTTCTGTAATAATCAGTTTTATTTTATCTCAGCTTTAAGGCCTCGAAACCTCTAGTCGGTCAAAAGAATATAAACCATGAAAGCTTTGTATAAATAATGGTGTCTCGTTCTATGTTTAATTTTATGTTTGTTAGTATTTATATTTTTCATTTTAAATACTTTTCCTTTTTATTCAATGTTATTCTTTAGTAAGTACTTTAAAAAAATAATTAAGAGAAGTCATTGCTTTTTTTTAATATGTTTAGTACAAATCTATTTAAAGGAGCTTTTGAGCACCCCGATTTGACTATTTAAAAAAGGGAAATAAGTCATAGAAGTGGTTTAAAAGTCTGCTTATCTTTGATAAGTTTGACTGTAGGAGAAAGAGGACTCGGCTTTCACAATGGTTCAAAAACAAAGGGAAAAAGAATATACAAGAGCGTGGGGTGGTGTCTATAGAATAAAGATAATCCAACCGCAGCTACAGTAATCTTTTTTTTCACAAAACAACCATCAAGATAAAAATGCAAGATATTTATTTTTTTAAATTATTTTTTAACTATAAAAAAAATATTATGGTCGGCTGTGGGCTCCTAAATGGCGTGGGCCACCCCGCATTGCGGGGTCTGGCGGCACTGTAGTTCCGCCCCTGTACACCACTACTAGATCTAGTAATACTAGTACAGCTGTAGCCTACTAGAACTAGAATGTTATCCCAGGGCTACACTACAGTGTAAAATTCACAAATAGAACTGAGGTTTTAACTTTTGAGGATTGCATCCTCCCCCCCCCCCCCACCACCAACCTGGAGGACCAGGGTGCTAGTTTTCGCATTCCCCCTACCCAGTCTGATCTTCCAGCTTGGTTTAATTTACCAGGATCTTTCCCAGGATCTTTCCCTCCTTCTGGTAGAGCTCTGCAGGTTCTTGGGGTACTCAAGCTGCCACGCCAAGAACCCCAGTACCAAATGGAAGACGTCTATTTTAATATACGAGCCGACCCGCGGCGTATCATACGCCGCTATTTAGTTGTTTTATTTTCAACTTTTCAGTAATTCATAATTTGTGAATTTGTATGTTGGGTTCCAAAGATAAATCAATCAATAGGCCTACTCTAAAGTTGGGCGGGTTTCGCTTGCCTAGGTGGTTTGAAGTCTTGTATACAAAAGAAGATCTAATTTTTATTACTACATGTTATACATGGTTCTCAGGAAACACGTTCCTTTAAAGACATGTTGTTCTTAGTACCATCACCCCACCCCATATCTAGTGTTGTTAGTATCCCTGACCCCCCCCCCCACACACACACACACTTTAATCCATAGTTCTTAGTGCCCCCAAGTCGTGTTGACTGAGACCCGCTTACTTCTCTAAACTCTCCATGCGGCAATCCGCACTCGACTGTTCCAATACGTCACGAGACCACCCACCTCTATTAGGTACCCGGCATTAGTGGTAGTAAAATAAAATAAATGTTGTAATGAACCTTAAATCCTTTAACAGACGAAGGTGGTCAAAGAAATAAATAGCCTGCACCTGTCTATGGCCTGTATTTATATTTCAGCAGAAAAAAGAATTAGCGTGAATTAGTATTGCATAATACAATTGAATTATGTTTAAAGAAAAGCTTACATTTGTCCACATGTAAATTAATCAATCACAGAAACTTCTAATAAACGCATTTGATACAGGCTAGTTGTAATCTTTAATTGAGCAAGTAGCAACAATCACTATACAGTCCCTGCTAGTATGGTGGATCAAAGTCCCTGCTAGTACGTGTATGGTGGATCAAAGTCCCTGCTAGTACGTGTATGGTGGATCAAAGTCCCTGCTAGTACGTGTATGGTGGATCAAAGTCCCTGCTAGTACATGTATGGTGGATCAAAGTCCCTGCTATTAGTTGTAGGGTGGATCAAAGTCCCTGCTAGTACGTGTATGGTGGATCAAAGTCCCTGCTAGTATGGTGGATCAAAGTCCCTGCTAGTACATGTATGGTGGATCAAAGTCCCTGCTTGTATGGTGGATCAAAGTCCCTGCTAGTATGGTGGATCAAAGTCCCTGCTAGTACATGTATGGTGGATCAAAGTCCTTGGACGTGTCCATACAACAACAACAGCACATGACTGTCAACACAGCTTTGAAACCCGCGCTCTTGGCCTGCTCCTGCAGCTGTAGCCGCCGCAGCCGGTCGCTGCTGTACTCCCACGGGACGGTACAGTTGCTGTAGGGGTACGGTCCCGAGTACGGCGTGTTGATGAACATAACGGGCGGGTAGGCAAACTCCGCGGACTCCCTGCTGTTGGCGCCACATCGGGAGACTAGCTGGCAGCACATGGATGGCTCGAAGGATGGCCGGTTGCGGGGGCGGGGGTCGAGTTTAGAGTCGTCAGCGGGGTTGGTGTTACGGAACATCCCGGCCAGGTGCGACATGTCCCCCCCAGGATGCATTGTCACGCTTGAGTTAGCTCAGATGGGAGCTTGACTGGGATGGACTCGGATTTAAGTTGCTTGGACGTTGATGCGGTGGAGATTGGCATCGCATTTAGAATGATTCAAACTTTTAGAATCTTTTGCTTAAACTATATTAGACCTGAACTGCTTTGTTACTTGACTATGGCGACTTTTGTAGTTCCTTGTTTATATGTTTTATAGGTCTACACACTGTTGAGTTGTTTCTTGTTTATATGGTCTATAGATCTTCATACTTTTGTGTTGTTTTTTATTAAAAAAATATGTTCATATGGTCTATAGATCTACATACTGTTGGGTTGTTTCTTGTTTCTGTGGTCTATAGAACTACATACTTCTGCCATAGAAGGGAGAGTTTCTTGGCGAAAAAAAAAAAGTTTTAAGTCAGCCAGTAGAAACCATTGTAATGGGTTTTAGACATTACAACTAGACCATATTTTCTGCCCTAATGCTGGTGTTTTGTTTACGTTTTTAGTGTCAAGAAAATTATTTCTAAAATATTTTTTTGTGGGAATTTCCTGTAAATTTAGATAAAACTAGAGAGTGTGCAAACAAAAAAAAAGGACCAAAAAAATATGCCAAATATATTTATTAAAATTTAAAAATATATAATTAACAATAAATTTCAGATTTATCAAATTCGATTTTCTACGGTCAACAAAAAAAAAAAGTCAACAGCCAAACAACTAAATAACAAACAGACGATTTTGTAACGACATGTTTATACCTGCGACATGTAAACTATTGGCCTACAAGTCTAGAAAAAAAAAACTATGGCGATTTTTTTGTTCTAAAAATGTATAGTATACTTGTCGCAAGGGTAAAGACGGTGTAATGCACTATGCAGGGTCATACAACTGCTCCATGATCGCCGCATAACTGCACAGTTGTCTTATTACGGTAAAACTTGTAAAAAAAAATTCTGATTGTGATGGGTAGGGCCAGAGTCTCGACATGTTGGCATGAAGTGCGTGGACATATCACAGGCAAGGTTTCTTCAGGCATCTACTCGTTGGTTGGAAAGCCACCGCCCCCCCCCCCCCACCCCCACGAAAAACACGTTTACTTCACACCCGAATGAAATAGAATTTATATAGAAAATGTATACTTTTACCAGTGTCCGCCCCCCCCCCCTCCCTGCGAATAATTGTTCGCCCCCCCCCCCCACCCGCAAAGAAAAAAGTCTGAAAGAAACATTGCTCACAGGGGCGTGTGTCTCCGGGACCAATCAGCATGTCCATGCACAACTTTTCCTCATGCTGCTGTGCCTTGTTCTAAGTCTGAAGATTATTCCTGGCGTGTTATAATCGGTGTTTCTTTTAGATATGTTTCCACAGTATAGGGGGGGGGGGGCATTCAAACCTTTGAGGGGTGCACTTAAAACTTCCGAGGTATGAATGTTGGTTTAAATATATCTTTACTGTATAAATTACACTTTTTAATATTTCGTCCGGTGAAGTACTGCCCCATCCCCCCCTCTCCCTCCCAATGAAGAGATGCCTGAAAGAAACTCTTCAGTTTTCCAGTTTTAATAAAACTCTTATTTGCAATATATTTTCTTTGAGAACAAAACCTTGGTTCCTTTACCGTGCTTTTGTTTTTTGCTCTCGAAAGAGGAGAATAAATTATTTTTCTTTAAATAACTAAAAAAGCGTGGGTCGATATATTCTGTATTGAAAACATTACTATAACTTTATAAGCGACCAATGATTTTAGTTTTACTTATTTAAATAGTGGTGCATTTTTATACATTTAAAGAAAATGCATTTAATTTCTATAATTTCTTCTTATTAAATGCAAATTTTAAAAAAAAAAATTAATATTTTTTTTTGCTTTATTTTTAAGCGATTTTAAAATTAAATTCTTGTATTAAAAATACTTTTCAGCTTCTTTTGGATGGTGCGCACCGGTGCGCCTTTCATTTGAAACAACGCTCCAACATAATGGTAGACGACAATTCTCGATAATAAACAAACCAGGGTCTGCAACTTGAGAGGTGGGGACAGGGGCCGAGGCCCGTACCTGACCCGATCAGAAGCCGCCCACAGAATAGAATGAGCGCAATAGAAACGTTATATCCAAGGGTGGAAAGTGACACACGGGTCTGCAACAAAGGCGAGCGCCTCAGCTATGCTAATTGTGAGGTGAGCACAATAATGATTAATACTGATGGTGAGAGAATCTAGTAATAGATTTAGTAACAACAACAATAATAATAATAATAATAATAATAATAATAATAATAATAATAATAACAAAATAATAATAATAATAATAATAATAATCATGGTGATACAATCTAGTAATAGATCTAGCAATAGATCTAGTAATAATAATAATAATAATAATAATAATAATAATAATAATAATAGTGCTAATAGTACTAGTAGTCAGTGGCGTAGCGAGGTCGGGTGTCACCCGGTGCGGCACTTAATGGTGTCACCCCCCAGAGGCGTAGCGACCCTTCCCGGGGACAAATTTTCGATTTGCAACCCCCCCCCCCTCAAACTTTCGATTGCACCCCCCCCCCCCTCAAACTTTCCGTTTGCACCCCCCCCCCCTCAAGTTTTTCTCTATATATTTTGCTATTTTTTGCCTTGGTGTCACCCCCCTAAATGGTGTCACCCGGTGCGATCCGCACCCCCCGCCCCCCCCCCCTCGCTACTCCTCTGCTAGTAGTAGAAGTAGTAGTAGTAGTAGAAATAATAATAATGATATAATAATAATAATGATATAATAATTATAATGTTTAATATTTTTATTATTATTTATTATAATAATAGTAGTAGTTGTAGAAAAAAAAATTAAAAATAATTATAATAATAAAAGTGATGATGACGATGATGAGGAAGATGATGATACAGATAGAGATAGTGATAGTGGAAGCGAATGTGAAAGGGATAAAGATCCAGATAAAGAAAACATATATATATATACATATATATATATATATATATATATATATATATATATATATATATATATATATATATATATATATATATATATATATATATAACATACATAAAACATTTATAAAACGTATATATATATATATATATATATATATATATATATATATATATATATATATATATAACATATATGTATATATACCATATATATAAACGACGTATACAGCGACGTATATAACAAAAAAGATAACGATAACATTACAATTAAGAACGGAGAAGAAGAACGAAGTTTTAAAAATAAATTTAGAAGAGGTCGAACTGATAGTTAGTGACAGTTGAAAGTGGCGCCGTTCTTCCCATCGATAGATGTGGGTAGCCACACAAAAATGGTCGATTCAATGGAAATATATTTGTCTTTAACTCTAAAAGTATTTGACAGAACTTTAAAAGACAATAGTCGACTCCACATGATGAACATGTTACAACAGACTCAACATGTTACAACAGTTCACTCACTTTGTTACAACAGTTGACTTAACATGTTACAAAAGTTGACTCAACATGTTACAACAGTTGACTCACTATGTTACAACAGTTGACTCAATACAACAGTTGACTCAACATGTTACAACAGTTGACTCAATACAACAGTTGACTCAACATGTTACAACAGTTGACTCAACATGTTACAACAGTTGACTCACTATGTTACAACAGTTGACTCACTATATTAAACAGTTGACTCAACATGTTACAACAGTTGACTCAACATGTTACAACAGTTGATTCAACATGTTACAACAGTTGACTCACTATGTTACAACAGTTGATTCAACATGTTACAACAGTTGACTCAACATGTTACAACAGTTGACTCAACATGTTACAACAGTTGACTCACTATGTTACAACAGTTGACTCAACATGTTACAACAGTTGACTCACTATGTTACAACAGTTGACTCACTATGTTACAACAGTTGACTCAACATGTTACAACAGTTGACTTACCATGTATATCCTTCTGTCCAGAGTATAGTTGAATCAGAGGCGTGTATCGTAGTGATGCCACTGGATAACAGCCCCCATAGCCTCTACTGCCTGCAGTTCTACATACAGTATCTGCACAAGCCTCAGAATGTGGTAACCAAATCATATACTTAAAGTAAAGCTTCACACCTTTAAGACAAATATACGTATATATATATATATATATATATTTATATATATATATATATATATATATATATATATATATATATATATATATATATATATATATCTATAATATAAGCGGGCAAGTAGTGTGTCAGTCCTTCCTTCCGTCATCGCTATAGATTTTGGAACCATAAAAGTAAACATTCGCACCATGCTGTGCTTTTCAGTGCACCGCAGTGTCTTATTATAAGTATTAGAGTAGGGTTTGTTTATATAGCGGCATAGAGCTATTTTATAATTGCCACTGTGTTTACTCTTTTGCATAACTTAAAGAAAATATTAAACACACGCACATTGCTAAAACATATTAAAAGGATCAATGTCAAATATCATTTTCGTTTATATTCCTAGAAAAAGTGGATACATTTTAATAACATAATAACAGTACGGTAGAAAAATCAAATTAATTTAACTCTTTTCTAATTTTGACAAAGGAGGTAATTTAAAAATACATTTAAACTCACGCTAATAAAAAATGTGAATGCAAATATACGTTCGTCATAGAAGGAATTAGTGTTGCAATAATATAATTAGCAAAATGTGAATGCAAATTATTCGGATGTGTAAGAGGAAATTATTGTTAGAAAATTATAATTAGCATGGATTGATAAAAGGCAATCTTTTATTTATTTTATTCACTGAATGTAGGCCCTACTGTTTATTACTTATAATTTTTAATCAACTATTCAGCACTATTAAAGACGCGTCATCACGTTCATTAGGTGCGCAATGGTTTTAGTTATTAAACTCTTTTGTAAATTTTTAAAATTTAAAGTACTGGAAAAAAATGCGTGAATGGATAAAGTGAAATATTGTAGGTAAAACACGGATATTTTAAATACTGCCTATTATTTATACTGTTTTCTAATTATTATTCTATCTTTCGGGTTTTATAGGAGAGGCGTAGCGAGGGGGGCATATGTCCCCGGGTGCCGACCTTAGGGGGCGCCAAAGTGGGTTGGAAAAAATTTGCGAGGGGGGGGGGGTGGTGGAAATCGAAAGTTTTAGGGCGGGGGGGGGGGGGGAAGGGGTGCAAATCGAAAGTTTGAGGGGGGTGCAAATCACCGGAAAGGGCGCGATTTGGATCTACGGGCTACACTGTGAGCAATATGCCTTTATGATTGCATTTAAATTGTGTTTATGTTATGAGTGTTGTGTTTGTTTTTTCGTTTTTTTTTTTGTTTTTTTTTTTTTGCGTTCGTTTGTGTTGTGTTTAGTTTTGTTCTGTTCTGTTCCCAAGTTGGTACATTTAAAAAAGATTTACCGTGGCGGAGCACGGGATGCAGCTAGTATAATATAAGCGGGCTGAGCGTGTGTCAGTCTGTCATCGCTATAGATTTTGAAACCATAAAAGTAAACATCGCACCATGCTGTGCTTTTCAGTGCACCGCAGTGTCTTATTATAGGTAATAGAGTAGGGTTTGTTTATATAACGGCATAGAGCTATTTTATAATTTCCACTGTTTGTACAATTTTGCATAACGTAAAGAGAATCTATAATATAAGCGGGCTGAGCGTGTGTCAGTCCTTCCTTCCTTCCTTCCTTCTGTCATCGCTATAGCTTTTGAAACCATAAAAGTAAACAACGCACCATGCTGTGCTTTTCAGTGCACCGCAGTGTCTTATTATAAGTATTAGAGTAGGGTTTGTTTATATAGCGGCATAGAGCTATTTTATAATTGCCACTGTGTTTACTCTTTTGCATAACTTAAAGAAAATATTAAATACACGCACATTGCTAAAACGCATTAAAAGGATCAATGTCAAATATCATTTTCGTTTATGTTCCTAGAAAAAGTGGATACATTTTAATAACATAATAACAGTACGGTAGAAAAATCAAATTAATTTAACTCTTTTCTAATTTTGACAAAGGAGGTAATTTAAAAATACATTAAACTCACGCTAATAAAAAATGTGAATGCAATTATACGTTCGTCATAGAAGGAATTAGTGTTGCAATAATATAATTAGCAAAATGTGAATGCAAATTATTCGGATGTGTAAGAGGAAATTATAATTAGAAAATTATAATTAGCATGGATTGATAAAAGGCAATCTTTTATTTATTTTATTCACTGAATGTAGGCCCTACTGTTTATTACTTATAATTTTTAATCAACTATTCAGCACTATTATAGACGCGTCATCACGTTCATTAGGTGCGCAATGGTTTTAGTTATGAAACTATTGTAAATTTTGAAAATTTAAAGTACTGGAAAAAAAATGCGTGAATGGATAAAGTGAAATATCTATAATAATAGTTTCGCTGTCTGTCTATCTATCTATCTATCTATCTATCTATCTATCTGTCTGACAAGAACGCTCTAGAGAAAAGACAAGCAATTTAAAAACATGCATAGTAATTCGAAAAACGAAGTATGACGTCGACACATTTAGCGCACAGAGTAGAAAATAATCTCAAACCCAGAGAGTGCACACAGTTATATGACGTCATTGATTATCGAGTAAACAAAGGCAATTTGGTCTAATCTAAGTGGTTTGCGTGAAGAGTTTCTTGCATACAATTCTTCGGGTAGGGGCGAAGCCCCACCCCCCGCGTAAGAACGTCTGAGCCCCTCCCCCTCCCCAACTCAAAAGAAATTTCCTCATCGATACTCTATAATAAAATTAATGTGTCTAATCTAAAAAGTGGTTTTCTTGCAATGGGACGGTAGACATGTTTTTTTTTTTTTTTTTTGGGGGGGGGGGGTGGAGGGGTGGGGGGGGGGGGTGGTGTGTGGGGTGGGGGGGGGGGTGTGTGGGGGTGGGGGGTGGGGGGTGGGGGTGGGTTGGTTTCAGTGTTTCTTTCAGACTTTTTCCTCCCCGGAGAGGGGTGGGGGTACTTGAAATTTTCGGGGGCGGGGGTAGAATTTTCTGGGAGGGGGCGGACACTGGAAAAAGTATATAATTATATTTCGTTGAATGGGACGGTAGACATGGTTTTTTTTTTTGGGGGGGGGGGGGGGGGCGGTGGAGGGGGGGGGTGGGGGGTGGGTTGGTTTCAGTGTTTCTTTCAGACTTTTTCCTCCCCGGAGAGGGGTGGGGGTACTTGAAATTTTCGGGGGCGGGGGTAGAATTTTCTGGGAGGGGGCGGACACTGGAAAAAGTATATAATTATATTTCGTTGAATGGGACGGTAGACATGGTTTTTTTTTTTGGGGGGGGGGGGGGGGCGGTGGAGGGGGGGGGGGGTGGGGGGGTGGGGGGGGCGGTGTGTGGAGGGGGTTGTGTGTGTGGGTGGTGGGGGTGGGGGGTGGGGATGGTGTGTGGGGGTGGTGTGTGGGGGATGGGTTGGTTTCAGTGTTTCTTTCAGACTTTTTCCTCCCCGGAGAGGGGTGGGGGGTACTTGAAATTTTCGGGGGCGGGGGTAGAATTTTCTGGGAGGGGGCGGACACTGGAAAAAGTATATAATTATATTTCGTTGAATGGGACGGTAGACATGGTTTTTTTTTGGGGGGGGGGGGCGGTGGAGGGGGGGGGGGGTTGGAGGGGTGGGGGGGGTGGGGGTGGGGGGGCGGTGTGTGGAGGGGGGTGGTGTGTGTGGGGGGTGTGTGTGGGGGGTGGGGATGGTGTGTGGGGGTGGGGGTGGTGGGGGGTGGGGGGTGGGGGTGGTGTCTGGGGGTCGGGGGGGGGGGTGGGGGTGGGGGTGGTGTGTGGGGGGGTGGGTTGGTTTTAGTTTAGAGAAAAGAGACAGCACTATCAGCCTAGCGCCCGTTGTACCCTTCCTCAACGGGCCATTTATCTAGTTGTATATATTATAGATACTGCCTATTATTTATACTGTTTTCTAATTATTATTCTATCTTTCGGGTTTTATAGGAGAGGCGTAGCGAGGGGGGGGGGGGGCCTATGTCCCAGGGTGCCGACCTTAGGGGGCGCCAAAGTGGGTTGGAAAAAATTTGCGAGGGGGGGGGGTGGTGGAAATCGAAAGTTTTAGGGCGGGGGGGTGGGAGGGGAAGGGGTGCAAATCGAAAGTTTGAGGGGGTGCAAATCACCGGAAAGGGCGCGATTTGGCGCTACGGGCTAGACTGTGAGCAATATGCCTTTATGATTGCATTTAAATTGTGTTTATGTTATGAGTGTTGTGTTTGTTTTTTCGTTGTTTTTTTTTGTTGTTTTTTTTTGCGTTCGTTTGTTTTGTGTTTAGTTTTGTTCTGTTGGTACATTTAAAAAAGATTTACCGTGGCGGAGCACGGGATGCAGCTAGTATTAAATACACGCACATTGCTAAAACATATTAAAAGGATCAATGTCAAATATCGTTTTCGTTAATAGTCCCAGAAAAAGTGGATACATATTAATAACATAATAACAGTTCGGTAGAAAAATCTAATTAAACTGCTTAAACCGCTAAAAATGTGAATGCAAAATCTGCAAGACGGAATAATTGTTGGAATAATATAATTAGCAAAATGTGAATGCAAATTATGCAGACGTGTAAGAGTACATTATTGTTGGAATATTATTATTAGCATTGATTGATAAAAGGCTATTTTTTATTTATTTTATTCACTGAATGTACTGTTTACTAATTATAATTTTTAATCAACTATTCTCCATTACTATATTAAGTCATCACATTCATTAGGTGCGCAATGGTTTTAGTGAATTTATAAAGTGCAATATGGTCGGTAAAACACGGATATTCTAAATACTGCCTTTAATTTATTTGCGGAAAAGCTAGGGGTTTTATAACAGAGGCGTAGCAAGAGGGGGGGGGGGGGGAGGGTGGAAATCGAAAGTTTGAGGGAGGTGGGAATGTGTAAATCGAAATTTTCCGCCGGCGCTCGGAAAGGGCGCGATTTGGCGCTACGGGATAGACTGTGAGCAATATGCCTTTATGATTACATTTAAATTGAGTTTATGTTGAGTGTTGTGTTTGTTTTTTCGTTTTTGTTTTTTCTTTGCGTTCGTTTGTGTTGTATTTAGTTTTGTTCTGTTCCCAACTTGGTATATTTAAAAAAGATTTACCGTGTGTTGTGGTTGTGGTTGTGTTGTGGTTGTGTTGTGGTTGTGGTTGTGTTGTGGTTGTTTTGTGTTTGTGTTGTGGTTGTGTTGTGGTTGTGTTGTGATTGTGATTGTGTTGTGGTTGTAATGTGGTTGTGTTGTGGTTGTGGTTGTGTTTTGTTTGTGTTTGTGTTGTGTTTTTGTTTGTTTTGTTCTGTTCCAAAGTTGGTATATTTTAAAAAGATTTACCGTGGCGGAGCACGGGATGCAGCTAGTATATATATAAATATATATGTGTGTGTGTGTGTTTATATATATATATATATATATATATATATATATATATATATATATATATATATATATGTATGTATATATATATATATGACAAAAATACGTATATATATATATACTTTTATATATATATATATATATATATATATATATATATATATATATATATATATATATATATATATATATATATATATATATATTGTATTATATATATATATATATATATATATATATATATATATATATATATATATATATATATATATATATATATATATATATATATATATATTAGAGATGATAAGTGACTTGTCAATGTGCATCCACCAGGTCCATGTCTGTTATGTGGTGGAGGGGGAAAGGGACGAGGCACCCTCAGACGAAGGGGAGACGTCGAGCTGTTGCAAGAAGAATCGTCAGAGAAAAGCCTCGAAGCCTAGAACCAATGGGGTCAGTCTGGGGGTGCTCAAGGAACTGGAGGAGCAGGACAAGGAGAACTGTAACCGTTTGAAGGACATGGTAGGGTGGGGAGGGTGAGGAGGGGGGGTGGGTGGGGAGAGTAGGGTGGGGAGGGGGAGCAGGACAAGGAGAACTGTAACCGTTTGAAGGACATGGTAGGGTGGGGAGGCGGGGTGAGGAGGAGAGGGGAGGGTGAGGAGAGTAGGGTGGGGAGGGTAGGGTAATGTGGGGAGGGTAGGGTAGGGTGGGGTGGGGTGGGGAGGGTAGGGTGGGGAGGGGAGGGTGGGGAGGAGAGGGGTGGGGAGGGTAGGGTAGGGTGGGGGAGGGGGAGCAGGACAAGGAGAACTGTAACCGTTTGAACGACATGGTAGGGTGGGGTGGTGGGGTGGGGAGGGGGGAGCAGGACAAGGAGAACTGTAACCGTTTGAAGGACATGGTAGGGTGGGGTGGTGGGGTGGGGAGGGGGGAGCAGGACAAGGAGAACTGTAACCGTTTGAAGGACATGGTAGGGTGGGGAGGGTGGGGAGGGGGTGGGTGGGGAGAGTAGGGTGGGGAGGGGGAGCAGGACAAGGAGAACTGTAACCGTTTGAAGGACATGGTAGGGTGGGGAGGGTGGGGAGGGGGTGGGTGGGGAGGGTCGGGTAGGGTAGGGTAGGGTGGGGTGGGGTGGGGAGGGTGGGGTGGGTGGGGAGAGTAGGGTGGGGAGGGGGAGCAGGACAAGGAGAACTGTAACCGTTTGAACGACATGGTAGGGTGGGGTGGTGGGGTGGGGAGGGGGGAGCAGGACAAGGAGAACTGTAACCGTCTGAACGACATGGTACGGTGGGGAGGGGTGTCAATGAATATAGAGGAAAGAGGGCATGGAATTATGAAATGGTATGGAGAAGTATGAGGAGCAAAGGGGAGTTGAAAAAATAATTTAAAGACCTGGTGAGGAAGGTTTGAAAACATGGTGTTAAGGTATAGGTGATTTCTCATGTTTTCCTCTACATTGTCCAGTACCTAAAGTAAACAAATGTAGCAGGCTTCTTCGTTCTTAATTATTAGTGTTGATCGAGATTTATCTGCCAGTGGGTTTGAACTCGAGACTTTGTTCGAATTTATCAACCATGAGCTTTTTGCGACTCGACGACGCATCCAACACAATTAAGCGTTACGTGTCAACTGGTTATGCGCCATTGAGGCAATTGACTCCGATTTCAGCCTGCTTTTCTTTTTTGGATTTGCTTCCATAGCCTTTGTCCAACCAAGAACAAACTACAAGGCAGCAGTTGTTTAATTTTGGAGTTGTCTCTCCTAGAAGAGTGGCTGTCCCCAGCTAACGAGCCTCATCTGCCCGAGGGTTCGAACTCGAGACTTTTCGGTTTAGCAACCATGAGCTTTACCGACTCGACCACGCTCTATGTAGCAGGCGTTTCTCTGCCTTTACAGTTAGACACTGTAAGGGATGTAACTCAATATTTTTTCTTTATTATATGTATATAATTGTTTGTCTCCCTTTTTATTAAAGATGTTTTTGTTTGTTTTGTGCCATGTGAGTTAAATGTTGAATGCAGTGAGTGCCTCTGATTATTACTGGTGTTTATTTCTGTAACGGTAGGTTGTGGGGAGGGGGGAGTAGGGAAGATATGGAACGGGCTGGGCAGGGGGAAGGGCCGGCTAGTTGAGTTGACCAACCCAGGTACATACTTTCAAGACAACAAATTTTGTCCTTAGGCAAGCAATCTTCTTCAAACCCAAACAGGAAGTAACTATTATATATATATATATATATATATATATATATATATATATATATATATATATATATATATATATATATATATATATATATATATATATATATATCGTTCATTTTCTTGCAGGTTGTCAGGGTATTTACAGCGAACCAAGTCATGCACGGGTTTAAAAGAATCATCACTGAGAGTGATACCTGGTCTGCTATTCTAGATTTCAGGTATGGCCATTTGACTTGCATCAAATGGGTGAAGGTTTTTGTTGAAACACAGTATCGGCTGTTGCTATCAATCGCATGTATCGTATTTGGTTGTTTCAACCTGTATACATCTCTTGTGGCTACCTCCTGTATAAATCTCTTGTGGCTACCACCTGTATAAATCTCTTGTGGCTAACACCTGTATAAATTACTTGTGGCTACCACCTGTATACATCTCTTGTGGCTACCTCCTGTATAAATCTCTTGTGGCTACCACCTGTATAAATCTCTTGTGGCTAACACCTGTATAAATTACTTGTGGCTACCACCTGTATACATCTCTTGTGGCTACCACCTGTATACATCTCTTGTGGCTACCACCTGTATACATCTCTTGTGGCTACCTCCTGTATAAATCTCTTGTGGCTACCACCTGTATAAATCTCTTGTGGCTAACACCTGTATAAATTACTTGTGGCTACCACCTGTATACATCTCTTGTGGCTACCACCTGTATACATCTCTTGTGGCTACCACCTGTATACATCTCTTGTGGCTACCTCCTGTATACATCTCTTGTGGCTACCACCTGTATAAATCTCTTGGGGCTACCACCTGTATAAATCTCTTGTGGCTACCACCTGTATAAATCTCTTGTGCCTATCACCTGTATACATCTCTTGTTGCTACCATCTGTATAAATCTTTTGTGGCTACCACCTGTATAAAGTGTCGCTGCTACCACCTGTATAAATCTCTTGTTGCTACCACCTGTATAAATCTCTTGTGGCTACCACCTGTATAAATCTCTTGTGGCTACCATCAATATAAATCTTTTGTGGCTACCATCTGTATAAATCTCTTGTGGCTACCACATGTATAAATCTCTTGTGGCTACCACATGTATAAATCTCGTGTTGCTACCATCTGTATAAATCTTTTGTGGTGGCTACCACCTGTATAAAGTGTCACTGCTACCACCTGTATAAATCTCTTGTGGCTACCACCTGTGTACAGCTCTTGTGGCTACCACCTGTATACATCTCTTGTGGCTACCACCTGTATAAAGTGTCACTGCTACCACCTGTATAAATCTCTTGTTGCTACCACGTGTATACATCTCTTGTGGCTACCACCTGTATAAAGTGTCACTGCTACCACCTGTATAAATCTCTTGTTGCTACCACCTGTATACATCTCTTGTGGCTACCACCTGTGTACAGCTCTTGTGGCTACCACCTGTATACATCTCTTGTGGCTACCACCTGTATACATCTCTTGTGGCTACCACCTGTATAAAGTGTTGTTCCTATCAACTGTATAAATCTCTTGTGGCTACCACGTGTATAAATCTCTTGGGGCTACCACCTGTGTACAGCTCTTGTGGCTACCACCTGTATACATCTCTTGTGGCTACCACCTGTATAAAGTGTCACTGCTACCACCTGTATAAATCTCTTGTTGCAACCACCTGTATACATCTCTTGTGGCTACCACCTGTGTACAGCTCTTGTGGCTACCACCTGTATACATCTCTTGTGGCTACCACCTGTATACATCTCTTGTGGCTACCAACTGTATAAAGTGTTGTTCCTATCAACTGTATAAATCTCTTGTGGCTACCACCTGTATAAATCTCTTGTGGCTACCACCTGTATAAATCTCTTGTTGCTACCACCTGTATAAATCTCTTGTGGTTACCACCTGTATAAATCTCTTGTTGCTACCATCTGTATAAATCTTTTGTGGCTACCACCTGTATAAAGTGTCGCTGCTACCACCTGTATAAATCTCTTGTTGCTACCACGTGTATAAATCTCTTGTTGCTACCAACTGTATAAATCTTTTGTGGCTACCACCTGTATAAATCTCTTGAGGCTACCACCTGTATAAATCTCTTGTGGCTACCACCTGTATAAATCTCTTGTGGCTACCACCTGTATAAATCTCTTGTTGCTACCATCTGTATAAATCTTTTGTGGCTACCACCTGTATAAAGTGTCGCTGCTACCACCTGTATAAATCTCTTGTTGCTACCACCTGTATACATCTCCTGTGGCTACCACCTGTATGAATCTCTTGTGGCTATCACCTGTATACATCTCTTGTGGCTACCACCTTTATAAAGTGTTGTTGCTATCACCAGTATAAATCTCTTGTGGCTACCACCTGTATAAATCTCTGGTGGCTACCACCTGTATAAATCTCTTGTGGCTACTACCTGTATAAATCTCTTGTGGCTACCACCTGTATAAATCTCTGGTGGCTACCACCTGTATAAATCTCTTGTGGCTACTACCTGTATAAATCTCTTGTGGCTACCACCTGTGTACAGCTCTTGTGGCTACCACCTGTATACATCTCTTGTGGCTACCACCTGTATACATCTCTTGTGGCTACCACCTGTATAAAGTGTTGTTCCTATCAACTGTATAAATCTCTTGTGGCTACCACCTGTATAAATCTCTTGTGGCTACCACCTGTATAAATCTCTTGTGGCTACCACCTGTATAAATCTCTTGTGGCTACCACCTGTATAAATCTCTTGTGGCTACCACCTGTATAAATCTCTTGTTGCTACCATCTGTATAAATCTTTTGTGGCTACCACCTGTATAAAGTGTCGCTGCTACCACCTGTATAAATCTCTTGTTGCTACCACCTGTATAAATCTCTTGTGGCTACCACCTGTATAAATCTCTTGTGGCTACCACCTGTATAAATCTCTTGTGGCTACCACATGTATAAATCTCGTGTTGCTACCATCTGTATAAATCTTTTGTGGCTACCACCTGTATAAAGTGTCACTGCTACCACCTGTATAAATCTCTTGTTGCTACCACGTGTATACATCTCTTGTGGCTACCACCTGTATAAAGTGTCACTGCTACCACCTGTATAAATCTCTTGTGGCTACCACCTGTATAAATCTCTTGTGGCTACCACCTGTATAAATCTCTTGTTGCTACCATCTGTATAAATCTCTTGTGGCTACCACATGTATAAATCTCTTGTTGCTACCAACTGTATAAATCTTTTGTGGCTACCACCTGTATAAATCTCTTGAGGCTACCACCTGTATAAATCTCTTGTGGCTACCACCTGTATAAATCTCTTGTGGCTACCACCTGTATAAATCTCTTGTTGCTACCATCTGTATAAATCTTTTGTGGCTACCACCTGTATAAAGTGTCGCTGCTACCACCTGTATAAATCTCTTGTTGCTACCACCTGTATACATCTCTTGTGGCTACCACCTGTATGAATCTCTTGTGGCTATCACCTGTATACATCTCTTGTGGCTACCACCTTTATAAAGTGTTGTTGCTATCACCAGTATAAATCTCTTGTGGCTACCACCTGTATAAATCTCTGGTGGCTACCACCTGTATAAATCTCTTGTGGCTACTACCTGTATAAATCTCTTGTGGCTACCACCTGTGTACAGCTCTTGTGGCTACCACCTGTATACATCTCTTGTGGCTACCACCTGTATACATCTCTTGTGGCTACCACCTGTATAAAGTGTTGTTCCTATCAACTGTATACATCTCTTGTGGCTACCACCTGTATAAATCTCTTGTGGCTACCACCTGTATAAATCTCTTGTGGCTACCACCTGTATAAATCTCTTGTGGCTACCACCTGTATAAATCTCTTGTGGCTACCACCTGTATAAAGTGTTGTTCCTATCAACTGTATAAATCTCTTGTGGCTACCACCTGTATAAATCTCTTGTGGCTACCACCTGTATAAATCTCTTGTGGCTACCACCTGTATAAATCTCTTGTGGCTACCACCTGTATAAATCTCTTGTGGCTACCACCTGTATAAATCTCTTGTGGCTACCACCTGTATAAATCTCTTGTGGCTACCACCTGTATAAATCTCTTGTGGCTACCACCTGTATAAATCTCTTGTTGCTACCATCTGTATAAATCTTTTGTGGCTACCACCTGTATAAAGTGTCGCTGCTACCACCTGTATAAATCTCTTGTTGCTACCACCTGTATAAATCTCTTGTGGCTACCACCTGTATAAATCTCTTGTGGCTACCACATGTATAAATCTCGTGTTGCTACCATCTGTATAAATCTTTTGTGGCTACCACCTGTATAAAGTGTCACTGCTACCACCTGTATAAATCTCTTGTTGCTACCACGTGTATACATCTCTTGTGGCTACCACCTGTATAAAGTGTCACTGCTACCACCTGTATAAATCTCTTGTTGCTAGCACCTGTATACATCTCTTGTGGCTACCACCTGTGTACAGCTCTTGTAGCTACCACCTGTATACATCTCTTGTAGCTACCACCTGTATACATCTCTTGTGGCTGCCACCGGTATAAAGTGTTGTTCCTATTAACTGTATAAATCTCTTGTGGCTACCACGTGTATACATCTCTTGTGGCTACCACCTGTATAAAGTGTTGTTTCTATCACCTGTATGTATCTCTTGTGGCTACCACGTGTATACATCTCTTGTGGCTACCACCTGTATAAAGTGTTGTTTCTATCACCTGTATGTATCTCTTGTGGCTATCGCACCTGCCCCTCCCCTTCCCTGTGACGTTACTAGTTAATAGCAGTGTTTCTTCCAGACTTTTTTCTCCGGGAGGGCACTTGAAATTTTCTGGGGGGGCGGTAAACTTTCTTCGGGGGGGGGGCGGACACTGTTAAAAGTATATATTGCCCCCCCCCCCCCCCCCCCCCCCCCCGAAGAGATGCCTGGAAGAGACTCTGGTTATTAGACGCATTAAATATTTTTTAAAAAACCTAGCGATGTATTCTACTGGGTACTGCTTTTTCTTCTTCGTCTAGGCGAGACGTGGAGGGGTCGCTGATCGTGATGGGCTCGCGGGGCCAGTCCACGCTCAAGAAAAGCATCTTCGGGAGCGTCAGTGACAAAGTTCTCAAGCATTCCATGGTGCCGGTGCTGGTGATCAAAGAACCTGTTTCCAACCGTCGGAGCAAATCAGCGCGGGATACAATGATCCACTGAATCTAGAATCAAGTTCACGTTGCTACATTGCAGTCGTGTGGCCACCGTACGTGAATCTGTTCTGCCAAATGTATTAAATCTTGTCTGCCAAATAAGAAACACGCCGACCAAAAATGAATTTGTTTTTTGCCAAATACAGATCTGAAATAATCTTGTCTGCCAAATAGGAAAAGTGTTGGCCTAAAAGTAAGCTTATAAAAATAAAACAATGTTTTCTTTTTTAAAAGCCCAGGAGTTTTTTATTTAATTAGTGTGTACATATTCTTTTTAAGTTCGTTTATATTAAGATTTAAAACAAAAAATCGATAGCAATAGGGCTGGTAAGTAGGTCACCAAACATTTCAATGGCTTATGCAGGTTTTATTGAGCTGTAGAACTGGTTGGTGACCTACTTACCAGCCCTATTAAATCTGATGATAACGCTGCTTAACGGACTGTATATAGCCTACAAAGAGATTTCGTCGAACCCTTTTCTAGCACAATATCCAAACATAGGGCTAATTTTAGAGTTAAACATATAATTTGCAAGGGTACATGATTTTAATGAATACATTTTTATCTGGTTGAAATGTGCATGAAGTGCCATAGCAGCAGCTATGAGACAAGTAATGCCCGACAGAGGAGTCGGGAGAAGGGCATATATAAATGTCAAGGGGAGCAATTATACATTTGTTATTTGAATTTAATATTGTTAAATTTCGTCAAAGAGGATTCGATATTAAAGAAAAAGTGTGACATATGTAATATAAAAATGATTCTATAGGGCCTATATTATAGGCTATAAAATTATATCCACTTTTTAGATTAATATATTGGCTTAAAGATGCCTATATTGAAAAGAACGCGCTTTCAGCTATAATTGATATTGCTTGGAACCTGAATGCTTTACTTCTGTAATGTCAACAACTTTCAGAAAGCATTTGCAGCTGTAAAAACGGTAGTAAAAGCCATGAAGAAAATTAAGAATGTTGAATCAGGTAGAACAGATGGCATCCTATAAGAGTTACTTCAAACGGATTCAGCTGCACAGCAGTAATGTTGCTGAAAATGTGAGAACCATTTCAAACCCCTGCAAATTAGAAATCGGGATAACAAGTAAAGCTGCTAAGGATTGTTGATCTTTCTCAATATTTGGCATCATGCTATAATCTGTCCCTAGCAAGGTTTTCACGAGAACTATGCTGAAAGAGGCCAGAGCAGTCAGGTGTTTACCAGGTCACATACTAACCACATAACCACTAGGCTTATTATTATTCAAAAGTTAATTGCCTCACTAATGCACTTTAGTCGATTTTGTGAAATGATTGTATAGTGTGGACAGAGATGTCTTCTGAAAGTTGATGTGTCACACCAGGGACCCCTTCGTAATTCATCATCATCCAATGGCACAATGAAGACTCCAACTGCCAGATTATCCACGGCAAAGAGTTATCCATTAAGAGAAAAAGATTTCTGCCTCAGACGATGATTCTGATACGTGGAGAGAAATACAACTAAAAATAACGAGAGATTTTCGTAGACGCATCCCCGAGTCGTATACAGTGTTTCTTCCAGATTTTTTTCTCCGGGGGGGGGGGGGGGGTCCCTTGAAATTTTCGGGGGGGGGGGGGGGGTAAACTTTCTTCGGGGGGGGCGGACACTGTTAAAAGTATATATTTTCTATATAGGCCTAAATGATATAAATTTCATTTCGTTGGGGGGGGTAGACTTTTTTCTGGGGGGGGGGGGGGGGCGAAGAGATGCCTGGAAGAAACTCTGGTCGTATAATGAACATTTGGCGGCCTGAAAAAAATACAAACACCCCAATATGGAGAAAAACAACTGGGGGAAAACACTATTGGCAAAGGCATACAAAGACACGAATGGGGACGGATTGGACACACCTTGCGCTAAGCAGCAAACAACATCACCAGATAGGCACCACACTGGAATTCGCTAAGGGAAAGAGACAAGAAGGAAGGAATCTTTTACTGACATGTATTTGTTTTGTTTTCCTCTTTTCAGTGCTTTTAAAGGCTTGTTATTATAAGGGATTTCATTTGTTTTCTTTTCCACGTTTTAGTCTAAATGAGGTTGACATCACGTAGGCTACTGTAATAAAACTGAAATCTAATAAATAGTTATCTCTCCCTACGCTGAGGCAAGAAATCAACCAGCCGTGAAAGTTTAAAGGCAATCGATGCATATGACATTAGAAAATTAATTTACAAATTTTGCCACATCTCACAAACAGACGTTGCAAAGTAAATAAGAGCTTAAAAAATAAAATGTTTGATAATTGTCTATATTAGCACTCTTCTGTAAAAAAAGAAAAAGAAAGAAAGCAAACCACCTTTATCCGGGCTTTCGAAATATTGGCGGAAGTGTTAGAGGTTAATAGTTCAGTTATTTATATCTCATTTCTTTTGAGAAAATACTCAGCAGACTGTTAGTGTTATTTTATTTTGCAACATACTGACCACGGACAGAACACCGCAAGTGGTTCGATATGAAAAAGTGACACAGAGATATTGTTTATTGTAAGGATGAGATTTATTAGCCTAGGCCTAATTATTAGATCTAGACTAGATCTAGATCTAGATGTAGATATTTTAGATCGTCTAGTTCTAGAATCCTAGCTCTACTCTAGTCCAGTCAGTTGAGGAACTTGAGTCAGTCTAGCCGACTCTAGAGTCGTCTAGACTCTAGATCTAGAAAATCTAGATTCTAGCCCTAGTCTACAACAGGAGGCTAAGAAAAAAAAATCTAGATTATCTAGATCTAGAATCTAGAGACTCTAGACTACACTCTAGATCTAGAACTCTAGATATCTAGACTTAAGATTGAGATTCTAGACTAGAATCTAGAAAAGGTAGACTAGATTTCACTAGATCTAGACTAGATCTCATCTAGATTTCTAGATCTAGCTAGAGTCTAGAGTAAAGTGGCGTCTGCGGACAGTTGCGTCTGTGTGGACACCTTGCTGTTTTTCGCTTAAACAATAATTGTATGAATGTTTTATACGAAACTAACGCAAACAACACAAAGCATGTCCATTTTTAAACACATCTGAGTCAATTTCTTCTATTTCACTCAATAGGGAGATTAATTGGAATTTTTCAAAGTTGCGATGTATGACGTTTTATGTAGGGAACCTCACCAGGATGAAGAGCACTAGTTACCGGATTAGAGGAATAAATCGAACCAATCATAGCTTAGTTAACTGGGTTAACTATAAATAGCTTATATATATATATATATATAGAAAGCTATAAATATCATAGTTAAGGTTGTTTAAGCCATCTTAGATGAAAAATTGGGGTGTCCCCATAAGGGATATGCCTTTTTTGAGGGTTAACCTTTTGCGGACACTAATGAAAAATCAGAGTATATTTCTTACACTTTAAGTAAAAAGGAGCTTTGAACTAATCTTCATACTCCAGATTTATATTAAAATTTATGTCTAAATCTAGATCTATAAGTTTTTAGTAATGTTTTTAGGTTTTAAAAATATTTTTGATCATCAAACGTGTCTACTAAGCAAAAATTGAAATAAAATCTCAACTGGGTCCTGAGTTTCTTTCAGGCATCACTTTAATTTAATTAAAACTTATTTCATATTTCTCATATTTTTTGTTTTCCAATATATTAATATATAAAACAACAACACTATGTATGTAACATGTTTATTTCAATCATTTAAATAGAAACAAAATGAACAAAATATGCCTTGTCCGCATAAGGAGCAAGTGTGCGCACAGAAAATAAAATGTAAAAAAAAAGTGCACTTAGTGTCCGCACAGAGTCTCACCACTGAAAATGTTAATACATTCAATGCTATGCGTATGAATACAAAATGAATCAGACGTGATTAAAGTAGAAAGAATGCGGAGTAACACGGTACTTTCGGTTTGGCTCTATGTGAAACGGTTACTGAATGGCGCTCAATGGAAATCGGCACTTCCGATTTTTTTTGCTACGTCTGTCCGCAGACGCCACTTTACTCTAGATCAAGATTCTAGATCTAGATGATCTGGTCTAGAATCTAAATCTTGTACTGTTAGTGTTTTTAAAAATCTAGAGATCTAAGCAGTAAGCTAGATTTAGATTCTAGACTTCTAAAATCTAGCTAGTCTCCCAGAAGGAGTAAAGTATTTTGATTATAGACAGAATCTGTTACTGAATAAGCCTGTATGCAATTTTAGTTTGTCTCCCTTTTTATTTTTTATTAGGCCTATGTTCCTTAGTTGGTTTATTCCTACATCAAGGAGTAAGAGAGTTTTTCTAAATATCCATCCTATCCACCCCTGTCTCATTTACAAATCTTTCATAACTTTGTGCAACTATATAATAATTATTACTTTTTTTTAAATCAAATATTTGTTCCCGCTAAAATTCTTTGACTTAATTAGATACATTTTGCATCCTTAATCATAATAATGTTTTAAGTTCATTGAGAATATTATGTATAAATGTACCAATAGTAAATGTAAAATGTTTACGTTGTACAGCGGGGTGCTGGCAGGTGCCTGACTCTGATGATGGTTGATGTTTTCCACTACCTGGAGCTGCGTGGCCAGGGTCTCGTCAAGAGTCACAAGTACATACAGTGTCAGAAAGTTGTCAAAAACTTATTGGAGGATGTCTCGGCAAAGCCTGTTCACAATCTGGTAAAGGTCGTTTGTGCTATGGGCAGTCTGATTGTGACTTATTGTATTTTTATTTTGTTGGTCTATCATTAATAATGTGTAGGAAAAGCTACTAATATTTACATGCTAATAAAATATCAAATGTTTTGTCTCAGCCATCAAATATATTAAAGTTTAAGATAGTATTGTGTAACTTGCTAGAATAAATAAGAGAATAGACCTACAAAAGCCTGCTACACAGAGTAAATATATAAAAGATTTTCTGCTAATAGAAATATTATAAGAATTCCAGTTATTTAATTAAAAACAATATTTCTGTATGTAAAATTGGATTGTTTACATATTTTCAGCCTTGTGATTTTTCGGGTGAGCCAAGAGCAACATTCCTTATGGATTTCAGCCCAAACATGTGAGTGTTTAACTAACAAGGCTTGTGTTAAACATCTGATCAGTTACAAATACTGAAATAGTAATAATAGGGGGAGAGGGTTTAGAAAGTTAGATTACTGTCTTATTCTGATGTATTCTTTAGATACTTTATTTTGCTAGAGATTTTCAACTGGTAATTTATAGTGTTAAGATTGACTAACCTTCAAATAAAAAAAAAATGGTTAAATTTTTTTAGAATATTTATTAAAGAATTTCAACTATTTTCTTTAAGAATTATTACCCATTAATTACCCATTAAAATAAGATTATCTTGTCTTTAGTTTGAACATCATCTTAAAAGTTTCTTGTTTTCAGGATGCGTGTAGCTTCAACACATGGAGACCACACAGTAAGGGTAACTGATATAAGAACTGGGAAGTGCACCCATATTTTGGCTGGCCATCCCCGTACACCGTGGTGTCTGGCATTTAACCCCACCTCCAATGATATACTGGCCTCTGGGTGTCTAGGTGGTGAAATACGCATTTGGGACCTGCTGGTAACCACATTATATACATTTGTACATTTTATCATGTTTGTGTGTTTTGTTAAATACCTATAGACATTAATTTAGAATAGTTGCGTTTTTAAGAGTTTTTAAGATAAGTTACGTAGATTGTATATATATTTTTTCTTTTTGCTTTCTTTTGTTTAAAAATAATTTTTTTTTTATTTGTGCAAGGTGTTTTGATAAATACTGGGTACATATTTTGTTCATGGACCGTAACAAATTCCTTATACTTTGATGGTAGACAAATTTGAGACTAACAAAACAGTAGATCATTTTGTGTTCCCTCTTCTCAATATAAAACTAACATTGTGTCCTGTTTGTCCAGGGTGGAGGGAGTGAGGTTCTCCACAACCCCTGCGCAGGTCAAGTGATAACCTCCCTGGCCTTCCACCCCACTGGTCATGTGCTGGTGTTTGCCACCATGAACTACATCTACTTCTGGGACTGGGGCCAGTCTGCCCCTTTCTCCTGTACCAAAACACTGCATGACTACGAGAGGATCAGGTGGGAAGCTTTGTTTTTGTTTATTTAATTTAGCAATTGTAAGGTTATCTAAAAATAATGACAAATCATAATGCTTGACAGTTTAATGTTGGAATTTTTTTTATCATTTTCAAATTTATTGCGAAAAAGTTTGAAAAATGAAAAGAAGGGAAATGTTATTTATAAAGACTTTGTGTTTTAAAATATTTTGTGCTTTATCTGCAACATGCAAAAAAAGCATGTTCAAAAAAATTCATAATTTTTTTTCATAATCTGTTCACATCTCATCTGTGTATTTGCTCTAGAATCAGATAATATGAATCTGTTCATATTTATGTTTGTATTTGATAACATGAAATATTTTCTTTTTCTTAAGGTGGCTGCGCTTTGATCCATTTGGTCAGTATCTATACACTGGTATAGCCAACAACACCACGCTCCACAGAGATCCTGCAAGTCGTGTTGTGCCAATGATGGGGTAAGTCAGTCTTTTATCTGTTTGGTCAGTATCTGTCCACTGGTATAGCCAACAACACCACACTCCACAGAGATCCTGCAAGTCGTGTTGTGCCAATGATTGGGTAAGAACAATTATTTTTTGTTTAGTAAAGTTGTGGCCTGTTATTTCAGTGAACATTCCCAGGACAGCAAGGTGGTAGAATATTTTTTTGTCTGGTAAAGTTGTGGCCTGTTATTTCAGTGAACATTCCCAGGACAGCGAGGTTGTAGAAGAACAAGTATTTTTTGGTCTGGTAAAGTTGTGGCCTGTTATTTCAGTGAACATTCCCAGGACAGCGAGGTGGTAGAAGAACAAGTATTTTTTGGTCTGGTAAAGTTGTGGCCTGTTATTTCAGTGAACATTCCCAGGACAGCGAGGTGGTAGAAGAACAAGTATTTTTTGTCTGGTAAAGTTGTGGCCTGTTATTTCAGTGAACATTCCCAGGACAGCAAGGTGGTAGAATATTTTTTTGTCTGGTAAAGTTGTGGCCTGTTATTTCAGTGAACATTCCCAGGTCAGCGAGGTTGTAGATGAACAAGTATTTTTTGGTCTGGTAAAGTTGTGGCCTGTTATTTCAGTGAACATTCCCAGGACAGCGAGGTGGTAGAAGAACGAAATCATCAGCTGCAGCTCAACCGCTTGAGATACCAGCGCCTGTTGCACAGATTTGTGGCTTTTCAACAAGAACGCACTCAGAGATGTAATGTACATTCATTAACATAACATATTTAAATCTTGTTTACATTAACAATAGGATTTACAAAATTTTAGTCTTTTGAATTGATAAAAATTGAGGGCAAAATAGAGTAAACTGGATTTGTTGTAAATAGATAAGCCATTCTCAGAAATATCATGTAGTTGAATTAATCACTGCCACTGTTTCTGTTTAGTTCCTGCAGCTGTTAACATTCGTCCACGTGCCAGCTCCCCAAGTCCAAGGTCACCTGTACATGAGGAGGGTTTGGATTATGCCAGGCAGTATGCCCGGCATGTCACCAGCACAGCGGGCAGCAGCAGTACACGAGACAGATGGGCTACACCATCAGCTTCTCAAGTTGTTTCTTCTTTGTCAGTAATGTTGTTTTTTTTTAAATTTAGTCTTGTCTGTGTTGGTGCATTTAGCTTTTTAAACAAAGCTTTTTAAAGTCATTCTTGTCAGTATAGATTTTTACTGAACTTTTTGGAAAAGTTAAATTCTACATTTAGTGTATGCCCATTCAATCATGAATAATCGTTTAAAACATTTAGTGTATTTTTTAGGACTTTGAGTAAAAACCATACACATGAAAAGTAATAAATGTCCTGAACAAGTTTTTTAAGATTATTGAATTTTTCTCTACAGAAACATTCCATCAACGTCAAGCTCGCGTGGTGATGGCACAGCTGAGGACAGGTTTCAGCTGCCAGCCGCAACTCCAGCATTCCAAGACAACGAAGGATACTCCCTAAATGAGGATAGGCGCAACTACAGCTACGAGCTGTTCAACAGGCGCTGGGGTCGCTATGACCCAACATTTTTTTCCAGGCGTTTGAGTTACGGCAACAACAACAACAATGCATCAGAGGACGACAACAACAACAGCAATAACAACAACTTCAACTTTGGCAATGGCAGCTATAGCAGTTACAGGCCGGAGGTCCCTGTTCGCTTGTCTTCCACCACGGACCGTCCTTTCACTGACTCCTCCTCTGTGGTTGACTACCTCAACACCAGCTGGCCACGATCAGCATCCTCCAGGCGTGGAGAAACCGCAGGCTCCTCGGCCGCATCCTCAACCCACGTCCCGACATTTCATGGTGCCCGCAACGAGAACGCCGCCAGTGAGAGCTTAGATGCTAATGAGTTTGAGATTCTTCCTGTAGACCAGGTCAGGCAGTCCCAGAGAAGGAGCAGCAGCACCAACAACGGCTCCTCCTCCTCTGGGGTGTCTGCCAATGCTGATGTTACTCTAGCCCCCGCCACAGGCTGGGATGACCTGAGGTACCTGCTCAGTAGTTTGGTCAACACATCCAGCGAGGCGTCGTCCGCCTCCAGTGGTGCGGCGCCTGTCACAGGTGTTGCTTCTGTGACATTGCCCAGTGCTGCATCTACTGCAGAAGGAAGTGAATCTCTCTCTAGAACTGTGGGTAGGAATTCTGATTCCAGGACTTTTAGGCACCTGCCTAGTGAGTCTAGGGCGGAGAGGGGATCAGGTACTGGTGACTCTTCTAATCCAATCCTTAACTTGGATGTGTTTCTGGGGGCGGGGAATGCAGATAACTTTGAAATGCCATCAGCCAGAGTTGCGTCCTCGTCATCCCACCTGACAACACACCACTTCCCTTCTAGAACAGAGCTACCGTCTGAACAGGAACCAGCAAGTTCCAGACCGAGACTTCCTGAGTCTTCAGCCACGTCCAACCTTAGCAGTGTCCACATCCACTTCAACAGTGGCTCCTGGCGGCGCGGTCAGTCCAGCCGGCACCATTCTATAGACCTGCCAGACAGCGGAGACTTCCAGCGCCACGCCTCTCTCCTGGACAGGTCAGCGCCACGCCATGTGATTGACCAGACGAGCCAGACACTGGGGGCCATGAACCTGCCAGAGAGCTCGGACCAGTGCACGGATGTGTCAGGTCTGGACCAGACAGGCTGCTCTTGTCCTGTGCCAGCCTCACACCCCAGAGACTCTGTCAGCACAGACAGTCACAACAGTGCAGAGTCCACACACTTTGATATAAATAAAAGCAACGACTGCCTGCTTGCACTAGCCAGCTTGAGTGACTGTATTCAAAGAAGTGTTTCTGTGATAGACAGCATGCATAGTTCTAGAGCTAATGAACCTTCAAACACTCCGGCCAGCTTGAATGACAGTAATCAAAGAAGTGTTTCTGTGATAGACAGCATGCGCAGTTCTAGAGCTAATGAAACTTCAAACACTCCGGCTAGCTTGAATGACTGTGTTTCTGTGATAGACAGCATGCGCAGTTCTAGATCTAATGAACCTTCAAACACTCCGGCCAGCTTAAATGACCAGCCCAACTGCATGTCTTCTAGTGCTGTGGTGTCTGGTCCTCAACTATCTGATAGTGGACATAGGAGTGAGGATTCTTTGTATAGTTTTTCTAGTGTGTCTAGTAATTTAAATCCTAGCAGTCTTGTTTCAATCCAGCACGCAGCTGTAGCTGACCACTCTGGTCAGTGTGAGCCAGCAAATGTTTCAGGCCAGCAGGGGGCCATTGCTGCCAGTATGAGCCCCCAACCTGGCACACCATTAAGCAGGAACAATTTCACTCTGATAGGTGATGGGGGCGATTGTGTCGGAAGTACTAACTTGGTTGTTCATCTGACAAGCAACAGAGGAAGTACAGACAGATCCAGTTGTAATCCATCTGCAGATGTTAGTCAAGTACCTGCTTTAGTAATAACAAATCCATCTGAACAAATTTCCTCTATGGATACGTCTATACCACCGACCCCTAAAACATCATCTGTATCCATGACAACCTCTTCAACTCAAGCTGGTCTTTGCCATTGTGCCTTAGAAGGTACAGAACTGCAGCCATCACAAGGTTCAACCTCTGACCTTTCACTGAACCCAAGCACATCCCATGATTGCCATATTGGTGCCTCATGCCCGCCTGTTGTTGGACTCAGGAGTCTAGACAGACCAGGGGTTTCTGTCCAGAGCAGCCTTACCCACAGGGCTCCCAGAGACTCACACAGGCTGGCTTCTGACGTCAGGTCAGGTCTGCGCTCACTCAGTGATGCCAGTCAGCCTAGCGCTTTTTCCATATTCAGTTCCAGAGATTCATCAGGCTGTAGGTCGTCGTCCCTGTTAAACCCTGCATCAGCCAGTCCTGCTGGGCCCTCCAGCCTAGCCCAACCTGTCACACCGCAATCCGTTGAGGACTCATCCACCAACACCAGCTCGGATGCCACATCAGACAGCCAGCTGACTGCTGTCAGAGACGTCCAGGAGAGACTGCAGCAGGCTGTCCAACAGCTGCGTGAAGTTCAGACCAGTGTGAGAGAGCTGACCTCCACCACCCCCCATCATATCAACCTGCTCCGGCCAGATTCTGTTACAGAATATCTTGAAAGAAGGGTAAGTTGTCCACTCTAATTAAAGCTTGGAGCACATAAATCTGACTAAACTTGAACTAGCTGTACTTCTTCATAGAATATAGAGTTTACAGTTATAAGTTTTCTTATAAGCAAGTCTTGTTTTTTTTCTTGTTCAGACAGAATTTACTGCTGGCTTTTATGGTTTTCATTTTGTGGTTGCTATAAAAAGTATGTCTAGTGTCAAGATTTTTTTCTAAAACCATGTTTAGTAAACATTTACCTGATGAGCCTGATGTCCCATCTGAACTTAATTTCTGTTGGTCTTGTTGTAAATATGTCCTTGACACTTCCCCAGGTGTCAGAACTTGATAGAAGGATATCCGACCTGGAGGAGAGTTATAACTCCCGGATATGGGAGCTGCGTCATGAGTGTTTGATGAGAAGGTAACTTGCTCTTGTCAGCTAACCCTAGCCCTTACCCTCACTCCAGCTTAGTGCTAACCATTAGTGATGTCCCATTGTTCTTTATTTTGGCTTAAAGAGGTGTATCCAGTTTTAAAAAAATAGAGAAATCAATGTATTAACTTTTATAATACAGAGAAATCAAAGTGTTATTTAGGCAGATCATCGAACAAACAAAACTAATGATTTAAAACTTGTTTATCCTGGAGATTGAACTTTCTTTATTAAATTATTAATATTGACGTCTAACATCTTGTTAATCACCTTTTAAATAAGCATGTTTATTGTTATCTATGAAATCCACAATTTAAATTACCATATCATCATCAGTCAATTCGTAGGTTACTCTGATGCCATGTAACTTTATCTACAAACTTTATTTAACTGGGGGTGTAGTGTAAATATTTAAGTAGTAAACAATTGAATATTTATTTGTCTGTACAAGTTCAGAAAAAAGATTTCAAACTGGTTTGCAGTATCAAGAGTTAATGAACATTAAAAATCCTCTCATTTCATGTACAGAATACAGACCAATCGTAATAGAAGACGCTTGATGGCTGGCCATTCTTACATCAGGCGGCGTGGAGACCCTTCAGTAGAGAGAGACAGGGAGAGAGACAGAGTACTGGCTACCCATTACAATACCAGATCAGAGCTACCTACAAGAAGCTCCACAGCTCAGCAATCAGATGGTAGCGGGGATGGTAAGTTTGGTGTTAAATTAGTCTATAGCTGGTACTACTTCAGTTAAACATGTTTATCTTTAGTTCAATAATTTTATCCTTTCTTCTTACATTCTAATGTTTGATTGTGGTTGTTAGCACCACCAACTAGAAGTGGAAGACTGCTTGAATGCCTTGTGAGAAGGGAGACAACTCATCCAAGGCAAGTCTTTTTTTTTATTGTAGTATTGATCAGTTTTATGAGGATTGTTAAAGAATATTACCTTTAGTGCCTGTAATAATTTAGACCTGTATGCAATATTGATTTATTAGGACAACAAAATATGTTTGGTGTTAATTTAGACTTACTTTAAAATAGACCAATTTTAAGGCCAAGGGAGGCAATCCCCTCCACTATAACCATCCAACAAGCTAGAGAAGATGAAGATGTAGGCACTCACCAGCGAGCTTGGCTGGCCTTACAGCAGGTTCATCTGCACCCTGACTACTCCACAAGTATACTGGACGACACGGTCAACCGCCCTAATGAGTCTATGCAGCGATTAATGAACAGAACTATTGCAGGTACTGGAAATTTTAATCTGGACTCAAGTTTGGTTACATTAATAAATCATTTTATAAAACAGATGTTCTTTTCGATTAGTTTTACGTTATTAAGTTCACTAGTCACAGAAAATTCTTGCTGAGGCTGTTTAAATTTTAAAATTAAATTATGAACAGTTGAAAAATCAATTGACAAATAATTTTTCTTTGCCAAAAATAATTTCTATTTATTACTGAGGCTTTCTTTTGATGAATTTATTTATCAGTTTAAAATTTGTCATGTTTTATTTCCTTGCAAACACTTATTTATACCCTTAGCTAAATGAAAATATTTTTAATTGAGGCTGCCTTGAAGATTTATTTATGAGTTTAAAAGTTCCACATATTTTGCCAAGCAGTTAATTCTAACAGTTACTAAATGAAATAATTGTAATTAAGGCTGATAAATTTATTTATGAATTATAATGTCACTTTTCATTGCTCTGCCAAAAAAAATTATTCTATTAGTAACTTGAGGCTTGAGGTAAATTTATTTACTAGTTGAAAACATGTCATACATTTTGTTTCTCTTCATCACTTAATTCTACCAGTTACTGAATGAGAATAATTTTTCTTGAGGCCGTATCTAAGATGGTTTTATTTATCAGATGAAACATGTCAGCCATTATTTTGTGTTCTGTTCCAACATCAGGGGCATTTCTGACCAGAGATGACCAGGCCGTGGCCAACAACCTGGTGCCACAGACACATCGCATTCAGCGCTGGGACGTCTCCAAGTGTGTCATCCCTGACATCACTAATGGTATCCATCAGCCACTCGTTTATAGTCCTGTACCAACATACTAGTTACTACAGTTTTTACCACAACACTTTTTTAACTAGTTTTAAAATATCCACAAAATTAAAACAATAAGCATTATCCAAACAATTATAGCCGTAATAGCATAATTATTCTTAAATCAAATGTTATCAAACCTAGAAAAATATTTTTTTTAAATTATCTTTACTATTAATTTTAATCAATTTTAAACAGTTTATCAACTGTTTAAAAAAATTCACCGTATCTAAATGTGCTTTCTTTTTTTATATCACTGTTAGTTACCTTGCAAATTAATCCCAAGAGGCATTTTAATTGGTTATATTTTGCCCATAATTTTGTGAGAAAATATTTTGCAGTTTAAAAAATCATAGAAAATTAACTTCTATTGAGTGATGAAACCCTGTAAATACAAATCATCATTTATCCCTTTGTGCCAGTTAATCAAAACCTAGACCCATCTGTGACTGACTCTAATTTGTTTCCTCTGCTAGCCTCAACCAATATAGTTGTGAAACACTGCTATAATTTGTTTCCTCTGCTAGCCTCAACCAATATAGTTGTGAAACACTGCTATAATTTTTTTACTCTGCTAGCCTCAACCAATATAGTTGTGAAACACTGCTATAATTTGTTTCCTCTGCTAGCCTCAACCAATATAGTTGTGAAACACTGCTATAATTTGTTTACTCTGCTAGCCTCAACCAATATAGTTGTGAAACACTGCTATAATTTGTTTCCTCTGCTAGCCTCAACCAATATAGTTGTGAAACACTGCTATAATTTGTTTACTCTGCTAGCCTCAACCAATATAGTTGTGAAACACTGCAAGCTTCACAACGATGCCAGCTGTGACCTCTCTAAAGATGGAACTATCCTGGCCACATTTGTGCCCAGCCACAGGGGGTTTCCTGATGATAACATCCTGGGGCTCTTCTCACTGCGCAAGGAAACTTTAGCTCAGTGCCTGTTTACTAAAAGTTTTGGTCAGTTTTTTATTCACTTTCTAAATTTTCAAATATATAAATCTTAATTACCATATGGATTTCTAAATATTTTATTTTGTAATATCTTACAAATTTACTGTTTTTTTTCTATTTTTATATTCCTAAACATACCAAACTTTAAAAAAAAGAAGTGGTTTAAGTGTTTCTTATTGTAATTAAGTAACCATTGTTAATTTTCTTGAATAAACATTTTTTGAGTATCACAATATAACTTCAAGTTCAGTAATACATGAATTAGTTTAAACTCTGGTGGATGCATTGATTCTCTGTACAAAAATGTTTGTACTCCAATTAGCCTATTATCTCAGCAGAACCATAATACAAATTCACTACACTCCTATTTTATTCTTGAATATTTTGTTTTTAAAAGTCTATTCCTCACCACTTACAGAGAATCAACATTACAAACAGCTCACAAAATGTTTTTTTTTAACCTAAAGAGAAATGTATCATCTCACTGCTCATTAATTGGTCTAATAATTAGTTTTGCCACCTCTAGGTCCTAATGCAATATCGGTGAGTATTTCACCAGAAAATCGCTACATTTTGGTTGGTCTGGCTGCCAAACGCTTGTTTTTCTTCACCATCAACCAGATGGTGGCCCAGGTCTACAAGCTGGAGAAGGAGAAGGCTGGAGAGAGTTCTATGAAGGTGAGTTTTAATTCTTTTCAAGTGTCTCATCCCCATCATGTTGCGCTGGGGATAGGTTGATGGGATTTATTTTTTTACAAGTGTCTCATCCCCATTATGTTGCGCTGGGGATAGGTTGATGGGATTTATTTTTTTACAAGTGTCTCAACCCCATCATATTGGGCTGGGGATGGGTTGGTGGGATTTATTTCCTTACAAGTGTCTCAACCCCATCATGTTGGGCTATGGATGGGTTGGTGGGATTTAGTTTTTTACAAGTGTCTCAACCCCATCATGTTGCGCTGGGGATAGGTTGATGGGATTTATTTTTTTACAAGTGTCTCATCCCCATTATGTTGCGCTGGGGATAGGTTGATGGGATTTATTTTTTTACAAGTGTCACAATCCTATCATGTTGGGCTGGGGATGGGTTGGTGGGATTTATTTGTTTACAAGTGTCTCATCCCCATCATGTTGGGCTGGGGATGGGTTGATGGGATTTAGTTTTTACAAGTGTCTCAACCCCATCATTTTGGGCTGGGGATAGGTTGATGGGATTTATTTTTTTACAAGTGTCACAACCCCATCATTTTGGGCTGGGGATAGGTTGATGGGATTTATTTTTTTTACAAGTGTCTCAACCCTATCATGTTGGGATGGGTTGGTGGGATTTAGTTTTTTACAAGTGTCTCAACCCCATCATGTTGGGCTGGGGATGGGTTGAAGGGATTTAGTTTTTTACAAGTGTCTCAACCCCATCATGTTGGGCTGGGGATGGGTTGAAGGGATTTAGTTTTTTACAAGTGTCTCAACCACATCATGTTGGGCTGGGGATGGGTTGAAGGGATTTAGTTTTTTACAAGTGTCTCAACCCCATCATGTTGGGCTGGGGATGGGTTGAAGGGATTTAGTTTTTTACAAGTGTCTCAACCCCATCATGTTGGGCTGGGGATAGGTTGATGGGATTTGTTTACAAGTGTCTCATCCCCATCATTTTGGGCTGGGGATAGGTTGATGGGATTTAGTTTTTTTACAAGTGTCTCAACCCTATCATGTTGGGCTGGGGATGGGTTGATGGGATTTATTTGTTGAAGATTTTTTAAAGACAGCTAAAGTTGAATTAAACTAGTAAATTTTGATTAACCATGTTTGTGGCTTTACCTCTTCTACCTCACCTTTTTCACTACTACTAGAGCACAGATTATTACCTCTGCTTTTTTGTCCTTTTATATTTGTTTCATTTCTTTCAACACTTTCCAATAGCTTTCATGTCTATTTAAATATCTGTAAGCTAAATAATTTTGGGTCTCCCTCTTATTTCTTGATCCTTGTGGATTTCATGCTCTTTCTTGTCTGGTAATACTTGTTGCCAGTTGCCTCAACATGCACTATCCATCTCCACCTTCTTTTCTTCTTGCTCCACTGGGATTTGTTGTCTCCTGTCCCACACTTCTGTGTTAGATATTTTGTCACACATGTAGCTTTAACTAGACTGTAATGTACTCTTGTACTTGCAGCATGTGACAGACCTGTTCCACCCATGTAACCAGGACAGCAGAAGTCATGTCAGCGTCAACTCTGCCAGATGGCTGCCTGGGGTGGGTCAGGGCATGGTGTATGGCACCAATAAAGGAGACCTGCATTTCTGCCGTCCAGGGTGAGTTGTTATACGTGTGATTTTTTTGTTGAACTTGGCTCAGCTGGTTTTGTATTTTAAACCAGAGGTCTTTTTTGAAAAAGAAAAACTAGAGATATGTTGAACTGGTCAGTTGAAGATTTGATCTGTTTTATGTCAGTAGTGGCATCAAAGCTGGTGGCCCTAGATCAGATCTTTACTTAAGACATTGGTTTACAAACTTTGTATGTCACTGCACATCTCCTGGGAACCAAAAACATTTTGGCACCTCCCCCTCTACAAGAAAAATGTTTTGATTTAGCGCTTACACGACTGCCGAGTATATTATTGTACCCAAAATGTTTGCATTTAAAAGAACAATCCGTGTTCAAATACATTTTGAACTAAGAATGATAGGAAAAACTCAGCCAGACAAATGACCCATACATTTTCTACATAGTCCACACATCACTTAGCAGTAGACCTCACACCCCATAGCACTACATGGGAAACCTCTGGTTTATGACCTTTAAGAAGTCATTTTTGTTTTCATTTTCTAAATGTCTGCCTCGTGCAATGAGAGCACATAGCTAAGTAGACGGGTAAATCATCAACAAACACTTGCTCTACAGCTCAAGAAAGGTCCATGAACGTGATTCTCCCAAGCCAAGAGCAAGTGGATTTGAGTCGTTGGCCCGACTCCACCCAACCAGTCTAGCACACAGCAGCATAGCCACCCAGACTACTACTGTCAGTATTAGACGCAGTGCCAGCACACAGACATCTTTTGGAGACTTGTGACTGTAACTAACACTAGTTCAATTTTGATAGTGAAACTAGCCAGATTTTTATACATTTCTATGTTGAAGTTTTGTTAAATGTTTTTGTGGATGTTATTTTTTTGGTTTAAATGGGATATTTTGAAATAAAGAATATTTTTTAACATTAATATAGGTTGTTTCTATTTATCACCTCCTTTATGAAATTAAAATTTTAATATTGCTGTCATTTAAAAAAAAACATTAGCTATTTGTTCATGAAGTAGTTTTGAAGTTTTTAGTTTCACTTTACTTTTTGTTGCAGCTTGTTAAGATCTCTCTGTAACCCCCTTTACTCAGCACTGTTCTCTGCTTCCTGTATTACTAAGGTGTGGTGTAGTTCATGACCTCACCCACACTTACTTCCCCTGATCAATGAGAGCAAAGTTGTTGTTTTTTTTTTTGTTTAAAATAAAATTGTAGAATAATCTATTGGGATAAATGTTTTCAGTGGGTTGTCTTAACTTGTCATTCCATATAGTTGGGGCAAGCAGCTCTTAAGTAAACATGAATAATATTTTACATGGATGGGTGGGTGGATGTATTCTGTAACTCATACCTACTGTGTTATTTATATGGGCTCTGTGTATGTTTTCAATATGCTTATGAATGGAATAGGTTGTGATGTCTGTGTGTTACATTCAGTATGACATGTTCATAAATGGCATGTTTAATGGCTTTCATGTTAATGGCTTGAGATACAGCCTGTAGACTTTGTTATGTGTATTTTGTCAGTTGGTGTGGTGTATGTGTTGACCAGTGTATTTTGTCAGTTGGTGGGGTGTGTTGTGTAAAGCTGTGTCAAATGATGAGCTAGCTAAATGATGTCAGACATAGATATGTTTGTTGTTCCATAGACAATCACTATGTTAATCCATTACAGCTGGACTCTGCCAGTATACAATGAAGTTGCATGTAAATATAAGATCAAAACAAAAACCTGTTTATTCTTGGATCAAATATATTAAAAAAAATGTACCCTTTCAAGGCTATTCCTTGTGTTTTTAATTTTGAGTTTGACATTTTTCTGTTCCACAAATTTAATGAATTTATTTTTTCTAAACAGTAGAGCAGCCCCTCAAGAACAAGCAAACTTGGTTTATATTTTATTTCACTTTAAAAAACATAAAAACTGGAAATATCACAGATTATAATTTGGCATTACAATTGTATAATATCCAAAACTAACCGGTCACCTTTACTGGTGTGTAGTATAGAATTCAGTAAAACCTTGTTAATAAATTTTCACAGATTATAATTTGGCATTTTGTGTGTAGTATAATTCCTTAAAACCTAGTTTATACATTTTAACAATAACTAGCATTTAACAGTAATTCATTGCTACAATTATGTATATCTATAACAGTAATACCTTTGTACAATTTTGTATTCTAAAACAATAATTTAAAAATTATCAATTTGCTTCTCTTTGCATTTTCTGCTAGAAATGCAACATGTTAAGGATACATATATTGAAACAACAAGGGAGATAAGTCTTGGGTTATCACCACTCTTTTATGTTGCATGTCAAAAAGATTCTATAACAGCAGGTGTCATATTTATACAAAGATATTTAACACACTTAAGGCAACTTTAGATCACAGCTTTATATCAAAGTTATTAATGTAAAAAAAGGTCAAAGGTCTACTTGGTCAAAGGATGCTTCTTAGCTCTCTACTTTTTCCCACTTTTTTTCCCACTCTTTTTCCCACCTTTAGGAGCTTTAGCATCCTGTTCTGCCTTGAGTGCAGCGTTCTGCCTTTCTATTTCTTCGAGGCGAAGCTTCTCGGCGTCTAGAAACTTCTGTCTGATGGCCTCTCTGGGGATGTTGATCCTCTCTCTAGCAGCATCCACTGCTGCCTAGAGGTCAGAGTTCATGGGTCAAACAAAAAAGGTCAGTCACATAATAAAGCAAATTAGGAAACAAAATAAACACATGCAACAAAATATGTGAAGTAATTTAAAAAAAGAAATTGAATTTCATTTCAATAGGTGAAAAAAAAAAACCAGAAGGAAAGACACGTTACAACAGTTCTACTAAAAAGTTTAAAAAATGGTTGACCCATACAACTCAAAATGTAGGGGCAAAAGTAATATCTCTATTCCCAAATAGTTAAAAGTAACCTGCTTTAACAAAACTTAAAAGAATAGCTTACTTAATTATTGGACACAAAAGAAAATATTTTGAGAGGATGAAACCAAAGAAACTGAACAATATTTTCACTGAACCAAAGAAACAGAACAATATTTTCACTGAATTAAAGAAACTAAGCCATAATGTTAACCAACAGAAGAAACAAATTTAATGAACCTAATAAACAAAACCACTTTGTTGATGAACCAAATAAACTAAACCACATATTCAATTAAGAAAAACAATAAATTTTGCATAAACCAAAGAAAAAACACATTTTTTAATGAAGCAAAGAAACAAAACTGCATCGTCAATAAACTCAAAACTAAATCAAACATTGCATGAACCAATACATCGATCCAAATTTAGAATGAACAACCAATAAAACTGGGAGGAGACTTGAAGGATAACAGCAGCCCGCAATTCTGATTGATATATTTATTTTTTATCTTATATAGAAGTAACATTGACAATTGGTACACAATCTACAAACAGGGAAATCGGAATCATTTGGATTTCTTTGTTGCTGGTTTGGGTTTAACAGGTTTTTCTATCTCTGCCTTCAATAAGGCCTCTGCCCTCTCCTGTTCCAACCTCATCTCCTCCAAAAGTTTGGCCTCGATAAATTTTTGACGCACCGCTTCCCGCGCTGTGTTGATCTGTGCTCTGGCTTCGTCTATGGCATTCTTTAAATAAAATAAAACATTGCCCAGTCTACAACTACAGCATACTACGATAAGGGCCAGTTCTCCAACAGACTTCAAAAATTGCCTGTCTACAAGTGTAGCAGATTTCAAACATTGCCTGTCTACAAGTGTAGCAGATTTCAAACATTGCCTGTCTACAAGTGTAGCAGATTTCAAACATTGCCTGTCTACAAGTGTAGCAGATTTCAAACATTGCCTGTCTACAAGTGTAGCAGATTTCAAACATTGCCTGTCTACAAGTGTAGCAGATTTCAAACATTGCCTGTCTACAAGTGTAGCAGATTTCAAACATTGCCTGTCTACAAGTGTAGCAGATTTCAAACATTGCCTGTCTACAAGTGTAGCAGATTTCAAACATTGCCTGTCTACAAGTGTAGCAGATTTCAAATATTGCCTGTCTACAAGTGTAGCAGATTTCAAACATTGCCTGTCTACAAGTGTAGCAGATTTCAAACATTGCCTGTCTACAAGTGTAGCAGATTTCAAACATTGCCTGTCTACAAGTGTAGCAGACTTCAAACATTGCCAAGGTAACAGCTGTAGTAGATTTCAAGCATTGCCACGACAATGGCAGACCATAAATTTATTAGGGAGAAAAGGTAAAAATTACAAGTTGGAAAATGACTTGACACTTTGGAACTTTTCAGACAATGACATTAAACTTTCACTTTCTTATGCTGTTTTTAAATATACCACCATTTATTTGGGCAACAAGAACTGAAACTGTTATTCAAAAATAAACCTAAGTATGGTCTAGTTTTATTTGTTTAGCTAAATGTTAAGTTAGTGTTACCTAATGTCTTGAAAAAAATAGGTCAAAATTCTTTTCTTGTGTTTGTTTTAACTTGAGTACAAACAGAATAACTTCAACAAGTTATTTATGCTTTCACACAGTTTCATGGAAATATTTTTGTTTAATAACTTCACCAATGAAAACTTTCCAACATCAGGCTAATTCAATTTTTTAGTCTCTGGATTACTTGATTCTTTATATTATTGAACACCCCAACAGGATATCATAACAAATAAGTAAGGGAGATTAATCTAAACTTAAAACTGATATTGTAGAAAAATCAGATTAATATTTTGCAAGAAGCTATAAAAATAAACTGACAAAGAGGCCATCCAACCAGTTTCTTCCAGGCATCTTTCCCCCCCCCCCCCCCCCCCCCCGAACGAAATGAAATTTATATAATCTATATAGAAAATATATACTTTTAACAGTGTCCGCGCCCCCCCCCCCCCCCCCGAAGAAAGTCTACTGCCCCCCAAAAATTTCAAGTGCCCCCCCCCCCCCCCCCCCCCCCGGAGAAAAAAGTCTGGAAGAAACACTGCATCCAACCAACCTTCCGAACCATTGTTACCCATAACATTTGATTGGTTTAAACAATCTGCTGTGAGTGCATGTAAATACCATAATATCTTTAAAATGCCCTCTAGGCCCTAGCTAGAAATAATGTGGGAGGTGGGGGGGGGGGGGGGGGGGGGGAAATCAATGGAAGACTACCTACACAAATAGTGTATGACTAGCTATATGAACAACAGAATTACAGGCTAATGATGAAACAACAATTAAATACAATACAATCTATCTACATGATCATGGAGAATATTAAAGGCACATGAAACAAAGCTAGTGTCTATTTTCATGGAATAAATAAATTGCTGTGGTTTTTTTTATATTTTTGACTAGGAATAATAGTAAACAAAATATTGACATTTTTGTTGTTGTTTTTACTGACTGAGTAATTAAATGTGCTGAACTTCAAATATGGTCTATAATAATTAGAATACCTTTTCCAAAATTTAAAAACAAAAATTTACACTGAGACAAATATAAATATATGAAACAAAACAATTTTGATAACATCGAAACATAGACTAGCAATCTTCCAGCTCTGAGTCATGAATAGAATAAGCTGACTCAGAGGAGTCAAAGTCACAAAACAAGGAAGAAGTCATAAGCTTTTTGCGCCTGTAGCTAACTAACGCTGAGAAATATGCAGCGCGATACCTATCCACTGCCTGCTGCATGGGACATTGAGAGAAATGAGAACAGGTTACAGTCAACAAGAGGTGCTCAACTGGTGGTTAGTCCAAAAGTGGTTAGAGTAAAAATAATGGTTTCAAAAAGTGGTTACAGTAAAAAAAAAAAAGGTGAAACTTTTAGTCCTAACCAACTTTGCATTAAGATTCAAGTACTGTACCTAAAAGTGCATGCTAGACAGCATGCTTTAAAGTCTTAAGTCAACCTCCATTACATTTAAGCCATGCTTAAGTCAAGCCGCCAAAAATCATACGACATTTTGACAATTGTTTCATACTTTTTTAAATCATGCTATATATTTTAAGTACTAAATTGTGCAATAAGTGTTTACTTCATACCACACGTTTTATTAGTCATCCAATATGTCTTAAAGGTCATGCAAAATGTTTTGAAAGTCTTGCAACATTTTTTAAAAGCCTTGCAACATTTTTTAAAAGTCATGCAACATGTTTTGAAAGTCTTGCAACATTTTTTAAAAGTCTTGCAACATTTTTTAAAAGTCATGCAACATGTTTTAAAAGTCATGCAACATGTTTTAAAAGTCATGCAACATGTTTTAAAAGTCATGCAACATGTTTTAAAAGTCATGCAACATGTCTTAAAAGTCATGCAACATGTTTTAAAAGTCATGCAACATGTTTTAAAAGTCATGCAACATGTTTTAAAAGTCATGCAACATGTTTTAAAAGTCATGCAACATGTTTTAAAAGTTATGCCAGATATTTAGTGCCACGCCATTGATTTTCTAGCCCTTTACCCCGCCCTCCAAGAACCACCAAGCCAACCATGTACAAACATGCATTGATTTACACTGTACCCCCACATCCCCCCCACCCCCCACCAAGTAAACCATGCCCTGACCTGCACTGTTCCCCCCCCCCCCCAAGCAAAGCAAGCACCAACCTGCAGTGCCTGGCATTGTTTAAGCTGCATCAACTTGGCCTTGTTCCTGTTCTCTCTGTCCCCCACCCCCACATCCCCCCCCCCACCAACTAAAGCAAGCACCAACCTGCAGTGCCTGGCATTGTTTAAGCTGCATCAACTTGGCCTTGTTCCTGTTCTCTCTGTCCCCCACCCCCACATCCCCCCCACCAACTAAAGCAAGCACCAACCTGCAGTGCCTGGCATTGTTTAAGCTGCATCAACTTGGCCTTGTTCCTGTTCTCTCTGTCCCCCACCCCCACATCCCCCCCACCAACTAAAGCAAGCACCAACCTGCAGTGCCTGGCATTGTTTAAGCTGCATCAACTTGGCCTTGTTCCTGTTCTCTCTGTCCCCCACCCCCACATCCCCCCCCCCACCAACTAAAGCAAGCACCAACCTGCAGTGCCTGGCATTGTTTAAGCTGCATCAACTTGGCCTTGTTCCTGTTCTCTCTGTCCCCCACCCCCACATCCCCCCCCCCCACCAACTAAAGCAAGCACCAACCTGCAGTGCCTGGCATTGTTTAAGCTGCATCAACTTGGCCTTGTTCCTGTTCTCTCTGTCCCCCACCCCCACATCCCCCCCCCACCAAGTAAAGCAGGCACCAACCTGCAGTGTCTGGCATTGTTTAAGCTGCATCAACTTGGCCTTGTTCCTGTTCTGTCTGTCCATCTCCCTCCACTGCTCCACCTTCTCTCGCTCCGCCTTGTACTCAGCAAATTGCTGTTGGCGCTGTTCTAGAACTTTTTGTTTCTCAGCCTCGTCCAAATACTTGGGCTCACCCTGGGCTTTCCTGGTGTGATAGGCAAGTTTTAGCTAGCATAAACATAAGTGAAGTGTGGACGCAAACATTACATGTGAAACATTCAACTATTGAACTATTGCCACGAACATAACTTGTAAACATCAACAATACACTTACAAAAGAAAGTGAACTACGGTCAAGTATAAATGTAAAACTCTAAATCATGTGAGCCTTAAAAAACATGAACAAAACACAACTTTTTAAATGTTGCTAACAAGAAAAGACAACCTTGTAATTAATATAAATAGGGAAAGACAACACTATAAATGTTAACAAGGGAAGATAATCTTATAATTGTTAATAAGGAAAGACAACCTTGTAAAAAATATAAACAGGGAAGGACAACCTTAAAAATGTTCACAAGGAAAGTCAATTAATCTTATAATGTTAACAAGGAAAGACAACTTTATTAATGTTCCAAGGAAAGTTAATTAAACTTATAATGTTAATAAGGAAAGACAACTTTATAAATGTTCACAAGGTAAGTTAATTAAGCTTATAATGTTAACAAGGAAAGTTAATTAAGCTTATAATGTTAACAAGGAAAGTTAATTAAGCTTATAATGTTAACAAGGAAAGTTAATTAAGCTTATAAATGTTAACAAGGAAAGTTAATTAAGCTTATAATGTTAACAAGGAAAATTAATTAAGCTTATAATGTTAACAAGGAAAGTTAATTAAGCTTATAATGTTAACAAGGAAAGTTAATTAAGCTTATAATGTTAACAAGGAAAGACAACTTTATAAATGTTCACAAGGAAAGTTAATTAAGCTTATAATGTTAATAAGGAAAGACAACTTTATAAATATTCACAAGGAAAGTTAATTAAGCTTATAATGTTAATAAGGAAAGACAACTTTATAAATATTCACAAGGAAAGTTAATTAAGCTTATAATGTTAACAAGGAAAGACAACCTTATGAATGGTGTCAAGTCCAGGGGCTCCACAAACTCTTTGGGGTGGGCGGGGATGGGGGGCTCAAGCGACAAAATTGACTCGGGCTCATACTGCTGCTCTGGGGATGCTGGGCTTACAGGGGTCATCCTCTCATTCTCAGGGACAGTGGTTCCAGATTCACTGGCCTGGGTCTGTACGACAGATTCCATCAGGTCTGCTGATGGCGCCATCTTGGTTGCGTGAGTGTTGAGGTACATCAGCCGCGCCTGTAAGGCCTGGGGAATGTAAGCTTTGTTTTAGTAGGTCGTATAACGTACATCAGTGAGAAGAGGGGTTGTTTTAGTAGGCCGTATAACGTACATCAGTGAGGAAGTGGGGTTGTTTTAGTGGGTCCTACAAGGTACATCAGTAGGCCTTACAAAGCACAACAGTGTGGAAAGTCATCTTTGTTTGTTTAAGGGTGGGATTTTGACAGTTTGGAAATTTGTTGTCAGATTTGTTGTTTACTTTAAGCTAACCAATGTCCTATTTATAGGCAAACACTTTGCTTGTTTACTGGGAACATGTAATTTAAAAGTTTGATGGAAATGATCCCCAAATTCTCAGCAAATATTATGATTTCAGATAAATAGCCCCATCTTGTATGAAGTCCCATCTTTCTGCATGCGTCTGATGCAGTAATTAAGTATTCTCTAATCAATAAATAAAACTTTATTCCTGGTCAGTTATTGCTCAATTTGTACATCAACCTTTTTTCTATACATTTTAAACATCACGTTTGTTTTAGAATTGAAGTCAATACTTTTACAATAAAGATGGTACAACTTCCAACATCATACCTTGGCAGCACGGCCTGGTTCAGCTTCTTCCCAAGCTTTCTTGATTGCTCGAATCTCATCTGCTCTCTCAGTGTCCTTCTTGATTTCAATATCATCCTGCAGAAATACAGCTCTATTTTAGTGGTTTATTCAATGTCAGAACATATAGCTCTATTTTATCACATGATTTACTTAATGTCAAAAAGCAAAACTAAATTCTGTCAAAATAATATAAAAATTCATTGCCTGATTTACGTAATGTCAGAATACAAAACTAAATGTTGATACTTAATTTGAAAACATGTTCTTGTGCTAAGTCATGTTAGGTTAAACAATGTTCTTATTCTCTATCAATTCCAGCAGTAAAAAAACTGAACTGACCCCTACACCAGCATCGCTGACCACTCGTAAGATCCAATGAGCTTTAGTCATGTCAAAGTTTTGAGAGGGAGGTCTGGACAACCGGATCTCAGAGATCTGTGCTTGACTCAGACTTTTTTCTTTCACCCCCTTTTCCTTGCCCACCACAGGTTTAGACTTGGCTTTAGCAACAGCTTTTTCCACTTTAGGTGGCGGAGAAGGCTCACGTTCTTTGTTTGTAACTGATAACAGAGAAAAAAAATTTAAATAAATGAATTGATTTCTATCAGGTTGGTTTTTCATGCTGAAAATATCTTACAAGAAATTAGATGACTATTTTTAGCTACATCAGGGATCAGCATGGTCGAGTGGGAAAGCACATGGTTTCTAAATTGAAAAGTCCTGAGTTCAAACCCCCGGGCAGATAAGGTTCGAAAGTTGGGGACAACAACTAGTCTAGGAGAGATAACTCCAAAATCAAACAACTGCTGCCTTGAAGTTTGTTCTTGGTTGGACAAAGGCTATGGAAGCAAATCCAAAAAGAAAAGCAGGCTGAAATCAGTAAGCTGACCAAAGGGTGCCTGACATGTTGAATTGTAATATTTAGTTGTATGAGCCGACCCGCGGCGTATCATACGCCGCTATTTAGTTGTTGTTTTTTCTACTTTTCAGTAATTCATAATTTGTGAATTCGACAGTACCAATGCTGCCACTGAAAATATTTGCTTTAAAACACTATCAGTAGGTCGTTAAGGACAATACTACCCCCACCCTCCTTTCCCCCAACCCCTACCCTACACCCCCCCCCGGTAAAAGCAGCCTCCTCTTAGTTACCTCCCCTAAGTTTAAAATAGTTTCAAACTAAATTATCTGCCCCTAGTAGCCGTCACTAAACCCGGCTTTATGATTGTAAACATTTAGCGTGAAGCACAGCTCACCAGACCATGTAGGGGTGGGGTGGTAGGGAGCGCGCTTACAGCTTGTTTTCTAGCGTCTCCCAGAAGAGAATTATATATATAGATTGCAGGAAATTCCCTCCAATATTACAGTTAACATTACTTTTTTTTAGAGATTCTGTCCATTAACAAAGTTGTTGCAACAGATCTTGAGATTTTATCAGTCCATTGTGTTTAAACACTACTGTGTCCAGAACTGTTCTCATTGGTCAGACTATCTACAAACAAATCTTCAACATAAAACACAAGCCCTTAATGTTTCCAACATCTGATGAAGGAACAGCCAATAAATCACAAATATTTTTTTAGAATCCTTCACAAATATCTCATAATGATATTGATATTTTATATTTATATTAAAATTTTCTGCCTAATAAGTCTTGTAGGACTAGTCTGCACATCACAGATGCTTTCAGACATATCACTGTTACATAATAGATGCATATTCCTCTACAACACAGGTGCATCTTCTAGCACCTCAAAGGTGCAACTTATTATAGCACATCACAGGTGCAACTTCTAGCACATCACAGGTGCAACTTCTAGCACCTCAAAGATGCAACTTCTAGCACATTAAAGGTGCAAGTTCTAGCTTGGCAACCCCTATTAAATAAGTGTGTGATGTGAAACATTAGAAAAATAAAACCAGCTGACCTTTTAGTTCATTTTTTTCCATTTCTTTCAGCATCTGGACATGTCTCCATCCACTCTCAGAGAGGGGCCAGCTGTTCTGTAGGACTGTGGCCTGGATGGTGTACTTGTGGGGCTAGACAGACAGACAAAAGTTTAGTGACTAGACAGACAGCATCTGGACATGTCTCCATCCACTCTCAGAGAGGGGCCAGCTGTTCTGTAGGACTGTGGCCTGGATGGTGTACTTGTGGGGCTAGACAGACAGACAAAAGTTTAGTGGCTAGACAGACAGACAAAAGTTTAGTGACTAGACTGACAAACAGACAACAGTTTACTGGCTAGACAGACAGACAGACAATAGATCAGTGGCCTGGATGGTGTACTTGTGGGGCTAGACAGACAGACAGACAACAGTTTAGTGGCTAGACAGACAGACAGAAAAAAGTTTAGTGGCCTGGATGGTGTACTTCTGGGGCTAGACCGACACACAAACAGACAATAATTAAGTGGCTGAAAGGCCACACAGACAGACACAGACATTGAAGTGTAGAGATACAAGATGTGGAACTGTTTTCACCACTGAATCTAGTGCAACATGGACATACCTTGCCCTCTTCTGGTTTTTCTGGTGGCTCCACATCCGATTTAGCGCTGCTCCTCTGTAAAAGGCACAAGGTTAGCAGTTTTAAGACAACATACTAAAGCTACAGTATTTTAAAGTTTCTAGGGCATCCCAGAGTTCCCCAGCCCAAATTGGTACCTTACACCTGTCTGGGATCAGCTAGCTTACACATGCTTATTACATTCTACTGCTGCATTATCATTAACTCTACTTCATCTACCCTGACCACTATCAGATGTCTGTTGTATTTTGTTACTTCCATTGTTTAAAGAGGAGACTCACAGAGGGTGGGGGTGGGTCAATAGGAACTATTGACTCCATTCTTTTATGTTTGGAGGTAGTTTTCTCAGCTTTAGACTGCCCAACTTGTGACGTTGTCTTGACCGCTAACAAAAGATACAATATATAAGATAAATGTGTGTATATATATATATATATATATATATATATATATATATATATATACATATATAAAGATAGGCCTATTTGATTTAATTTAGCTGAATAAAAATTTGTTTACTTCTATAAGTATTATATTAGTAATCAATATCTAATATAATAATATAAATAACTTTATTTACCAAATCATTTTTAAAATCAGTTTAAATTCAATGTAAAAACAATAAAACTAGATGAAAACTGTGATATGTTTAATTATTGATATGTTTAATTATTTGACTGGCCCTAATTCAAACACATTTTCATCAATGTACGTGTAGCTAATCTTGTATTTTATAACCCTCTTTATCAACATCAATAACTGTCTACACAAGTTTACAGAACAGCTAATTATTGATTTTCTAACAACAAAAAAAGCTTTTGGTAACACATCCCAAATTGAGTAAATAGCTGTTGATTTTTGTATGTTGAACATTGAATACAAAAAGATAATTCACTGATTCACTGATTTTTGTATGTTGAACATTGAATACAAAAAGATAATTCGCTGATTTTTGTATGTTGAACATTGAATACATAAAGATAATTCGCTGATTTTTGTATGTTGAACATTGAATACAAAAAGATAAAGTAAAATGTGAATGGAACAAAACAGCTGTAAAAAAACACAATCAACAAATTACCTTGGAACAATTTTTCATTTAGGTCTTCTGGTACACTATACACTTTAAAGCAATTATATAAGAGTTATCTCTTTGTTAAACCATTATTATAAGGGTTATTTATGACTCTTTGTTAAGTGTTATTATGGGTTATCTAAATCTATGACACTTTGAATTGTATTTATATGCCTAACCTTGACTCTTTGTTATAACTATTTATGTAATGGTTATCTATTACTCTTTCTTAAAACCATTACTCTAATGGTTATCTATGACTCAAGGGTGTTAAAGGTTATCTATTGCTCTATGACTCAAGGTTGTTAAAGGTTATCTATTGCTCTTTGACTCTAGGGTGTTAAAGGTTATCTATTGCTCTATGACTCAAGGGTGTTAAAGGTTATCTATTGCTCTAAGACTCAAGGGTGTTAAAGGTTATATATTGCTCTATGACTAAAGGGTGTTAAAGGTTATATATTGCTCTATGACTCAAGGGTGTTAAAGGTTATCTATTGCTCTATGACTCAAGGGTGTTAAAGGTTATGTATTGCTCAAGCAACATTTCCAATCATAGCCTGACAAAATGTCCACATAAAAAAATGGTCTAAGTCCAATCCTTTTGGCCTTTCTTCCTCTTTGAAAACATGAGCATACAAATAACAATGTAACTCCTGTTTAAGCTAAACTAGAGAGGACATATGGACTTAACTAACAAACAAGAGGACTTAACTAACATAATAGGAGACTTACATGTTATAGTAGAGGACTAACACAACACAGGAGAGGACATACATACCACAGGAGAGGACTAACACAACAAGGAGAGGACTAACACAACACAGGAGAGGACTTACATGCTCTAGAGCTTGACCTCCTGGTCTCATCCTCCAGTGAGTAGGACTTTTGAAACATGAAGGCAGGGATGACCACATGACCTTTGCCCACTGCACTGATGACCTCCTCGTCAAAGTCAAAAATGGACAGCTTGATGTAGACGTCACGCTTGGACGTGCTGACCTGCAGGCTGACAAAATGGTCGTCCACTGTCTTCACTGATTGTCTGAAATCATTAGTTGACCATTGTTAATTAGGTCCATTTTATCTCTGATTGTCTGAAATCAGTAGTTTACCAGAGTTGATGATATCCATTTTATCACTGATTGTTTGAAATTAGTAATTGTTTTGAGGTTATTTTTCTAAAGTGATTTCTTGAAAATTATCCAGCTCCCAACCAATAGCATGGATCATCTAGTTCATATGTTCATAATCTGGGTTTGATGAAACCTCAGGGGTTCAGTGTGTCAGTCAAATGATTTAATCATTTAAATGCACATGTGAAACTGGTGAGATTCGGTTTATTCAAAAAGACATTTAGACAAATGTATTGATGTTTCTAAACATTTTCTCATTTTGTTTTTCAGTACAAGAAAATTTTTCTTCTTAAAAAGAAAAGATTTTGTCGTTTGAGCCAGTACTGACCTGAAGATGATGTTGTTTGTGTTAGGGATGTGATGTTGTTTGTGTTAGGGATGTGATGTTGTTTGTGTTAGGGATGTGATGTTGTTTGTGTTAGGGATGTGATGTTGTTTGTGTTAGGGATGTGATGTTGTTTGTGTTAGGGATGTGATGTTGTTTGTGTTAGGGATGTGATGTTGTTTGTGTTAGGGATGTGATGTTGTTTGTGTTAGGGATGTGATGTTGTTTGTGTTAGGGATGTGATGTTGTTTGTCCCAGTTAATACTGACCTGAAGATGATGTTGTTTGTGTTAGGGATGTAAAAGTCTTTGATTTCTTTTGTAACAAAGTTACAGGTCACCTCTGATGTCACTGGCGCAGGCAGCGGACTATTTGAACCAATCAGACGCATGCGCCAGCTGTTGGACTGTAGAGGTTGCTCCACAGTTCTTGCCTCTGCTACAAAAGAGTAGCCTTTCTGCAGGAGGGAATAATTACCAGTGTTGATTCATAATTCAAATCACTTGTCTTAAATTTTGTTCATATTTATTATATGGCGATAAAAATATAAATTTTTTTTAGTTCAGTAAGACAAAGAAAAATATTTTAAAATTTATGATGTTATTATTAAATTAAAAAATGAGTTTATACCTTGTTTTTCTTGTAAATGTATGGGGCAGTTTTCTGAAAAACTCTGGGGATTTCCTCATACGTGTCATTATTTATGACACGTAACATACAAGTGTTTATGGGGACGTATAGTTTAGGTACCACCAGCATTTCTTCTTTTACATGGAATATATCTCTGTGGAACAAGGTCACTCTCTATATCAAACATGGAATATATCTCCGTGGAACATGTCACTTTCTATATTAAATGTGACACAACAGATTCTGTACAATAAAGCTAATATGTCTGCTTTATAGTATAAAAACAAGACAGAAATATTAATGAATAAAAGTAAACATTTTTGTATTTTAAAAAAAAACACATTTAAAAAAGTAATCATTTTCAAAAATGGCATATAGTTTACAAATAAAGTTGTGCATTTAATCAAACCTGGGAGCCTTGACTGACCTGAAAACAATGAACCAATTCATGGACGGCTGGTCGGGAAATGTTCCTTTGTAGTCCGCGTAGGCTATCCTGTTCCACTCATCTTTATAGAACGGATAGTGAGGCATTATATCCGGGCATTTCTTGAACATCTCCCTAGAATGGAAATCAGAAATAGAATACATTGTAAAATGTGCTGTGGTATTTAATTCATGAAACCACAAAGTAGAATTAATTATTAGATAATCAAACAGAAATCAAATACCTTAATAAAAACAGGCCATTCTCTTCAGCATTTGCTTCAATAAATGGCCAACATTTGCTCAAAGTGTCATAGACTTTGCTATTCTCTTCGGTTCCTAATAATAAATTATTTACAAGTGACGTTATATCAATAAGTTTGTGATTTGTCATATGTAAAACTACATGGGAATGAATGTGTCGTTCCCCCTTTCTAAAAACTGCATGAGATTTAGTTTACAATGTTAGAGAGTTGATCACAACAACTTTATTGGAGTGATGACAACTGGGACTTACCTGCTTTTCTTGCTTCTCTGATCTTGCGCACCAAAAAACCACGCCATGTTTTCTGAATCTTCACCGAGGCAACTTGTTCTTCTAAGGTTGGTTCTCTGTATCAGATTGAAAGCATTATCTTAGGAGACAGCATCACATTAGTTCTTGAGATTTTGTTTATTTGAAAAATCGATGGGTTATGTACTACATGAGAAGGGTCCTATGTTACACCAGGAGAATCGGATACAAAGCATTGGGTCTATAGAACAATGAATTTAGTTTTATGGCTACCAGGGCATTGTGGGATAACAGTGTTGCCATTGACCTTCATTATAAGGCAGTAAAGGTCAAGCACACATTGCTGTTAACAGATGAAATAAGATGTCACCACAACCCACTACTTTAAGCTCTACTTTAAACAAATCTATTGCAAGTTATTATTCAGAGGATTATTTATCTAAAAATGTTTAGGATGTTTTTTTACAAACTAATTATTGTTTAATATATCAATTTTTAAACTATATTTAAAAATATTAAAATCTAAAAATTACTTATAAAAATAATTTCAAAACCTGAAAACACTGTTTAAAGGAAAGGAAATTTTCACTATGATCACAACTACAACTGAACAGTTTTCAACAGGATAATTAAAGAAACCATGAAAAATATATCATTGTATTAAACAAAAAATACTTGAACTTCTGACTATGATTCTAGTAAGCTTAAAATTCCACAGTTTTAAATGACGAATTTTCATAATTTTTATTGTTAATGTATTTTTTCAAATATTTTCAACTAAAAGAGTAAGTTTTTATAAATGACTTGTTTAGATAAACAAGAATGCACATTTTTACTTCACTGCAAAAATAAACTTAGAAGAAGGGAATCTATTAACTTTTTTCTGTGCTTTCCTCATTTCAAAATTGTAAAAATTTGCCTTATTAAAACCAAGAAAACATACAAAAATATAACAATGAATGTGTACATTAAAACAAAATGGTGAGGGCATAAATCATATCTTCCAATTGAAGATAAGCAAACAAAAGGTCAAAGGTCAAAAGTTTGGACATCCTGAACTGCAGAAAAAATAAATTCAAAAACAGAAAACAAAATTGTAAACAAAAAAATCTGGCTAAGCATACTTGTACAGTAGTTGAGGACTGAAAGTTTGAAAAGAGAGTAATCATTTGTTTTTAAAATTCTTTGACAACTCACATATAGATTACTCAACTGTTTAAAAAACTTGCTCTAGCTATTTAGATTGATTCTCATTACCAACTATCCATGTATTTAAAAATCTAGAAAGTTATTTATTGCAGTTTAGAAATAAATTGTATACTTGACAATATTTTACAAATATTTCAATGAGCTGGTTTAAGGTGACCAAATTATTATCAAAATCTTTACACAACAACAACTCCCATAAAGTGTAAACAGCAACATAGAAATTAATTGTAAACGTGACATACTCAAGACTGTATGAGCTGAAATTAAGGAAATTATCTCATTAGTTTTAATGACTAATAAAAACAAATATATAATTGTATCCAAATAATGTGTTAAAAGTTATTTAAAGAACTAACTCAGCAATCGACCTTAGATCTTGGACTAGTACTTTTTTTTTTCTAAATTTTTTATTTTTAAAAATAATGATGTAAGTTTTTAATCTTTAAAAAAAAACATGTGAATGCTTACGAATAATCAAAACCTGCTTCTTTAAAAAATACTGAACAGAAATAAGATATTAAAAATATCTAAGCTAGAATGAAATGAAGAAGCTAAACACAAATAATTTAAATGTATGGGAAACATGGTTTTAAAAGAGGTTTAAATAAAATTCAAGAACAGGTTAATAATTAAAATGTTCACGTACACATCAGTATCGGTGCTGTAAAATAAAAACAAATGATTAATTGCCTAATTGTGATTGATAAGAGTAAATTTAATTTGTCTAAATAAAATTTCATTAAACTACCACAAAATTATAACTGTTCATTTAGATACAACAAAGATATTTTACTAAGCTAGTTAAATATGCCGAGATAATTTAATAACAGCAAAAGCTGTATTTAGATATTTGAAGTGAGTTCAATGTTTTTTTAAATGAATTATCAATAAAAGAAAATTTAAAAGTCATAAATGTTTTAAAAAACTGAAAGAAGAACATAAAATCAACAGCAATAAAATTGTATGAAATGTAACCTACTGGGAGAGTGTACTGTAGACAAAAATATAGGAGATGATCATTTTAGAGAAAGCATAAAGATAAAAAGTTTTAGTTTATGTTAGTAACATCTACAGCAACTAAATTAGAATATATGTTGTATGATAAATGTCTTGGTTAAAGATAATGGTAGCCTATCAACTAAAATAAATGAAAGCCATTTTATTATTTAAACAAAACAATTAAAACATTTTTTTTTTATAAATTTAGTTACCTGAGTGTCCAGGGGTAATCTATTTTCTCACTCTCAGCTGTTTTAAAAACACAAAGTAAATGTAAACAATGAATGCAGCAATATTGTTACACAGTAAATGTAAAGAATGAATGCAGCAACATTGTTACATAGTAAATGTAAAGAATGAATGCAGCAAACAATGGTTCCTGTGTAAATACTACATTCTCCCATTCTACCATTTCACTCATTCATTTCACCTGTTGACATTTTGAGTTCAAATGCCTTATGATGATATAAATATTTTTTAAAACAAATTTAATTACCAAAGTCAGTGTGGCTTGATTCTGTTTACATCACAGCAGGTGGCAAAAGGATTAAAAAAAAAACAATAGTTGTTAAAGCAACATAAAGTGTTCAAATAATATGATCTATTTCAAGAGTTTCTGTGAAAGGCTCAAATTTTTTCTTCTCACACAGGATCATTTAACACAGCTGCTATTTTAAAGTGGCTTACAAAGCCTGGTCACTTAAATTTATTATCTAAAACTATTTGACGATTAGAATAATTAAAATAACTGATAACATAAAATAACAACAAATAGGTTTTAAAAAGTTTAAAAGTGATGATTAGTCATGATTAAAATATTGTTTAAAGATGTAGAGTTCTAAACTCTGACCAAGCCTAGGCAATATAGAAAGGCTGTTGTTTTATTTTTATTTTAAAAAACTTGATTAACGGTAGATTAGGTAAGCGTTAAGTAAAACTGAAAAAAATGAAATTTAGTTAGGCTTGTATAAGGTGATTATGAGCACAAAATTGTATTTCCAACTACCTAAAGTATAGATTCTTTAAAAAAATGTTATTGAGTGGTACTAAAATTTGAAAGTAAAATACAAAAGTTTTAGAGTTATATTAAAGTTTACAGAAGAAAAAAAAAAGCATTGTTGTATATAGATCTAGAATAAATAAACATTTTCTAACAGAGTTTTTCGACATGTAAATCTAGACTAATTTATTTTTATTTTCTAAGACATTTATTCTATACAAAAAAATGTTTTTTTCTAAGGTATTTTTTTTACATGCATAAAACTTTAAAAAAAAGTATTTATTGTTTTTAAATATTATAAAAATATATTTCTAGGCATTGAATTTAATTTGAGATTTGTTTTGAAAATGTGATATTGTAGTCTGCTCAGACTTTGTAGACACAGCAATATATGCAAAACTGATCTAAACTTTCAGCCTTGTTGTGTTTGAGTAGTTATGTCAGCATATCCTACATATTTTAAATGCTGATATTTTAATTGGTCAAAATATAATATTTCTTTATAAAATTGTTTTATTTTATTTTAGTATTTGTTTCAACAGCTACCTAAGTTAATTATAAATATAGCATTAGTTTTGTTATTAGATCATTCTTGCTGCAAAACAATTTAAAATTGCTTTTAGTGAATCAAAATAGAAAAGTTATTTTCCTCAGAAGTAATGTGACTAAATTATGTAAATTTAGAAATTTCCATTTTCAGGCCATCACAATCGACGGTAAAGTAAAGCGTCAGTCTAATTTATTTTTTGTTTGATTATTCTAAAATAAAATATTACTGATGAATGTATTTTCCAATGTTAATATATATATATATATATATATATATATATATATATATATATATATATATATATATATATATATATATATATATATATATATATATATATATATCATTTCTGTTAGAGTGTGAATGGTAAAAATAGCAGATAAACTATAAGACACATAAAATGAAAGTAAAAATAAATATTGACTTTTTGTGTGTTAAAGTAGCTAACATTACTACAACAGCAAAGACCAGAAATAATTCAGCTATAATTTAAAAAATTGTTTGTTACTAAGCTGAAATGTAGTTGGGCTAGTACCTGCTGTTTTTTCTGCAGATGCAGTCCCTCCGCCTTTGTCAATATTATTATAAATAATAAAAATGAAACATTAACCAGCAAAATATAGAAAAAATGTTTCTGTAATTAATAATAGTGCACCATTTATACATTTAAATAAATTGTTTTATAGTTTTGGATAATTTTCAAATTAATTTTATACTTTATAGTTGAAAAATATTACAGAACCGTTAGCAGTTTAAAATTGGTGAAGAGAGTGCAACAAAAACTCTGCAGTTCAAAGTGGTCTCAGTGACATAAATTACAGGGAGAGAAGTTTATAAATAAAACTTTAGAGTAACAAAAACATGTATCTTAGTGAAAATTATAACAATTTTGAGAGAATCTTTAACTTATTCATAATTTGCTCAACTTTCCCCAAGTCTATAGACAAATTTATAACCGAAGCAGCGTCATGAAAGTATGAACCAAAATAAAATTCTTACGTTTCTTGCTGGGTTGTTTGGCTGAGCTTCGAACACTGGCACCACCCGCTGTAGCTGTAGACAGAAATAATTGAATGAATAAACAAAATTTGGTCAGCACTAAGCTTTGCCCAGAGAAATAAATTCATACAAAATAATAAAGGGAAATATTTTGTTCTAAGCCTGCTGATAAATATTTTGAGGAGATTCATGTAGCTTGTCCACCATAAATATGTTTTTTATAGCAGTAAAAAAACATGAGAAATGAGGCTAATAAATCAAGTATTACAAGACCAACTTAATACTTACAATAACATGTAACTTATTAATTTGTATCAAACAATGAAAACACTTTAAAATGTTTGAATTTTATATATAAATAGAATAGTAAAAAACTAAGGTACTGATAAGACAGTAAACACTATACCATGAATACAATTTGTTATTCAATTGACAATAACAATTGGTGCTCAAATCAAAATTGAAAACATGTCAAGAAAGTTCCAGATGAACAATCACATAAATTTGAAAGTGGTAAACTTAAAAACGAATCCACTAAAAGATAATCAAGCACAGACTTAACAAAACTCAACTACATACATGTTGTATTTCTTCTTTCCATATCTGTTAAAATAATTTAAATAAATATATTCAATCTTGAACCAATATTACCAGATTATAAATGTACAGGAACATCAAATATATCATCAACAAATAAGTCAACTGGGGGGGGGGGGGGGGGTCATCAATAAATGACATCATACTTTATAAATGAATTTCACCTCCCTCACCCTTACAATTAGTACTCAAATCAAAATTGACAACATGTCAAGAAAGTTCCAGAAGAACAATCACATAAATTTGAAAGTGGTAAACTTAAAAACGAATCCACTAAAAGATAATCAAGCACAGACTTAACAAAACTCAAATACATACGTGTTGTATTTCTTCTTTCCATATCTATTAAAATAATTTAAATAAATATATTCAATCTTGCACCAATGTTACCAGAAAATAAATGTATAGGAACATCAAATATATCATCAACAAATAAGTCAACTGGGGGGGGGGGGGGGGCCTTCAATAAATGACATCTTAATATGACATCAACCTACCCCAAATTTTTTTCTTTTTTGAGAACAAAGAAGTTTATGCATGGTTTATTTTTTTCAATATTAAAACATATACATATGTTTTTAATTTGAATTTTTTTTAAAATCATATATTATTTTTCCTATTTAGAAAGGTTTATTTTTAAGTGAAAGTAATCTACTTTTCAATAATAATCCTATATTTAGAACCCTTTCTCGAATATTCTTATATAAAACAACAGAAAATGGCCACTCGGGATATAGACATGATTTTTAATCCATTTTAAATACTTAAACTTTTAAAAATAGAATAGAATCTCGTAGAAAAAACTATTGCACACCAAGTGAACGCCAAGTGAAATGTGCATAATGGTGCAGAATATTATTAGTACTTTATAAATTCACATGCGTATTTTGAGAAATCGGAAATAGTGTAAATTACTACTTCCGGTCAACGGAAATTACTCAAAATTTGATAGAAGGTAGAGAATTAGATCTTTTACTTACATGTGAAATTTCATTTATCTATCTATATATATAATTCTCTTCTTCGAGCCGTTAGAAACAAGCTGCAAACGCTCTCCCTACCTCCCCACCCCTACATGGTTTTAGTGAGCTGTGTTCACTCTAAATGTTTACAAGCAGAGCCAACAATTTTAAACGTAGGGGGGGAGGGGGGGGGGGGGGAAGGAAGGGGGGGGGGTTATGGTCCTTAACGAGCTACTTATAGTGTTTTAAAGAAATATTTTCAGTGTCAGCGTTGGTACTGTCGAATTCACAAATTATGAATTATTGAAAATTAGAAACAACTAAATAGCGGCGTATGTTATGCCGCGGGCCGGCTCGTCTGAAATGGTACTCAAGTTATAGGTTTTTGAAAAATTCAAAGTAGATAAAATTCCACTTCCGGTTATCGGAAATCGCTCAAAGTTGATACAGATCTACTATTTTGATATAATACTTATGTATGAAATTTCATCAACCTACCTGTAACGGTACTCAAGTTATCGTGTTTACAGACACACACACATACACACACACAGACATATGGACTAGATTGCAAAACTATGTTTTTCCAACACAGGGAGGTGTAAAAAAATCTCTATTTTTTTTTTGCACGATTACAAGACTTTCTCTATACTTCGTATATATGAGAAAGTAAAAATCAAGATCTCCCTCACCCATATAATTGAGATTAACATAAACAACTGCCAAACATGAACACAAGAAGGGAGAAATCATAAATTTTTTAACATCAAAATTCATCTATTTTTCTAATAAATAATTATTTCTTTTTAATTACACATGTTTGGTATTTTAAAAACATTTTTAAAAATATAACCCCTGACTTAAATTAGTATATTTATATTCACTAGGTAATCAAAATACATTCTTTGAAAGAAGCTGTTTAAGTATTTTGATATTTTATTAAATCTACAAACTTAACATGTATTCTTTAAAAAAATTATCATAAAACATGAACTAAGTAAAAAATAAACAAAATCTGAGCATTTTTTTAAAGGTCTGAACATCAACATGTGATAATACCTGGTTTGTTTTCAGCCTGATTCTCTGTGAGAGAAGGTTACATACAGATTTTAAAAGTTCAAGATTGTGTAAAAATATTCTTTACATTTATGTAACAAGTTTTTCAAATCAACCTCTAGGCGATAATAACAGGAAGACAAGCAGTTTAAAAATCTGGACTTGACGAGTGACTACTCAACTCCTGACTTGTCTTTGTGTGTAGAATAAAACTTGACTGTAGGTCCATTCAGGTCAAACAGATAATTTAATGTTAAATTTAAATTAATCAAAATCTAAACAAAAAAAATATTTTACAACATAAAAAAAAGTGATTTCACGATTACAAAAACATATTAGAATCAAGAACAAGTAATTTTATAAATAAAAATACAAGATATTGTCATTAAAATAAAGAATTTTTTTTTTTTATCTTAAAAAAATCTGGGGATGGATATAATCGTAATATGCACCCAAAACCAAACAGAATAAAGGCAGAGAAAAATCTTTGTTCAAACTGGCACATACCTTCATTTTTTTCTTTATCTATTTAGAGGAATAGAAACATTGACATTTGCTTTGAAAAACACTAAATTAATAATTTTAAATGGTTCTTGTGTTTCTATATTCAAAAGTGGTGTTAACGTACACATAAAGTTTCCTTTTGAACCTTTTTTTGTCCTTGATGCAAGTGAAGTAGAGTTCACCTGTTTCTATGACCTCTACATATAAAGGAATAGTGTGGTCAGCACTATGCCCACCCGCCTTTATTTTCCCCAACATGTGTTAAGTACTAATCAGAGCTGGACGGACTCAGAGACGTTCTACTGGCTTGAACCCAGATTCAAACTTGAGACTTTTGGGTTGGCAGTCTAGCGCCCTATTGGCTGGCCATGTCCTTCCCTAATGTACATGTGTACAGCAAATAATAATCATTAAAAAAGTTTTAAAAAACCCACGTTTTCTGATTGAACTAAAAAGTAGAAAATAAATACTATACATCACAATAATGCAAGCGATCACTCTACTATAAGCGATCAAAAACGTGGGGCGCCGAAGTAAAAGTTATATTACTATTGATTAGATAATACTATTGACTTTTATTAGGGAGCATGTAGAGAGTCAACAGTATTAGAAACTGTAAGAAAATCACGGCGCCCCACGTTTTTGATCGCTTATAGTAGAGTGATCGCTTGCATTATTGTGATGTATAGTATTTATTTTCTACTTTTTAGTTCAATCAGAAAACGTGGGTTTTTTAAAACTTTTTTAATGATTATTATTTTCTACTTTTTAGTCTTTGTCTGTTTGTTTGCATTAAAATCTTGCTATCGATTTTATCTTTTCACTTTTTTTTTGGGTAAACGAAGACAACTCGTAAAAAGACAACTCGTAAAAAGACAACTCGAAAAAAAATCGTTGTGTGAATTACGTTACTGACTAGAACACATAGATTTGAACCCGTGTCGAGTGGGATAGCAATCGTGTGCCCAACCACTCGACCATATCGTCTCCCCCAAACTGGCCTACATCCTGTAAGTTTAAACTCGGTTTAAAGTAAATTATCTGCCCCTAAGCCTGTGGCAACGTGGGATCGTTCGCTTCACTGCGCGCGAGGTACGCGTCGCTGGTTTTTTTTCTAATGGCTCGCAGAGGAGAATTATATATATAGATTATATAGCGGTCTAAAATGCTCAATAAAATGTTTCCATTGATCAATTTAGTAATAATAACAATTGCATATTCTATGGTCATCCAAAAGAAAGCTTCCCTGAAAATTTCAGCGCGCTAGCTAACTGGGAAGTGCCAGAAATTTCGATCGCAAGATTTGATTGGAAAGACAAACAAACACAGAAACACAGACACAGAGAAAGCAAGTTAAAGAAAACGTGGGAAAATATAAAGCTGGTCTGAACTTTTAAAACTTATCAACATAACAATAATATAAATAATTATTGTGTACATATTTATATAAAAGTACAGCAAATGTCTATAAGTTAACCAAAGATTTAAGTCAATTACGCTAAGGCCTTTTATAACACAAGACATGACCTGTCTCAACACAAGACATGACCTGTCTCAATACAAGACATGACCTGTCTCAACACAAGACATGACCTGTCTCAACACAAGACATGACCTGTCTCAACGCAAGACAGTTACAAAGTTTCAGTAGATATAAAACAAAATTAAAGAACAGTAAAATCAAATCAAAACCTTTAAAACAAAAAATAAACATTTAAAGTGCTTGAAAAATTCAAACATACATGTAGTACTTCTTCTAGCTCCCCCTGCAATAAATATAATTCCATCAATTAATAATTATGTTATCTTTTAGTAAAATTCTATTTCAGCATAAATTAGACCTAAGTGGAAGATAGATAGATGTTACAATTTATTTGAAAACCTCAAGGTATTGAGAAAAACTGCTAGAGAATTTGAAAGACAGCACTTCTCTATCAGCACCTGGCTAAATGCCAACAAAAAATGGCTGCTGAAAGATGGTAGACTGTATGAGGTGCTGTTAGGACAAGATTATAGAAAAATCTATCCAGTTTTATTACCTCTTTCAAAAAAGTAGAATAACATTGCCATAGTTGGAGAAATGAGAAGAAAATTACATGAAACACATCATCAAGGGATTTAAATTACATAGAAAATGTGATTGTGTCGATTCAAAACAAATGAGTATTATACAATGGCAGTCTTGCCACTTTTATTAAATTTTATTTAAAAACTTTATGTTTTTGGTCAGCACTATGCCCAGCCACCTTTACTTTCCCTAACATGAGTTAGGTACCCATCAAAGCTGGGTGGACAGGGACATTCTACAATAATCCTCTAAAAAAAATAATTAATTAAGATAAAAAAAACAAGACAGTTTAAGTAACAATAATTTCTGGATATTTTCATTATTTTGCTATGGAAAATTTTACATTTTTTTTATGGAAAATGACAAATATTGTCAAAGAATGAAAGGAACATGAATTAAAATGTACGAAAAAACATTCAAGTAAAAGTTTATAACAAATTATGTATCTATTTGTTAGAACTAATACAAATATTTTACAGTACTTGAGTTCAATTGAGAAGTCAATGACCCAGGCAGTGTTTCTACCAGACTTTTTTCTCCAGGGGGAGGGGGGGGGGGTTAGGGGGGGAAAGGGCGCTTGAAATTCTCGGGGGGGGGTTAGACTTGCTTCGGGGGGCGGACACTGTTAAAAGTATATATTTTCTATATAAATTATGTAAATTTCATTTCGTTCGGGGGGCGTTAAAAATTTTTCGGAGGCCCCCCCCCCCCCCCCCCCCCCCCGAAGAGATGCCTGGAAGAAACTCTGGACCCAGGTGACCAACCTCTTACTAAAATAACAAACTAACAAGAGCAGACATACCTCCAATAGATTGTCTGCTCTGCAATGCTGTAAAAAAATGTGTCCACAGAATTTGAATAAAAAATGAAAAAAAAATAGAGACAGTGGCCTAAACCATAAATATAACTTTTATAAAACTAAAAAAATAACAAATCACTTTCCCAGAATCAGATTGTTCATATCTAGCTTTTGTTTTGTTCAAGATTTATACAGTGTTGTGTTTTAAATCCATCAAGGCATCATGGTAAAGAAAACTGTGACTTTAGCTCTCATTATTATTATACCACGATTCCCTTTCACCAAGTACTTAATATAGAAATATTAAGGAAAACAAAAACCTGAAATCCCTACTGTGAGCAATTTTTTAAAAACTGTAGATAAAAGAGTGGGGCTCAGGGGAAGCAAATTGTTTACACAGAAATATATATTTAACTTAAGAAATAATCAAATACTAACTTCTCTATACTTCATACATCAAGGAAAAGTAGGATTTTTTTTTTTTTTCAAAACAACTATTTTAAAGAAAGATTATCTATTTTAATTTACGGTTTAAGATCTTAGTAAACAAACAGAAAAAATAATCAGAAAAGAAAATAAATCAACCACAAACAGTACCAGAAGCTGTCGATTTGAAATCTTCTCCAGGAGCTAAAAATAGACAAAACTTTGATCAACAGATGCCCAAAAAAACAAAAAGTTTTAACAATGACATCATAACATTTGTTAAACAGTTTTGTTAAAGGTGGTGAAGACGTTTGAAACAAGATTTAGTAAACATGTAGGCCTATTTAAATGTTTAAATGTTTATGAAAATAAATCTGTTTGATTGAGCAAAAACTACCAGCTAGTGTTGAGCTGTTTGATTGGACAAAACACTTCAGCTGATGTGAACAGAGCTGTTTGATTGGACAAAACACTTCAGCTGGTGTGAACAGAGCTGTTTGATTGGACAAAACACTTCAGCTGATGTGAACAGAGCTGTTTGATTGGACAAAACACTTCAGCTGATGTGAACAGAGCTGTTTGATTGGACAAAACACTTCAGCTGATGTGAACAGAGCTGTTTGATTGGACAAAACACTTCAGCTGATGTGAACAGAGCTGTTTGATTGGACAAAACACTTCAGCTGATGTGAACAGAGCTGTTTGATTGGACAAAAAACTTCAGCTGATGTGAACAGAGCTGTTTGATTGGACAAAACACTTCAGCTGATGTGAACAGAGCTGTTTGATTGGACAAAACACTTCAGCTGATGTGAACAGAGCTGTTTGATTGGACAAAACACTTCAGCTGATGTGAACAGAGCTGTTTGATTGGACAAAACACTTCAGCTGATGTGAACAGAGCTGTTTGATTGGACAAAAAACTTCAGCTGATGTGAACAGAGCTGTTTGATTGGACAAAAACTACCAACTAGTGTTTGCACACAGTAAAATTTTCTGCAGCCCTAGAACATGTCCAGTAACAGAGACTTCCCCATACAACTTAACAAGCCAGGTAATAGGTAGGGCCTATAGCTCTTTAACTATCTACCATTTACAGATAAACTATGCTCTGTCAGTTTAGATAAGTAAAAATGACAACTTGAAGTGAAAATATACAAAAGAAACTGATGTAAAACTAAGCTAAAAACTAATTCAGAAATAATGTAATAACCTATCAAAAGATCCAAATTTAAAAGAATGTGCTTCAAAGGTAGAAGAAATAGCACAAATGAATAGAAAGATCTAGGTGTTTACTTTGGGCCAGAAGGGGAGGATGTATTATTTGCAAATAAAAAAATTAATTGGACAGTTCTTATATAAAACTATTTGTATTTGTAGTGAGTCATAAAAAAATTAATTGGACAGTTCTTATATAAAAACTATTTGTATTTGTAGTGAGTCATAAAAAAATTAATTGGACAGTTCTTAAGTTCTTATATCAAACAATTTGTATTTGTAGTGAGTTATCTTGAACCAGGGTAAGAAAAACAGAGCAACTCTACTGCAAAGATCACTGGGTCTAATAGAGAATTTTATATCATCTACTACATTCCATTATTCTTCTTTGATAGAACTGACCTAATTCCAAGCTTTTTGTATAAAAGGCTGATTGAACAGTAAAAGCTAGCATAAAAGATTTACAATGACCACAATTACTTGTTTAAATGATATATTTTCCCCATGGGAATTATCACAAGATATTGTATTATACATTTACACCCCATACAGAATGATGATGAAGTCATGTTAGCACAGCTATATAAAGTTAACTAAAAAACAAATACAGCAGAAAGTACCAAAAAAAACCATACATTTAAAAATAAAACAATGTGCCCCCCCCCCTCCCCAAAATATATTTTAAAAATTCAGCACCAAAAGTATGTAATTTTTTTTTTTTTTAACATTGAAGAAAACAATTTTTTAAAATGTAGAGCAGAAAATAAAAAAAAAGAGTAACAGATATTAAAAGTAAATTTGTGTTCCTGGTGACGATTTTTTTAAAGGTTAGTTAAGATAGACCAGCAGTGAATCTGATGAATACCAAAGTAAGGGCTTATGCTAGGCATTAGAAGTCTGAGAGAAAGTAGTTACTCTGTCAAACATCTACAGCTAAATCTTTGACTTTTACTTAATAGAGCTTGTCATTTGGCCTATTATTTTCAGAATTTTGGCTAAACATCATACCCTAACGTTAACCCTAATAGCTGAAAGAAACATTCCGGGATTTCAAGTACAGTTTAAACAAAAAATGTGTTCAACTCTCACACAACTACCAGTAAACCATAAAAAAAAACTATACAAACAAACTTTAAGGAAACAAAAAAAAAAATTAAAATTGTTTTAAAACCTCTTTCCTGATTAACAGATGATGTCGGACTAGCTTTGTCTGTGGGATGGAAAGAATTGGAATGCAGAGTGATCAATAATGATAACGATTTCATTTTAAAATGCTGTGTTGGCAAATTTCTAATAACAAAAGATAGCATATTCAATAGTGATCAGAGTAGTTTTTGTGAAAAAACAATTAAATGGCAAAACATGTTATTATTTATTTATTATAAAACATGTAACAGATACTAAGCAGATAAATTAGAATAGAAGACATACATATTTTATTTAACAATATCTGGATTATCTGTAAAAATAGATGAGTGTTGTTAGAATCACAACAGAAAAATAATGTATTCTCTGTAAAATATCATATGTGGTCAAACAGTGCACACTCACACTGCAGAATTATCACAACTTTAGAATGAAACATAATATGGAAAATAAATAGTTATCTATAGAATCAAAATGTAGTCTTGATCAATAAAATGTAATAAGCTTTAAGCTTAAGGTGAGTGAAAATTAAATAAAATAAAGTATTAACTCTTAACTTACAACAGTCAAAAGATTATAAGTTGTTTATCTAAATTTATATTTGAATATTAGCCATGGATTTAATTAAGTTAAAAAAAAACGGTTTGTGCCATACTTAATATTTGAAAATTTACATAAGTTACAAGGTTTGAAAAAAGTGAATATCTGCACATTATGTGACTACTCCCAATGTACCCTATTGATAACCTTGGTTTCTTAGCAGTCCAATGGCTTGCTTCAATGTATATTTCAACATAAAGTGATTAAAAAAATCAATATTTCTAAAATGCACTTAAGTACTTTTTTGCATTGCCTTTCCTTGTTTAAAATAGTAATTCAGTTTATCTTACATTTTAAAATAAAAATGAATTCATCTCTATGTTCAATACGTAGAGAACAAAGATATTACAGTAACTTAGTTTCTCACAACAGTACAAGATCATGTAATTAGTCAAAACCAATCAAATTAATATAGGATATATTAATAACAAACAATTAGACAAATGGTTAATTCATCAAACAAATAATGCTCATACCAGATTGCAGTTTTTCAGCTAATGTGTTCCAGAGAGAAAATAAGCAATGTTAGCCAGAATTTTATGGTACAAATACATAGGACTACAGAAGATAGGAATTTGCAGCTAACTAGTCTATTAAACCATTTTTATAAATCTGGTAAATCTACATTTTACATCTAGCACATAGAAAATGGAATATTAACTTAATTTAGGCATTATAAATTAATTTAAACAAGAACATATTTTTAAAAAAAATTTTAAAAGTAAAATCTTAATTAGCAACAGTTATTGTCAAAATTTTCAAACAAAGATGTTGCTATTAAAAAATCAGTAATTAGAAAATGGATGATTTTTTTTTTACAAATGACTTACCAGGTCTGCTGGCTGTTGGCAGACTCAAGATATTGGGAGTGATGGCGTCATATAGAAAACAGCGCCAAGCATACGCAATCTCTGGGTTAATGATGTCCCGCAGGACTCGACGCAGTAACAGATACAAGGACTCGTTGAATATCTGCAGAGATAATTTGTTTACATTTTATATTTGCCAATGATATACAAGAACTCACTGAATACCTACAAAGATAGTTTGTAAACTTTTACATTTGTCAACTGATACAAGAATTGATTGAATATGTGCAAAGATAATTTGTTAACATTTTTGCTTATATCAAGCTAAACATTAAACTACAATTGAAATATAGTGTAAGTTACTGTATGTCTAGTGACAGGGTGTAGTTTGTCAACCTTAGATATGGAATCAAATAAAGCAAACGCCTTGACAAACCTGAAAATGTTGGACTTTGGACATTTGCTTGATGTGAATATAAGGGCAGTGGTTATTTATAAAAACACTCCATGCTGCTTTAAACTGTTCTGGGTCAGAGAAAACTTGGATGCATTTTCCCAAACTAGTGATAATGGCTAAGGCATTCTCCTTAAAGCGACAGCTCTCCTGAAATGTTCCAGGCAAATAGTACATTAAATCAATATTAAATAAGATATATCTATATCTATCTATATCTATATGTTTATACATCTCTAAGTCTATACATTAATACATCTATATATCTAAAATCTTTATCTACACACACACACACACACACACATATATATATATATATATATATATATATATATATATATATATATATATATATATATATATATATATATATATATATATATATATATATATATATATATATATATATATATATGTGTATCTGACAGCTCAACCTGAGTGCACATGGCGTCTTACATTAGTGAGCAATGGCATAATGGTTTCTTCATCTCCCAGGCTAAAGTTGGCAGTGGAACACAGGTGTAGATGGTGCCCCAGCTGGGAAGATGTTAGCAGCCTTAGCACATGGCGGCTGGAACAAAGACAAGCAACTTAAACACACAATAAATACACTTTTACATTCATCAATGTTAACAGTATTTTTCATAATTGTTTAAAAATTATTTTGCCAGCATTTGAATTTAAAGTAATAATAATAATAAAAAATAAAAATAAACTCATATCTATTTATCACAGATGAACGAACAATATTTTAATTTTTACGTAACATTTTAATAAGATACATTTTTTATATTAACTATTAAGTATTAAAAAATAGTTTAAAATTAGAGTTGTCTTACCCTGGTGGCAAGCTAAGCACCGCTGCCTTGGTGCCAGTGGTTCTCAGTCTCAAGACAGGCTGACCTGTGACCAGACTCTTCCATGAGTAGGGTTCAGCCACCAGTGATCCTGGCGTTATCGGGGTGGGGTTCTTGTGATCCAGGTAGTTGGAGTCTCCTGCACAACAGTGAGAACCAGGGGGTCAACATTACACATTTTATTTATGAAGAAGTAAATCTTTGGTGCTAAAATTGTCTTCAAAAACAGTTTATAACTATATGTTTCATTACATAAAATTTTCAAATGACAGGTTAAACTGTTTAATTTGTTAAGCCACCTCTAATTCTCCAACAAACAATAATTTTGTGCAGTACGTTACCATATCAAAACACAGTAAACCACAGGTGGTACACATTATTTTTTCCACTATAGCTGTAAATGATGCTCAATAAGCAACACTGACCCCTAGCAAGCACTAGTGATGTAGAAAATCTCACAGAATCTAGTAAAACACTCATGTAGCAGATATCACTGACCCCTAGCAAGCAAACATCACTGACCGCTAGCCAGCAACCATCCCTGACCCCTAGCAAGCAGACATCACTGACCCCTAGCAAGCAGACATCACTGACCCCTAGCAAGCAACCATCCCTGACCCCTAGCAAGCTAACATCACTGACCCCTAGCAAGCAGACATCACTGACCCCTAGCAAGCAGACATCCCTGACCCCTAGCCAGCAACCATCCCTGACCCCTAGCAAGCAGACATCACTGACCCCTAGCAAGCAGACATCACTGACCCCTAGCAAGCAACCATCCCTGACCCCTAGCAAGCTAACATCACTGACCCCTAGCAAGCAGACATCACTGACCGCTAGCCAGCAACCATCCCTGACCCCTAGCAAGCAGACATCACTGACCCCTAGCAAGCAGACATCACTGACCCCTAGCAAGCAGACATCACTGACCCCTAGCAAGCAGACATCACTGACCCCTAGCAAGCAGACATCACTGACCCCTAGCAAGCAGACATCACTGATCCCTAGCAAGCAGACATCACTGACCCCTAGCAAGCAGACATCACTGGCCCCTAGCAAGCAGACATCACTGACCCCTAGCAAGCAGACATCACTGACCCCTAGCAAGCTAACATCACTGACCCCTAGCAAGCAGACATCACTGACCGCTAGCCAGCAACCATCCCTGACCCCTAGCAAGCAGACATCCCTGACCCCTAGCAAGCAGACATCACTGACCCCTAGCAAGCAGACATCACTGACCCCTAGCAAGCAGACATCACTGACCCCTAGCAAGCAGACATCACTGACCCCTAGCAAGCTAACATCACTGACCCCTAGCAAGCAGACATCCCTGATCCCTAGCAAGCAACCATCCCTGACCCCTAGCAAGCAACCATCCATGACCCCTAGCAAGCAAACATCCCTGATCCCTAGCAAGCAGACATCCCTGACCCCTAGCAAGCAGACATCCCTGACCCCTAGCAAGCAGACATCCCTGACCCCTAGCAAGCAGACATCACTGACCCCTAGCAAGCAGACATCACTGACCCCTAGCCAGCAACCATCCCTGACCCCTAGCAAGCAGACATCACTGACCCCTAGCAAGCAGACATCACTGACCCCTAGCCAGCAACCATCACTGACCCCTAGCAAGCAGATATCACTGACCCCTAGCAAGCAGACTTCACTGACCCCTACCCCCTGAGACACAAAAGTTTCCAATGTCTCACCAAAGCTTGTAGATATGTTGGTTAACTCCCTCTCCAACTTGTCATTTTCCTTCGTAGATTTGGAAATGGAAAATTTCTTTTCATCTATGCTGTGGACAACAGGATCAAACCACCTTGGTACAACTGTGTAGGACACTATGATGTCTGTCGAGTTCAAATTATCAACAACTAACTCAGGTTAAGGAAAAATGTTATGGCACATTTTCTTTAACTAAAAAAATATACAAACATTCAAGAGCACTCAGCTGAGTTAAAGTGAATGGAAATAATATTGCCCCTCATGAGCTTATTGATTTGGTTAATAAAATTTTAATAAATATGTATCTTTATATCAATTTCTTTTTTTAAGTGTGCTTTTGTTTAAAAACTTTAAAAAAACCAGCATAGTGTTTATCTTTGTTAAGTATATTTTTATCGTTAACTCAAGTTTTATAAAACTGATTTATTTATTATTAAGTTCGTGCTGTGTGTTTAAAAAAAGGATACAAAGATACAATGGTGCAGAGGTATCTGATGGAGATCCCTGAAAGAAAACAAGAAAGTCAAACAAAATTTCAAAATGCACCAATAGGTTATTTATAATTATGTCAAGCACCATCCTGTTGAAATGTAGTGATATGTTGCAGTTAATTATTTTTATTTGTTTTAAACTAGTAGGCTTAGAAGATTATTAAAGCATACAGATCTAGTTCCAAACTCCATTTTGCTAAATAAAATAATTGTTGGATGCAAAGTAACTTTATAGAAAAATTAAAAACAAAATGTTTCAGTTTTTATAGTTTCTTATTAAATTTGTCTTTTTTTCACTATAATTTTGTTTTTAATTTTTAAAACATACATGAAACTAAAAAATTGCTCCTGATTTTCAAAAAAATGTAGTAAAAGAAAACCAAATTAAAGTTAGGTCTTTGGGTGATTTGTTAAAGTTTTGAAAAGGCTGGATCTAAGAAGCGACTAAATAACTAGTACATCCTCGACTTGTAGTCTAGGTATAATCTGAAACAAAAACCCATTCTTAAAATAAATTTTCCTCATTAATTAAAAAAAAAACATAATCCACACCAAACTGTGAGTACTAAATGAAGCAGCCAGTTTTGTGAAATTAATGTGAGCACTCATCAATACATCTACTCGTTTGTGAAAAGAGTCAAAAACAAAATTGTCTTCCCACTCACAAAAGTTTGAATTTCATCCAAATCCACCGAACTCTATAAATTTAAGTCAGAAAAAAGTATTTTCAAGTTAAATATTTAATGGCTTCTCTTGTTTCAATTGAAGAGTATATTAATTGAAAACAAAAGCATTTTAATTTTTTTGTGTGCATCAACTGTTTTTTCCCTAATTGAAAACTTACGGAGTTTATTCATTCTTGAAAAAAATGTTTTAACAACAATTTCTCAAATAAATACTGTTTCTCAAATTAAATTTGGTAACATGATTCCTATTAAAAAATTATTCTTGACAAATGTCAATGGTGACTCACACTAGCAGCAGTTTTTTTGTCTAGTTTGTTATGAGACGGAGTGGCGGGAGCCATTATCTGAAAAGAACAACAAATTAGTATTAAGCTAACATACACAACAAATTAGTATTATGTTAACATACACAACAAACAAGTATTATTTTAATACACAACAAATAAGTATTATGTTGACATACACAACTTTTGTATCTGAATCACATAGAAATTATAGAGATACTGGAAGATTTATAAGCTGCGAATTTATGGGAGCTTAATAAAACTGTGTTTTGACCTGTTTTTTTGTTTTCAGTTGAAAAGAGTTATATAACGAGACTAATTAAGGAATTAAAAAAGAGTAACAATTTTGTATCATAAAAACACAACAATCCTTTAATTTGTATAATCTTCAATTCAAATACTTAATTTTTTTAAATAACTTAACTCTACCAATAAGTAAAATAATTTTCTCTAATCTAGGCTAAGGCCTACTGTTTCAACAAATGTAAAGTTTTAAACCTATTATCAAAGATTAGCGAGTAGAAAAAAAAATGGCTTATATTACTAAGAACCACATTTGAAAATATTGCTCTTTTTAAATGCTAATAGTAGATTTATTATAAATTAGTATAAAATAAAGTTAAATAATATATATAGTAACAAAAAAAAATGTAATCTATTTTTAATAAATAAATGTGTTATTCTTGTTTAATATCTAGTTTAATAAACCAGTTTAATCTGAAATACAAAACAGGTTTATGTTTGTCTTCACTCTAATATTTTGCAGGTTGACATTTCAAGATGGTAAAGAATTTAAGCAAGTCATTGAAAAATGTTAAGGTGGGACCAAGTTAAAAGGTAGAAAAACCTGGCAAGTCTATAATTAGGTTCAGCGTGTATAGCAGTCCAAAGCAAGTTCAAAGTTCAATCATCAGTAGGAAAACATTTGGCTTTACCTCAGTGTTTATCAATAATAGAAATGAACCAAATTTTCACATATTGCTGAACTTAAATTATTTTTTTTGCAATTGTTTTTTAATTTATTTGATATAGATCTAAAGTTGGTCTTTTAATTTTTAAAGCATACTTGATTATTGTGATCTTAATATTTTATAACATGAATGTTATATATATATTGGTCAACTTTCACTATTTACTAACAGCACTTTGTTTAGGTAATTAAAAAAAAAAACAACAAAGGAACTTGTAGTAATCCTAATGTTTATTTTTCTGGTAGTTTTTTTTTTCTGTTCACTCTAGCAAAAATTCTGTTTAATTAGATATTGTTTAGAAAATTGGCTTTCATAGAAAATTACATTTTGGGGGGAAATTTGAAGTCATGTTACATCTACAAGAAACTATGGGATATAAATATATTATTTTGCAAACATTTTGACATTCTAGTTGGTAGGTCTACAACAAAAGAACATTTTTTTTAGTACAAGGGCATATCAATAATGAATTTTGTTCTTTCCCCGCAGTGTTGATATTCAAAATCTTTGGATTCCCACATGAGGTGGATATCTAGAAGTCTAGCAAAGCCATAAGGGATAAAAACTGTTCATTCCATTTTTAGGAATTTTTTTACTTAATATAGACCTCGTAAACAATTTACTAGTCAAAATAGAATAACTAAAGTGGCAAATTCCTGCATTAAAAGCAAAGTATAAAATAATAATAATCATTAAGTTTTTTTTAACCTGTTAATACTACTAGATAACTTTAAGGTGATTGACTATGTTAAATAAATTTTGAATAATTTTGAATAGTATGTTTCTTTTTTAAAACATTGTAAATTACTACCTGCTGACTATGCTAAACTAGTAGAGGTATTATCAAGGATAAAGATATTATAAATAGATACTACAAATTGACCTAGTTTTTTAAGTTTAAAAATAGTTTAAAATTATTGTGCTGTAAAGTTTCTAACGAGCCAAAAATAAAAGCTACAGAAAAAAAAGTATGAATTGGACTGGCGCCATCCGGAACAGCATTAGCAGGAAAAATGTGGCCAGGTAAGTGGGAGAAATGTTGCCAAATATTAGAGGACTGGATGCTTGGAGAACTCTTACATCTTCTTTGGGGTGGCTTTTGGCAGATTTGTGTAGGCTGCTGGGTGGTTTGTCCACGCTATGGTCTGTTGCCTTAAAATGGTTTAACAAGATGTTATTCTTTAAGGCTTTTGATAAAACAAGCAATTAGTTGAATCCAATATATTGATACAAATTTGTTTTGAGATGAATATTGCTGGAGATAGATACTGAAGATAAAGTTGGTTACATTTGGAGTTCATGAAAATAATCACAGGTGAAAAGCAGACAAGCTATGGGGTCATCAGCTAAAATTGCTTGATATGATTAAGCGATGGCCCTTAATCTGATCAACTGACTTAGATGTGTTTGAAAATGATTTTCAGTTTTTAAAAAAGGACATTATTTTGCAAGAATAATCACAAAATTATGTGTAAAAGTAGTAGTTTTAAAAAGCACAGGGAAGGACATTGAATCTATTCTGTCAAGCAGGGACAGTCTGACCTTTCACTGACGCTACAAAATTTTAGGTGTGCATCCGCTAATATTTGAAATTTTCACAAATTTACATGAACACAACATTAATATAATAAAAAATCAAATGTTTTCAATATTCTAATTTAGCCCTTGGCATTCATGTATTTTTTGCACACAACAACAAGCAATACTAAGAGAAATTTTTTCCCAATGCTGAAGAAATGCAAGAATGTTATTTTTAGATGAGTTAAAACCCATAATTAAAGTTAAATTATAAAATTTCTTTAATACATTCCTTGAGTTATATTTTAAACAGTATTTTAATATTTTTTAATTATTATCATTATCAACTTTATACATAACTTTTAATTCTAAAATAACGTTTCAGCTAAAAATTGAAAACATTTACAAACAAATTGTTGAGTTTGAATCTAAGTTCAAGTCAGTCTAACATCCCCGAGTCTACCCAGTTCTGATGGGTACCTAACTCACGTTAAGGAAAGCAAATGCTTCTGGGTGTAGTGCTGACCAAACTATCCCTTCATATACCTAAGTCACAGAAACAGATGAACTCTACTTCACTTGCCCGATGGACCATTAGGTTAGAAAGGGAACTTTACTTATACTTTTTTTTTCCTTCAAAACATTGTTGTTATTTCACTTACAAGTGCCCAAGTGTTTTGAATATATTTTTTTTAATCTGTGGTGTTTGAAAAACAAATTAAAAGAACTAACAAGAAAGTTAATGATTAGGTCAACTAGAACATTCAATGACTCTCGTTGTTAGGGCCACACAAACTAAGATCAAACAAGCAGCATCTTCTATATACAAAAACCTACAGTTTGACTCAAGTCTAAAAGAACTTTTGTCACATAATATTAGAAATAAACTAGGTAAGTTTGAATTTCTCACACAATATTAGAACTTGACAAGGTAACGTTGAAACTCTCAAACAATATAAGAATTCGTCTAGGTATGGTTTATTTATTTTTTAAGACTAAAACCTAAAAATTACATGATTAAAAATAATTACCACCAAATTCTGTAGAATAGAACAACAGAATTTTGATTTTGTTGTTGACAATTTAATTTTTAATGCTACCATTATTTTTATAAGTGTATGACTAATCATTATTTGTAGACAAACTGGGAGGTGACAAGAAAGTTGTTTGCAATTCTATGTTTTGGTTCATTGAATAATCAATAATCTAACTTTTTGGAATTATAAAATCTTTTGAAAGAAAATCCAGTTTAATTTTTCAGCCATTTTTTTTCTTTTTCATTTATTTGCAATTATATGATTTATAGTTTTTGTAAATTTTCAAACTTTGTTCCATGTTTTTAAATAATTTTGTAAGCGTAATAAGTCTAGATATAGTTGACTTTGACATACAAACACTGTGACTTTTGGTCAGATTCCAGTTTAATTGTTGTTTTGTTTTAACATATTATTAGAATGAACTAACACTCAAACTAGTAACAAATGTGTCAAGTTGACATAATAAAAAAAGTTTACCTTAAAATCTGTGTACACCTTGCTGCAAGGGTATGTGTTGGGCTTGTGGAAAATATACAAAGTTCTGGAAAAAAATTTAAAAAACATAACAAATTAGAAAATAAATAAAGCTAGTAAATAGTTTTCATGTGTAGAATTTTTCTCCTTCTTTACTATGCTCAAAAATGTTGTTATTATTATTATTAAATTTGAATTTCTAATGGAAAAGGATACTGGACATTTTAAAAAATTGGGAGAATTTTGCCTGAGCTCATAACCACTTAAACTACTTGTCCGGTAACCTAGATACTTGGCTCTGACATAGGTGAAAATAAAAAACATCACCCAAGAATTTGACCTGAATCAAAACGTAATTGTAACCAACCTAAAGCACTTGTAGAATGTGTCAAAGTCCATCCAAGCTTTCTTTAAAGCTGGCTCCTTGATAGGGACCACAGAGGTGGAGATTACAGGGGAGGGTTTGGTGTCTGTGGCTGGGACTGAGAGTCCCCCTGCAGGAACATCATTCAGCCCTGTCTGCATATTTTCTAAACAAGAGCAGAAACATCAGGAACAAGTAGAGAAACATCAGGCACAAGTAGAGAAACATCAGGCACAAGTAGAGAAACATCAGGAACAAGTAGAGAAACATCAGGAACAAGTAGAGAAACATCAGGAACAAGTAGAGAAACATCAGACACAAGTAAAGAAACATCAGGCACAAGTAGAGAAACATCAGAAACAAGTAGAGAAACATCAGGAACAAGTAGAGAAACATCAGGCACAAGTAGAGAAACATCAGGAACAAGTAGAGAAACCTGAGGAACAAGTACAGAAACATCAGGCACAAGTAGAGAAACATCAGGCACAAGTAGAGAAACATCAGAAACAAGTAGAGAAACATCAATTCAAATTAATATTCATTTTATCAGTGATTTACTATCACATAGAATAGATTTTAAAATAATTGTATGCTCATACAGATAATTTTTTTAAACATGTGGAATATGGAGCTTTTAGTGAATTGCTAAAACTAAATTTGGCCAAAGAATAATAGACTTTACACGTCCTAACTTAAAAACATAAGACGGTTACCTTTCGACTTAGTCAAATCTTGCTTGAAAGATAATCTTGGTTCCTGTGTTTTTTCAGCAGGTTTGTCTTTATTTACTGCTTTCTGTAATTTCTAGAGATTTAAAAATATGTGTATCCAAATTTATCAAATTTATCAATTTAAACTAGGTTTCTGCAAATTTGTTTTAAAACATGAATGAAGCTGAAAAATATAGTAAAAGCAGAACTACTATGACTAAATACTTGAATGTTATACAGCAACAAGATGTGAACAAACACTTTAAAATTTTGATTTTACTTGGATTAAAACAAGGGAGGCTAATCCAAGTGAAAAATCCCAAATGTTATATGATATATAAAAACCTACACTGTGTAACTCTTAAACATTTGGGGATAATTTTTAAATAGATCCCCTAATCACATTGATATTACAATCAACTACTCTTTGCATTATATCAGTTTTATAAGCTATTCTCTACTAGCCTAACTCAACCCTCACCCTACCTACATTTTCTCATTAAAATCATGGAATCAGTGAACATTAACAAATATTATTGAAGAAATATAGGACTGCAGATGCATAGTATCTGGTAAATATTAAACATTTATTGTTATAATTTAATCAGCTTAGTTGTAGAATTTGCTAGACTAAACTAGTTAAAATAAATATTTTTGAAAAGACTGCTCAATTTTGTAAATAAACAACAAGGTGGATAAGTTTTTTCCAGCAGCAATTATTACCAAGGCAACACCTGAAAAAAGTAGGTCAAGTGATAACCTATTTAACATATAACATTTAAGATTATCATTGTCTTAACAGAATTTACATCTGAGGATATTTTTTGTTAAATCACATTATTTATTGTGAATACATGGGACTGGTGGAGTGAAATCTAAAACCAAAATCCTCGTGAAATTTCAGACATTTTTTTACTTAATAAAGAAATAGTGTCTAGGCCTTTAGAAAAGTGTTAATTAGAAGCACAAAACCCTAACTAGTGCTCACTCAGCAAGCAGAGGTAGAATTTTCATTTGAAATCAGTTATTAAGAATGACAGGAGTTCAAGAGATCAAAACCCAATTAGAAATTTTGCAATAATTAATTGGATGCTTTTAAAAAAAATCAGATAAATATCCATTATTTTAATATTTTATTTTCAACATTCTTTAAACCTGTGCCTATTCAAATTTAGATGACTACTTTTTATTGAAGTTATAGGTTGCTAAGAAAAACAATTTTTAACATGATTTATTTCTTTATATATTTTATAAAACAAAACAATTTAATTATATTATATTCAATTGGCCAAATTTGAAACTCAAAATGAAGAGTAGTTGGAGAGATATTGACTACCTATGCAAAGCAAACAGAGTTAAGTTTCAAACCACGCAGGGTTATAGCAGATTAAAGCCACCCTACCTTCAGCGACTGCCTGCGTTTTACATTGGCAGATTTTCCTGTTTCTTCATCCTAAATAAGTTTTATTCAATCAAAGCTAAGTTTATATGTAGGTGAATAGATACTAGAAATGTAGCAAATAAGGTGACACAGTGCTAGACTATATGTGCTGATACAAAATAAATGTACAAAATAAAAAGGAGTTTAAATTTTATTTACTCAATTTTCCTAAACTAAAAATAAAAAATGTATATTTTAATTAATAAAAATCCCACAACCCTTCAACAAAATTTTGAATGTGAAATAAATTTATTCTCAGTTTAAAAACTTTTTTGCTAATTTTTTTTACCAACTTAATAATTTTTTTTTGTTTTATTGTAAATTTAATATAATTCTTTATCATAAATTGTTTCAAATAATCTCAAGTCATAGGTTCAATTCATTTTTAAAAATATCAAGACATATTATCTCAAGATTGGTAAGATGTTTTATTATGTTTCTATTTGTTTTCAAATATTTATTAATGTTGTCTATGTGATTGCTGATTATGCTAAATACGAATTTTATTTTATGATTTTTTTATGAAGGAATATAAACCCATAATAAATATCAACCAACACATTAACCCTTTCTCAGCTGTTTGTGTTTATGATGTCCCTAATTTACCCACCTTTATTTGTAATTTAATTCAATAAATTAACAATTCAATAAGCTTTAAAAAACTTAATTCAGTTTTCAGGGACTGATATGGTTCCCTACACAGTTAAGAAATACTAATTTACCAGTGTCATATAAATTGTCTTATAATTCTATTGGTTGTATAATGCAATAATTCACAAAGCATCATTACACAAACATTTGATACAACAGTAGCTGTAGCAAGACAAACTTGTCATTCAGTTTTGTGGTCAAATTTTATGACAAGAAATCATCACATTTTTACATGGTCAGAATTTTAGGACACACTTGTCATAAGCAGAGAGAGGGTTAACTGTGTAGTGATACCATTAATAAAATAACATCAGTACATTGTTCACAAGCTACATGTGGTTAGCCAGCTAAATGCTTACACCATAAAATTATTTAAACAACATATAACTTGTCATAAAGAATTGTGAAGAAATCATTTACAAATGATATTTAAATACAGGTTAGTTTTTATAATGATGAAGCTACATACAAATGGAAAGAAATTTTCATAAACAAAATAATTAGGACTTTTAGATGGAAATTTTATCTGGTCTATGAGCATGCTCACCTCTTTCATGGGATCATCAATGATTTCAGCTGAGTCCAAAGATGGAGGGGGTGTGGAGGCGTATTCTTCCCTCTCATCTATTGGATTATCTGTTTCAACTCTTGACCGCCCCCCACCCCTCTCAAGGGATGATTTTGGTCTGTGTCTACAAAAAGTTTCAAGTAAGTCATTCAGTCAAATTTAAATTTGTTTACCAATATTTATCAATGTTGTTAAACACTAAAACTTTTATCAGTTTTTAGTACATTTTACAAAAAAAAACAACAAATACAGTACTTACATAAAATTTCAATGGAGATAGTAGCGTGCAATAGTAAGAAACCAATCACAACTGGTGTTATAGTGGAAATAAGAAACGGGGAAAATATTTTATCTTTGGGGAGTGAAGAGAATATTAACTTACGTCTCTGTAGGGATGGGCACATGACTGACTTTGTAGTTGACAAATGGGGAGGAGATCTCTAAACATCTGATTTCTTTCGGAGGTTCAGGCGGAGCTACAAAGGTAAAATCATTAAAAAATAGAGAAATAAAACTTGATTTTAAATTTTGGAGGATTGGGTAGAAGTACAAAATGCAATTATTATTTTTTTAAATTAAAAATAAATATTTTTTTATTTCAAATTTTTAGATATGGCCTTTCTATCTCTATTTATCTACAATAAAATGTCAGTTTTATGACAACCAGAATTTTTAGGTTCACAATAAAATATCAGTTTTATGACAACCAGAATTTTTAGGTTCACAATAAAATATCAGTTTTATGACATCCACAATTTTGAGTTCACAATAAAATGTCAGTTTTATGACAAACACCACTTTGAGTTTACAATAAAATATCAGTTTTATGACATCCACAATTTTGAGTTCACAATAAAATCTCAGTTTTATGACATCCACAATTTTGAAACTGTATTTAATGAAAGTGACATGAGTGCATCATGGCCACCAGCTATAACTTGATTTGAGATAGCAGTTTAGGAGGGGGGGATAGTCTCACCCCCACTACCCCCTGCCTACACTTCTAATGTTAGGGAATGGAGCTGACTATACAAAACTTTTCATGCAACTGTCACAAAAGCTCAACTTCTTTTTTCCTCCAAACATTTTTTTTTCTAGCTGCCTACAAGTGAGAATATTCACCAGGATTAACAAAATTACTAACGTATAGGTTCATCATGTGGAGGCACTTTCTTTTTGCGAGGTCTTATAAGCTTCCAAGCTGGTATGATGACAGGTGGGGGAGGGGGCTCTAAGGGACACGACCTGGTCTGTCCTATGTAGACAGAGTGAGAGAGGACATGGGACAGTCCATTCTGGCGCAGAATCTCACTAGCATCTGCCTGGGTTTTCAATAGAAATGTTCAATCTTCAATTATGGTAAGCAAAACATTCAAGTGAAATGGTTCTAATTAACACTAATTTTAAATAAATAAATAAATATATATACATATATACAATTAGGTGCATCTGCAATTTCCACTTTTAAATAATGTTGTCAAAATTTGAATAAGATTGGACTACTGTGATTGAATGCCAAAGTTAACTGTATTTTTTTTTAAATGCTCAAAAATGTAATCAAAATTGTTACCATTTCTCCCAAGACTGAAACTTTGACTGGGTACTTTGGGGTGCTACTGTATGTGGCAAAAATGACCATCTCAGGTTTCTCTGGTAAAACGATCTCTTCAAGAGATGTCTTTTCCTCTATTACAAGAGAGCAATAAGAAATTTTAAGAGTCTGTGAATAATGTTGTTTTAATTTGAGAGGAAATTTATGAAAACTAAATATTTTTTTTAAAGAAATTTCTGATTAACATTATAATGTTATTTTTAATAAAAAACAAAACAGTATTTCTGTATATTTTAATTAACATAATTATTAATTGCTTGTTTGTTACATGACAATCATGCATTTAATATGCCAGGTAACAATCAATGTGCACAGTGGCCCTCTCAAATGTTTGTCTGCTGAGAAAATGAGCTAGACAATAGAATGTAAGTTCTTTTTAAAATAAGGAGCGAAAATTCACCTGAAAAGTTGAATTAGTACATTTTTAATTAGTAAAGCTGAAAATTGACATGAGTTATATTTAACTAAAGCAAAAATCACAAATGTGTTTCTTAAATTATTATATAATTTTGATTATTAAAACTCTTCAAACAATGATGTCCAATAGCTAGCAAGGCACCAAGAAAAAAATTGAGACTTGATTTTCAGCGACATTCCCAAATTAATATTGCATTTAAGAAGTTTTAGAGTTGGACAAAAAAAATAATGCAGGAGCAAGAGCTTCTTAATAAGTGGGTAGTTTAAATCTTTATTGTGCATTTAAATGACCTGATATTGGAAACCTTAGGAAAAAAATATTGGTTTGGCATACATAAGTTTAAGAAGTTGTAAAGTTATTTTAAAATAGTTTTGCACCATTTACTATCATTGTTTAAAAATTGTAAGCATGTTAATTGTTTAAAATAATTGCTGAAAACTTCAATTAGAGTGTTGTCAAAATTTGCCAAAACATTCTCATAAGGTTGTGAGACAAAAGCTTAGCTTCATTTTTACTTAGTTGCAGCTACAACCTTACAACCATACACTTACAACCTTACAACCTTACACTTACAACCTTACACTTACAACCTTACACTTACAAACTTACAAAAGGAAAGCTTTAGCTGTTATTTTTAAGTATTTTTAACACCATTTACATGCAAGGATAAAATCTGTAAATTTAAGGGATGACTATTTTATATATAGGCTAATTTTATTTTTTTAGTTTTAAAAATGGAATAAATGACATGCAAAACAAACAACCAATGTAAGCATGCTTTGGGTTTTTAACCGCATGAACTATAATAAGCTTATGTGAAATGGTTGGGGTGCTAGTTGTTACAGAGGTAGTAAACAAAATGAGGGATGTGAAGTTGATGAAGGGACATAATGTTAGAGTATTACAAGTGAAGCTAGCATGCACTTTAAAACAAGTTCAGCATACAAGTGAAGCTAGCATGCACTTTGTATCAAGTTGAGTATACCATGAGAAAAAGAATGAATATTTGATGCCTGGCTTTGAGTCTTTTCCTTCTCCTTCCCTTTGCCTACAGAAAGTTAAACAAGGGGGACTACTCAAAAGTTTTAAAATACAAGTCTTACATTTTATTTCCTTGAAAAATATAATAAAATTAACATTACAACTCAATTTTATTCAGATTTTCTTATTTATAAATCAATAATATTTGCATTTATGCCTTAAACTTGTTTGTTTTTTAAATTGAAAAAATAGGCTTACTCTATTTTTCAAAACAACTAATTATTTTAAAACTGCCATCTACAATTAAAAAAAAAGAATAGATGAAATATCTTGTGAATCCTAGATCTAGGTGCTGATGGAATTCTACAAATAAAATAACAGTATCTGCTAATAAATTTGTGAGAAAAGACTACATGATATAAATGTTATCTAAATGTACAAAGGGTAATAAATTTTTATTAAGTAGAAGAAGTGTTACAAGAGAAGATGATTGTTAGACTAATTTAAAAGGTTTCTGTTTAATAAAAGCTGACAGGGTAGATATATTATATCCTTAATTAACAGTTTTAATAAGTATTTCAAATATAGTCCTGCCTTATTACACTTCAATTATAATCACTTTATATTCTGGCCTAATTTATAATTACTTTATAGGGGGAAAAAATTTAATTTATCTATGGAAATAAAACTAGTCAACTTATGGGCTCACAATATTAATTTACCTGAATGATAATTTAATCTGCTTCCAACTGCATTACAAAAGAAATATTTTTAAATATTCAAATTACATTGAATGTTTTATTTGTGATTCATAAGATCCTTAAATGTTCTATTACTGTTTTTTCAATAGACTTTTGCTAAGGTTAGTGACTAGTTCTTGCACTTATCTTTCAAAATCCTAATTATTAATTCCCATTGAAATTAACAGTTTGAGTCTTAAGTGTATCTCACCTTTGCTAGCTAGCTATAATCATCGGAACTTTAATTGATTTTAACTTCTTAATGCTATTCGCAGTCTTATGAAAGTTATATTGAACAAAAAGAAATGTTAAATTATATAGTACGAAATGAAGAAATGCAGCCAAACCCCCAAACTGAAGTGATTCTATACAAGAAATGTTAACATTATTTTCATTTGATAAGCAACAGTTTCAGTAGCAAGTTTATCTTTAGTAATATAACTGGGAAATCACATTAAAAAAAAATTTAATCTACATGCCAAAATTTTCTTACCAGGTTTTCATAACCACATGAAAACACCACCCCCCCATTCCCAAATGCATTTTTTATTTGCTTTGTTAAATGTATTGTTTTAATGATGAAAAAAGAATTAATTCTGCTCATTTTAATAGAGATGAAAGTAAATTGGGATTATTTAAAAGAAAAAGAAAAAAAAAAAAAGAAATAGAGCAGCACATCAAAGAAAACTCACTTAGTTTGTCCTTGTCTTTATCTTTTCCTTTTGGCTCTTTCCCTTTAGAAGATAGAAAAATAAGATCACTAGCTTGTTGTGTCAACTATCCTATCTCTTCTATCATTACCAGACTTACTGTGAAATAAAGCTTAATTACATTTACAGTTCTTAATTGGATGATTTTATATTGGCAGTGCTAACAAAATGTAAATATATTTTAAGTTGCAATTCTCCAGATCAGAGACACCGGCACTTGCAGTTATAAAGTAAGTAAGGTTCCCTTTCAAACCTGATGGTCTATTGGGCAAGTGAAGTAGAGTTCACATGTTTCTGTGACCTCAGCACATGAAGAGATAGTGTGGTCAGCACTGAGCCCAGTCACCTTTACTTTCCCTAACGTGGGTTAGGTACCCATCAGAGCTGGGCTGGCTCTGGGACGTTCTACTGACTTGACCCGGGTCCGTAGCCTACAGCTCTACCACTAGGCCATACTGTCCCCTACTTGCAGTCCTGCATCAAGTTAATTACCTCTGTCCTTCCCCTACTTGCAGTCCTGCATCAAGTTAATTACCTCTGTCCTTCCCCTACTTGCAGTCCTGCATCAAGTTAATTACCTCTGTCCTTCCCCTACTTGCAGTCCTGCATGCATCAAGTTAATTACCTCTGTCCTTCCCCTACTTGCAGTCCTGCATCAATTTAATTACCTCTGTCCATCCCCTACTTGCAGTCCTGCATCAAGTTAATTACCTCTGTCCTTCCCCTACTTGCAGTCCTGCATCAAGTTAATTACCTCTGTCCTTCCCCTACTTACAGTCCTGCATCAAGTTAATTACCTCTGTCCTTCCCCTACTTGTAGTTCTGCATCAAGTTAATTACCTGTCCTTCCCCTACTTACAGTCCTGCATCAAGTTAATTACCTCTGTCCTTCCCCTACTTGCAGTCCTGCATCAAGTTAATTACCTCTGTCCTTCCCCTACTTGCAGTCCTGCATCAAGTTAATTACCTCTGTCCTTCCCCTACTTGCAGTCCTGCATCAAGTTAATTACCTCTGTCCTTCCCCTACTTGCAGTCCTGCATCAAGTTAATTACCTCTGTCCTTCCCCTACTTGCAGTCCTGCATCAAGTTAATTACCTCTGTCCTTCCCCTACTTGCAGTCCTGCATGCATCAAGTTAATTACCTCTGTCCTTCCCCTACTTGCAGTCCTGCATCAATTTAATTACCTCTGTCCATCCCCTACTTGCAGTCCTGCATCAAGTTAATTACCTCTGTCGTTCCCCTACTTGCAGTCCTGCATCAAGTTAATTACCTCTGTCCTTCCCCTACTTACAGTCCTGCATCAAGTTAATTACCTCTGTCCTTCCCCTACTTGTAGTTCTGCATCAAGTTAATTACCTGTCCTTCCCCTACTTACAGTCCTGCATCAAGTTAATTACCTCTGTCCTTCCCCTACTTGCAGTCCTGCATCAAGTTAATTACCTCTGTCCTTCCCCTACTTGCAGTCCTGCATCAAGTTAATTACCTCTGTCCTTCCCCTACTTGCAGTCCTGCATCAAGTTAATTACCTCTGTCCTTCCCCTACTTGCAGTCCTGCATCAAGTTAATTACCTCTGTCCTTCCCCTACTTGCAGTCCTGCATCATGTTAATTACCTCTGTCCTTCCCCTACTTGCAGTCCTGCATCAAGTTAATTACCTCTGTCCTTCCCCTACTTGCAGTCCTGCATCAATTCAATTACCTCTGTCCTTCCCCTACTTGCAGTCCTGCATCAAGTTAATTACCTCTGTCCTTCCCCTACTTACAGTCCTGCATCAAGTTAATTACCTCTGTCCTTCCCCTACTTGCAGTCCTGCATGCATCAAGTTAATTACCTCTGTCCTTCCCCTACTTGCAGTCCTGCATCAAGTTAATTACCTCTGTCCTTCCCCTACTTGCAGTCCTGCATCAATTTAATTACCTCTGTCCATCCCCTACTTGCAGTCCTGCATCAAGTTAATTACCTCTGTCCTTCCCCTACTTGCAGTCCTGCATCAAGTTAATTACCTCTGTCCTTCCCCTACTTACAGTCCTGCATCAAGTTAATTACCTCTGTCCTTCCCCTACTTACAGTCCTTCATCAAGTTAATTACCTCTGTCCTTCCCCTACTTGCAGTCCTGCATCAAGTTAATTACCTTTGTCCTTCCCCTACTTGCAGTCCTGCATCAAGTTAATTACCTCTGTCCTTCCCCTACTTGCAGTCCTGCATCAAGTTAATTACCTCTGTCCTTCCCCTACTTACAGTCCTGCATCAAGTTAATTACCTCTGTCCTTCCCCTACTTGTAGTTCTGCATCAAGTTAATTACCTGTCCTTCCCCTACTTACAGTCCTGCATCAAGTTAATTACCTCTGCCCTTCCCCTACTTGCAGTCCTGCATCAAGTTAATTACCTCTGTCCTTCCCCTACTTGCAGTCCTGCATCAAGTTAATTACCTCTGTCCTTCCCCTACTTGCAGTCCTGCATCAAGTTAATTACCTCTGTCCTTCCCCTACTTGCAGTCCTGCATCAAGTTAATTACCTCTGTCCTTCCCCTACTTGCAGTCCTGCATCAAGTTAATTACCTCTGTCCTTCCCCTACTTGCAGTCCTGCATCAAGTTAATTACCTCTGTCCATCCCCTACTTGCAGTCCTGCATCAAGTTAATTACCTCTGTCCTTCCCCTACTTGCAGTCCTGCATCAAGTTAATTACCTCTGTCCTTCCCCTACTTGCAGTCCTGCATCAAGTTAATTACCTCTGTCCTTCCCCTACTTGCAGTCCTGCATCAAGTTAATTACCTCTGTCCTTCCCCTACTTGTAGTTCTGCATCAAGTTAATTACCTCTGTCCTTCCCCTACTTGCAGTCCTGCATCAAGTTAATTACCTCTGTCCTTCCCCTACTTGCAGTCCTGCATCAAGTTAATTACCTCTGTCCTTCCCCTACTTGCAGTCCTGCATCAAGTTAATTACCTCTGTCCTTCCCCTACTTGCAGTCCTGCATCAAGTTAATTACCTCTGTCCTTCCCCTACTTGCAGTCCTGCATCAAGTTAATTACCTCTGTCCTTCCCCTACTTGCAGTCCTGCATCAAGTTAATTACCTCTGTCCTTCCCCTACTTGCAGTCCTGCATCAAGTTAATTACCTCTGTCCTTCCCCTACTTGCAGTCCTGCATCAAGTTAATTACCTCTGTCCTTCCCCTACTTGCAGTCCTGCATCAAGTTAATTACCTCTGTCCTTCCCCTACTTGCAGTCCTGCATCAATTCAATTACCTCTGTCCTTCCCCTACTTGCAGTCCTGCATCAAGTTAATTACCTCTGTCCTTCCCCTACTTACAGTCCTGCATCAAGTTAATTACCTCTGTCCTTCCCCTACTTGCAGTCCTGCATGCATCAAGTTAATTACCTCTGTCCTTCCCCTACTTGCAGTCCTGCATCAAGTTAATTACCTCTGTCCTTCCCCTACTTGCAGTCCTGCATCAATTTAATTACCTCTGTCCATCCCCTACTTGCAGTCCTGCATCAAGTTAATTACCTCTGTCCTTCCCCTACTTGCAGTCCTGCATCAAGTTAATTACCTCTGTCCTTCCCCTACTTACAGTCCTGCATCAAGTTAATTACCTCTGTCCTTCCCCTACTTACAGTCCTTCATCAAGTTAATTACCTCTGTCCTTCCCCTACTTGCAGTCCTGCATCAAGTTAATTACGTTTGTCCTTCCCCTACTTGCAGTCCTGCATCAAGTTAATTACCTCTGTCCTTCCCCTACTTGCAGTCCTGCATCAAGTTAATTACCTCTGTCCTTCCCCTACTTACAGTCCTGCATCAAGTTAATTACCTCTGTCCTTCCCCTACTTGTAGTTCTGCATCAAGTTAATTACCTGTCCTTCCCCTACTTACAGTCCTGCATCAAGTTAATTACCTCTGCCCTTCCCCTACTTGCAGTCCTGCATCAAGTTAATTACCTCTGTCCTTCCCCTACTTGCAGTCCTGCATCAAGTTAATTACCTCTGTCCTTCCCCTACTTGCAGTCCTGCATCAAGTTAATTACCTCTGTCCTTCCCCTACTTGCAGTCCTGCATCAAGTTAATTACCTCTGTCCATCCCCTACTTGCAGTCCTGCATCAAGTTAATTACCTCTGTCCTTCCCCTACTTGCAGTCCTGCATCAAGTTAATTACCTCTGTCCTTCCCCTACTTGCAGTCCTGCATCAAGTTAATTACCTCTGTCCTTCCCCTACTTGCAGTCCTGCATCAAGTTAATTACCTCTGTCCTTCCCCTACTTGTAGTTCTGCATCAAGTTAATTACCTCTGTCCTTCCCCTACTTGCAGTCCTGCATCAAGTTAATTACCTCTGTCCTTCCCCTACTTGCAGTCCTGCATCAAGTTAATTACCTCTGTCCTTCCCCTACTTGCAGTCCTGCATCAAGTTAATTACCTCTGTCCTTCCCCTACTTGCAGTCCTGCATCAAGTTAATTACCTCTGTCCTTCCCCTACTTGCAGTCCTGCATGCATCAAGTTAATTACCTCTGTCCTTCCCCTACTTGCAGTCCTGCATCAAGTTAATTACCTCTGTCCTTCCCCTACTTGCAGTCCTGCATCAAGTTAATTACCTCTGTCCTTCCCCTACTTACAGTCCTGCATCAAGTTAATTACCTCTGTCCTTCCCCTACTTGCAGTCCTGCATCAAGTTAATTACCTCTGTCCTTCCCCTACTTACAGTCCTGCATCAAGTTAATTACCTCTGTCCTTCCCCTACTTGCTGTCCTGCATCAAGTTAATTACCTCTGTCCTTCCCCTACTTGCAGTCCTGCATCAAGTTAATTACCTCTGTCCTTCCCCTACTTGCAGTCCTGCATCAAGTTAATTACCTCTGTCCTTCCCCTACTTGCAGTCCTGCATCAAGTTAATTACCTATGTCCTTCCCCTACTTGCAGTCCTGCATCAAGTTAATTACCTCTGTCCTTCCCCTACTTACAGTCCTGCATCAAGTTAATTACCTCTGTCCTTCCCCTACTTGCAGTCCTGCATCAAGTTAATTACCTCTGTCCTTCCCCTACTTGCAGTCCTGCATCAAGTTAATTACCTCTGTCCTTCCCTTTTCCTGGCTTAGCCTCCTTGACCTCTTTGATTATGCTATCTTTGTCTGATTTTTCTTTCTCCAGCTGAAACCAGACAAAATAAAATAAAAAAATAAAAAGTCATTTAATAGCCCACTATTTTATTGATGCTCTTCATTTTTGTGAGATTTTCAATTTTCTTTTCAAACAACAAACCTTTAGTGTAAAGGTTTACAGATATTTACGACAGATCCCCAAGATAGATGGCCAAACAAAAGAAATGAAAAGATGAAAACTTGAATTTTATCACCCACTAGTTTATTTATGTTTTTAACTTTATTCAGATTTTCAAATTTAAAGCAATAAACGTTTAGTGTTTAGGGTCAACAATGTAGGCTACCCATAAAACCTGTGTAAAATCATTCCTATAAAATATCTTTATGTATCAAGTACATCAAATAATTGTAGAACTAAAGAATTTAAAAAAACTGAAACTTTTGGTTCCATCTGATCCTTACATTGATTGTGGTATCCACAGAGAGTTTTTTCTCTTCTTCAGGAACAGGAAGTTTCCATTCAGGGAGTAAAACTTTGAGCAGCTCCCAAACTTCTTGTACATGGCTGTTGCTGTGGAGCAAGTTGTAAGATTATCGTTAGTTGTGATTGGACTCAAATTATTTCTGCTGTAAAAACCTGTTAAAAAAATATGATAAATAAATTCTACTAAAAATTTGTTTACTAAAATTAATTAGGTCTAATACCTGACCCTTAATGAAAAGGCTTGTAGCAAAGGTTAGGTATTAATAAAAACAAATGTTTAAATGTAACAGCTCTTGTATAATTAAATCTTAGATAATGATAATTTAACAGCCCTAGAACTAGAAAGAAAATCTTCCATAGTCTGTGTCGGTCTGAAGCAAGTTTTTATTTTTTAATATATTCAATAAATTCTAATTAACATATTTTATAGTATTGTGTAAAAGTATCAATTTATTTTCCTCATCAAAATACCTCAGACTTAAAAAATTCAAATAAACAATATTAAATGCATCACTTAGAACCTTATTGTCACAATGTACCTAAGCTAGGTAAAATTAACAATAATAGAAATATTGTAATGCAAAAAGTATAATCAAACACAAATAAGTAGTCGAACTCAAATCATCGGAAAAAAGATTTGAACTTCACATGAACAAAAAAACAAAAGTATAGACAAACAGAGGCAAAGGCGTTGTGTGAAGACATTCCTGTGATGTTCCGCGCTCTTTTTTAAATAAATCTGTAAGACACTTCCAGTATTCAATTATATCGCCAGGCATCACTTTCTTAAACCCATAGCTAGAGACAAAAATAATCCAGTATTCAATTATATCACCAGGCATCACTTTCTTAAAACCATAGCTAGAGACAAAAACAATCCAGTATTCAATTATATCATCAGGCATCACTTTCTTAAACCCATAGCTAGAGACAAAAATAATCCAGTATTCAATTATATCACCAGGCATCACTTTCTTAAAACCATAGCTAGAGACAAAAACAATCCAGTATTCAATTATATCATCAGGCATCACTTTCTTAAACCCATAGCTAGAGACAAAAATAATCCAGTATTCAATTATATCACCAGGCATCACTTTCTTAAAACCATAGCTAGAGACAAAAATAATCCAGTATTCAATTATATCACCAGGCATCACTTTCTTCAACCCATAGCTAGAGACAAAAATAATCCAGTATTCAATTATATCACCAGGCATCACTTTCTTAAAACCATAGCTAGAGACAAAAATAATCCAGTATTCAATTATATCACCAGGCATCACTTTCTTAAAACCATAGCTAGAGACAAAAACAATTCTGTGTGTACAAAATGTTATTTATAGCTGAATCTTTTGGGCAAATAATTTTACATTAGTGAAAGCAATGTGTGGTGGGGATAGAGTAAAACTTACTGTAATGGGATGGTGAGATAAAATAAAACTTACTGTAATGGGATGGTGAGATAGAGTAAAACTTACTGTAATGGGATGGTGAGATAAAATAAAACTTACTGTAATGGGATGGTGAGATAAAATAAAACTTACTGTAATGGGATGGTGAGATAGAGTAAAACTTACTGTAATGGAATGGTGAGATAAAATAAAACTTACAGTAATGGGATGGTGAGATAAAATAAAACTTACTGTAATGGGATGGTGAGATAGAGTAAAACTTACTGTAATGGGATGGTGAGATAGAGTAAAACTTACTGTAATGGGATGGTGAGATAAAATAAAACTTACTGTAATGGGATGGCTTCTGGCAGCCAACCTGTCAAGCAATGTATGGCTGTCATGTCCCCAAACTCCTGGCTAGGGTTACCACCAGAGTAGCTAAAAGAAAAAGTCCAGGGAGGGGAAATGTTATACACACCAAAAATGAGGTTTTATAAATACATGAAGAAAATTTTAAGCTAGTCAAAATAAATTGTTGTCATTCCATACAATACTAATTGTTTATAAATATGTATTTAAATTAACACCATTGTAAGTGCGTTGTTAAATAAATATGTATTAAAATGAATACCATAAAATGTGCATTTTTACAAAAAATATTAAAAGTACTATTGTTACGTTACAAGAAGGATATGTCATCTTAAGTAGTTTGCTACAGATGCTATTGTATAGCAATTATACGACCATTAACTGAACATAATTGAATGACCAGCTAGCACAGAACTAAATCCTCAGTAAGTCCACCTAATTAGCTGAACAGTAAGGCGACATAATGAAATAACCACTGACTCCACATAATTAAATGACCATGATTTACATTTTAAAATCACAAGACTGAGCAGTAGTGTTTGACAGTTAGCTCAAACTTCTTCCTAATCTCAAATCCTAATTAAGTTAAACAATATCTCAGTTAATTAGCATAGGGATTTAGGAATTTTAGAAGATCTAAGATCAAATTCTAATGTGACCAGTTGTTGCCCCTAGAATCTTACAATAATCTTATATTTTGCTGCATGACTACTACTTAATGTTCTACTCACTCAAGGGAAGCAACTTTAATCAATGCTTTAGTTAACAGCATAGGCCACAGCTCGTGGCTCAATGCACTGGCAGGCAGCAGCAACCTGTCTTCTTCATCAAAGGGCATCAAATCATCAATTATGATTTTTCTCCATACACCCTGAAATAACATCAAATCATCAATTATGATTTTTCTCCATACACCCTGAAATAACATCAAATCATCAATTATAATTTTTCTCCATATACCCTGAAATAACATATGTTGAGTCATTAAAATGTCCCAATACACCTTGCTACAAATTCAAATTATCTAAACTTTAATCTATAAACTCTACACAAGCATCAAATTAACAATCACAACATTTCTCCATAATGCCCAATTAAGTTTGACAACATATATTAATTACGTACTTTACCATCCAATAAAGCTTGACCACATATTTTAAATAAAACATTACCATCCAATAAAGCTTGACCACATATTTTAAATAAAACATTACCATCCAATAAAGCTTGACCACATATTTTAAATAAAACATTACCATCCAATAAAGCTTGACCACATATTTCCCGTAGTTGTTGTAGAGGGGGAGGTGAGCACCTTTTCCAGCCTTGCAGAGGGCGTAGATGTGATCCCAGGGTCTCCAGGTGTGGGAGGGGTCATCTCCTGGCACCAGCGCATCTAGGATGGTCTCTGATGATACTTTAACTGCGCTCATGTCCCAGAGAGCAACAATTTGGCTCATGCAATGGCGCAGAAACTGGTAACAGAAATCACATTAAATGTAGACCGCCATTTGATGCATTTCTGTACTGATATCTGTCTTTATTACAAAGGGGTACACAACAGAGAAATATGATAAATATATAAAATTACGTGGACAAAAGATTTTAAAGTGTTGAACAATAACATTGAAACTAAATTCATAATTAACAAAATAATTCATAAATTAGATATCTTAACCTAATTGACATACTTCATTAAGTATCTGCAGCTAGCTAACTATCACAGACAATGATCCAATCAAACCCAATTAAAGAAAATCTTCCTAGAAACTCTCAGTTGCTGTTAAAATAGAATATGACTGTTCTGTTTTTCTAGTTATTGTCAAGTTGTTTTTATGTGCTCTGCCAATCATTCATCACTAGGTGCCACAAACCAGGGTGAGTTTGGCATAAATTTAAACAAAAACAAAAACCACTGACCTCGCAATTATCAATGTGTTCATTGCTAGAGACCAGATCAATGCCATCAACGATATGATCCACATCCACAACAACAGGGACCTGTAAAAAATATTTCATCTTTTACATTCCACAACAACAGGGACCTGTAAAAAATATTTCATCTTTTACATTCCACAACAACAGGGACCTGTAAAAAATATTTCATCTTTTACACTCCACAACAACAGGGACCTGTAAAAAATATTTCATCTTTTACATTCCACAACAACTGGGATCTGTAAAAAATATTTCATCTTTTACATTCCACAACAACAGGGACCTGTCAAAAATATTTCATCTTTTATATTCCACAACAACAGGGACCTGTAAAAAATATTTCATCTTTTTACATTCCACATCAACAACAACAGGGACCTGTAAAAAATATTTCATCTTTTACATTCCACATCAACAACAACAGGGACCTGTAAAAAATATTTCATCTTTTACATTCCACAACAACAGGGACCTGTAAAAAATATTTCATCTTTTACACTCCACAACAACAGGGACCTGTAAAAAATATTTCATCTTTTACATTCCACAACAACAGGGACCTGTAAAAAATATTTCATCTTTTACATTCCACAACAACAGGGACCTGTAAAAAATATTTCATCTTTTACACTCCACAACAACAGGGACCTGTAAAAAATATTTCATCTTTTACATTCCACAACAACTGGGATCTGTAAAAAATATTTCATCTTTTACATTCCACATCAACAACAACAGGGACCTGTAAAAAATATTTCATCTTTTACATTCCACAACAACAGGGACCTGTAAAAAATATTTCATCTTTTACACTCCACAACAACAGGGACCTGTAAAAAATATTTCATCTTTTACATTCCACAACAACAGGGACCTGTAAAAAATATTTCATCTTTTACACTCCGCAACAACTGGGACCTGTAAAAAATATTTCATCTTTTACATTCCACAACAACAGGGACCTGTAAAAAATATTTCATCTTTTACACTCCACAACAACATGGATCTGTAAAAAATATTTCATCTTTTACATTCCACAACAACAGGGACCTGTAAAAAATATTTCATCTTTTACACTCTGCAACAACTGGGACCTGTAAAAAATATTTCATCTTTTACATTCCACAACAACAGGGACCTGTAAAAAATATTTCATCTTTTACACTCCACAACAACAGGGACCTGTAAAAAATATTTCACCTTTTACATTCCACAACAACAGGGACCTGTAAAAAATATTTCATCTTTTACACTCTACAACAACAGGGACCTGTAAAAAATATTTCACCTTTTACATTCCACAACAACAGGGACCTGTAAAAATATTTCACCTTTAACATTACACAACAATTGGGACCCGTAAAAGTATTTCATCTTTTACATTCCACAACAACAGGGACCTGTAAAAAATATTTCATCTTTTACATTCCACAACAAACACTCAAATATAGATAAGGCAAGAAAAAACACCAAAGATGAGGCTTAGTTGAAGGATGAAAATTATATGGTGAATTTTTTAATAGACAATATATATTTTAAAAATTTCTGTTTGCTAATTGAAAAAATGTCATGTAATCAGTGTCAGGTTATATGTTTAGTGAATGGTAAAGCTGAGCAATATGTTACTGGTGATGCTTCACTTACCCTGTCTGTAATAAATTCTGCTGGTCGCTTCCAGACATCGACTTTTAGGGAGGGTGGCATTTCAATTTTCCCATCAGGATCCTCAAAAAGGTTGGAATAAGGCTAAAGATTTGACAAAACAATTCAGACATGTGCCTTACAGTTTTAAAAACTAAAGCATTTTTATAACTATTTTAGGGCATAACAGAGTAAACAAATTGTGCTCTATCAAATTTTAATTACATATCCCTTTACAATTTAATTAACAATTTAATTTAAAACATTTCTCCAAATTTATCTATAAAAAACTGTTTGCAGTTAAAAATAAGTAGTTTTAAAAGTAATTGCATTTCATTCTTAATTTCAAAACAAAATGATACAGTAAAACATTGCAGAGGCTAGAAACAATATTCACCACAATTGGAGATTTTCCTTTCTTGTCTTCACGCTTTGCTGCCTCCTACACATGAAGATACAGTATAAGGATTAATAAACAGCACCATTATTATTACAAAGCAAGGCTTAACAACAGCACCATTATTATCACAGTACAAGGCTTAACAAAACAGCACCATTAATATTGAAGCACAAGGCTCAATTAACAAAATAGCACCAATATTATCACAGACATCAAGACACATTACATGGCTTAACAAAACAGCACCAGCACCATTATTATCACAGTACTAGTGAATAAAAAGTAAACAGTATCACACATATAGAAGTTAATCATCAGTGAACAAAATCACACTCTCAAGTGTTGAAAACTGCTAGTACTCTTTGATAATTTTTTATGAGACTTAACATTTACCAAATTTGTATTTGTAGTATTCAGAGATAGAAACAGGCTTTGCCCAACTGTAGGCCTATTTTTAAACAATAATCTGAATTTTAGGATTTCTAACTGTATGTTTTTAATTTTAAAGTATTATGCATATTATCACTAACATTACTTTTATACATTAATATATGTTGTTATGTAAATTTAAGCAATGTTGGGGAATATGGAAAAAACAAATTGGTAACTAAAAAAACAAAGATTTTTTTTTAGAATTTAACACTATGGATATTTTCAATGTTGAGCAATAATTAATTGATTTTTCTACAAATAGAAATGTAACTGATCACATTAACACAAAGAAAAGAAAACTTTCTGAGAACAAATCAATATTTTTTTCAATTTCATGGAAATATAATAGCAAATAAAAATAGAAATGTAATTTTATTCTCCTAATCTTATATTCATTCTTCTAATTTATTAGAAGAAAAATTTTCTTCAAAGTTAAAAGTGGGATTTCTTTTTTTTAAAATAAGGTTACAAAACCTTTGTAAATAAAAAAAAAGGGTAGAAAATTATTGTAAAACCACTTTTTAAAATTATGCCAAGGACAATATTTTCAACAAGTTATCCTCATACACAAAACTTTTAGCATTAAATAAAAATATTTGTTTTAAACTTTTCTGCATTTGTTTTTAATTTTTTATTTCAAATATGAAATCTAATGGATAAATTAAATGAAAATGTTATTTCAATAATGCTAAAGACTGGACATCATTTCAGCTGAGTTCACATATAACATGCATCAAGCACAGAAATAGCACCTCAATTGTTAAATATGTGAGTATAAGTTTTTTTTTTTTTAAATCATGCGGTTAATATAAGTGTGTTTGACATAACAGGATATGTTAAACACAAAATAAGGTTGTTAATCTATCACCGCAACCTGTGAAATAAATTATTTCTCAAACACGGAAAAAAAACATGCTGTTGTTCATGCATAATTCTCATACATTGAAACACGAGATAAGATTTGAGAAAAGTTTTATGACACAGGTAGTGCAGAAAATATGTAATATATTGCTGGAATGTATTAGCAAATTTTTCACTTACCACAGTCTAAAAATTAGAAACAAAAGTACAGAATATTACTTAAAACTTGTAAAGAAACTAAAAATGTGCAAATGTTTTGATTGTGCTGTAGATAAACTCTTTAAGATCAAACCATTGCTAAAAGTGAACATGTATTGGTTGTTTTTGTTTTCTTGCAATATATTTCTGCTGTGTAACCGGCTGAACATAAACAAGGTTTTGGTGAAAAATTATAATTAAATGACAAAACTTCAAATTGTTTCAAAGTGATATAAAACATAGTAAATAATAAGTAAGAATGTAAAACAACTAAATTCCTTTAAAAATTCACTCACCACATCTTTCTAGAATAAAGTATAAATTTTGTTGTTAAGAATTATTTTAAATCTTTACAAAATATGACAGATCATCCTTATATTGTTTCATTAACATTATCTTTATTAACTAATTTAGATTTTACCATTTTTAGTAGGCCTATTATGGATATATCAAAATTTTACATAGTCGAAATATCACATGAAGTCATCTAAGCACTTCTTGTGTCTTTTAGGATGGTCTCACTAGTATGTTTTCATTATTGCGACTAGTATGTTTTCATTATTGCGACTAGTATGTTTTCATTATTGCGACTAGTATGTTTTCATTATTGTGACTAGTATGTACACGTTTTCATAATAGCATTATCTTGGGTTTATTAGTGATCCACTTACAAGCTTTCAGTTTTGATGTAATCCAAGTTTGTATCTAACCAAGATCATACACACCAAACAACCTATGCATGGATACAACTCACCCATTTCTCAGCATTGATATCAGCATCATTGAACTCTGGCCAGATGACATACTTGGGTTTCCTGGACTCCTGGACTGCACTGTTCAGCTGGGAGGTGGTACTGGTCATTGAGGATAAGAAAATAAGCTTAAGTCAGGCTTGTACTTCATCAATTTCATTTTCATTTAACTGGGCAAAAAGGTACCCAGTCTTCAATATGGTCATTTAAAGGTAAATATGTTTATAGAATATATCTGCAAACATATTAACATCTCATACAATGCGGCAGTAGTGAATATGATCGCTAAGTCCAGAGGTTGGACCCTTTGATGGAAAAAAGCTGTAAAGCTAAACTGCTCCCACAAAGCCAACAGATCTATTAGATTCAGTACAGCAGCAGTAAATAAACAAAAGATACCCCCCCCCCCCCCCGCATTCAAGTAAATTGAAAACAGACCTACATCAGGTCATTTTTTTTCTAAGTTCACACAGGCTTATTGACTTAGATCTAGATCTACTACCACACATGCTAGATAGATAGATCTAGCAGTAAAAACAATTAGGCCTTAGGTATTGAATAAAACATTTAAACTTTATGTCAACATTGAATTGCTAAGAAGACGAAAAGACGAGAAGGCAAGCAAGTTGATGAAAACAAAGCGACAAAGCAAATTTGAACACCATGACCTAGTTTTCCTTTTTTTTTTGCTTACAATGTGTACAATAAAATTTATGGCAGCCTATCAAATAGCAAGAAGCCATTGTTTATGTCGCCATTACACGTGAAAACCAAATTGTTTTTGCTTTTTTTTATTATTTAGTTACCGAAAATGTTAAAATCATCAAAAACATCCCATCTTTACTTTAGTAAAGTCCGAAAACAAACAGTCATGCAGGATTTTATAACCATATTAATTGAAACTATGCCGTGCATGATTTTTAAATTACTTAATGGGCCTCTCAAATACTTTCTCGCTCGCGTCCATTAATGCTTGTTAATTTTAATTTGATTTTAGATCTAGATTCTAGAATTAGACTCTTTGTCGTCTTTGAGACTTATTTGAGAGTTCTAGATCTTTAATCTTAGATCTAGATCTAGTTGTAATGTGCAGTAGATCTTATATTATATTCTTAGTAAGTAAATAATAAATACTAAAAAATTAGCTAAGTTTAGCCTACTAGATCTAGATCTAAATCCTCTCAAAATGTTAGTGAAATGAAAAAAGGTAAAATTTTGTATTTGTAAAAGTAAAAGTAAAAAGGTATTGAAATACATTGAGATAGCCTAAATATAGGGCCTAATAATATTATTATTAAGGCATAGGCCTATGCCTAATTAATAACTACCTAGGCTATATCTAGTTTGTAGTCCTAATTAGTGTAATTAATTAATAATTAATAATAACAAAACTGTCAACAAAAAAGCGGCCATGTTGTAACCAAGAAGCTTTCAGGTTATTTTTTTTTATAAACAACCCAACAAGAGGTTGAATAAACTTAACTTACTCTCTTTGTGTGGCTGGTGTAGTGCGTCCGGGAATATTTCTTTTAGATCCTTTTGAAGCCATCAATTATTTAATACGTTTTATGTACACTTTACAACACCGTTAGAAATAAAAACATTTTACGAAATAAACATCCACTCATTAAACTTACAGACCGTTGCCATGTTATGAATGAAAAAAATCGGAGGTCATAGGTAACGAAGCATGCGCATGGGCAAATCAACACACAATTTGCTTTCGAAATTTTGCTAGATCTAGATTTAAAATAATTATAAATAGGTATCCGAAAAGCATATATTATTTTTAAGTAGCTAGGCTTTGATATAAAAGTAATTCATATTTTAGGTGACCTATTATATTTTTGTTACCTTTACTAAATCATGCACGCTGTATTAGGCTTAAAAGAAGGATCGTCCAAAAACATCACACTTTTAGCAAGGGGAGGGGGGGGGGGGGGGGGGAAGGGAGTGGGTTCGGACAAGGGGAGTAGGGCCGAGGGGGGAAATGGGTTTAGAAAGTGTGACAACAAACTTGTACATTTCAGAAAATTAGGTGAAATCGGAAATTTAGCCGTTGTTTCGCGTTATAAAATTATTTTTTTAATTTATATTAAAAAATGATCTGTATAATAATAGCTTACTCAATGTTGGTTAAGCTCTGGACATATTTTAGAAAATAACAGCCAGAGTAGGAGGAATTTCAAGTGCCCCACCTCCCCTCACCCCCTGAAGTTTTACGTGCCTCCCACTTTTGAAAAATGTAAGAATAAAACGTTTTTTGAGACGATGATGGATAGGGAATTCTGAATCTATATTTAAACATAAACAAAAAAGCAGTACAAATGAGCAACATTTCTAATCGAGCGCTGTATCGTGCCATACCGCTGTATCTGGCGACAAGGTTACATCATTACATAGTACATCAGTATCTGTAGATTAAATCGGCACATAAGGTAATATAAACACTGTGCACATACATGTGACATGAGCACAAGTAGGTGAAATCAGAACTTATAGGTGCTATCTGTACAGGTGATATCAGTAGTTAACATAAGCAAATACAGGAGGCACCAGGTGATATCAGCAATAATGTAATAGCATTAAACACATACAGATGAGACCAGCACATACACATAACGTCACTACATTCAGGTGTCATCAGCACATACAGGAAACATCAGTGCATACATATAACATCAGTACATACAGGCGATATTAGTACTTTTACGTGACGTAAGCAAATACAGGTGACATCAGTGCTTATATGGGTTATCTGTAATACTGTAATCGCATTTAACACATACATGTCACCAGTACATACAGGTAACATAAGCACATACAGGTGCTATCAGTACAGGTAATGCTAGTAGTTGACATAAGCAAATACAGTAGACATCAGAACATACAAGTAACATCAACACAAACAGGTAACTTGAGCACATACAGGTAACATCAGCATGTACAGGTCACATCAGCACATACAGGTAACATCAGCACTTACAGGTAACATCTGGACATACAGGTAACATCAGGACATACAGGTAACATCCGCACATACAGGTAACATCCACACATACAGGTAACATCATACAGGTAACATCAGCATATACAGGTAACATCATACAGGTAACATCAGCATATACAGGTAACATCAGCACATACATGTAACATCATCACATACAGGTAACGTCAGCACTATAGAGGTAACATCAACACATACAAGTAACATCACATACAGGCAACATCAGCACATACAGGTAACATCACATACAGGTAACATCACAAGCAGGTAACATCACATACAGGTAACATCAGCATATCCAGGTAACATCATACAGGTAACATCAGCACATAAGGTAATATCAGCATATACAGGTAACATCACATGCAGGTAACATCAGCATATACAGGTAACGTCATACAGGTAACATCATCACATACAGGTAACATCATACAGGTAACATCAGCACATACAGGTAACATCAGCACATACAGGTAACATCCACACATACAGGTAACATCATACAGGCAACATCAGCATATGCAGGTAACATCAGCACATACAGGTAACATCAGCACATACAGGTAAAATCATACAGGTAACATCAGCACATACAGGTAACTTCAGCACATTCGGGTAACATCAGCACATACAGGTAACATCAACACATCAAGGTAACATAAGCACATACAGGTAACATCAACACATACAGGTTACATCAGCACATACAGGTAACATCAACACATCAAGGTAACATAAGTACATACAGGTAACATCAGCACATTCGGGTAACATCAGCACATACAGGTAACATCATGACATACAGGTAACAGCATTTACAGGTAACATCAACACATACCAGTGACATGTACGGAGCAAAGAGTTTAGAGAAGACAAAGACCATGATCGATAAAGACCAGATCATAACTGGCCGATACCCTAGCAGGGATGACGGATGTGAACAGATGACGTCAGCCGTAAAAATAACAGTTGACATCAAAACGATCTTTAACAATGAGGTTTATATTTTAAGGGTTATATTTTAAGGCCAGAGTTTTTCCTATTAATAGCGTTAGTCGAGGTGAGATTTGGGATTGTATGCTTGTGCTAGAGTTAAAACCTGCTATTTGATACATTCGATTAATGTGTCAATCATTGTCTCGAATCAACAAAGATCACCACGCAATGTCTGAAATAACTAAAGTCTCAACCACTGTACATCTCAGGTAAAGTCGTCACCTGTTTTACCTTTAACAGTCTGATTGTTGTAGTTAAAATACTTATATTTACCATGAGCTAACAGCCTAAGTTAGAAGGCATACATTAAATATGGCGTATCAGCCGAGTGGGGAGGTGTAGACCAGAATATACAGTAGGGATGTCTTCTTTAATTAATCAAGATAAAAGAAAACACAAACGGTTTGACAATTAATGCGTCATGGGGTGGGGGGGGGGGGGCTTTTATTACTTTCCCAAAGCACATTAACTCATAAAAATGTTGGCTTTGCACATTTTGCTTTCTTTTATTTTTTAAATAATTTTCTTAAATTTTTGCTGGAGGCGCATGGGATCAGAGTTTCTTCCAGGCATCTCTTCGGGGGGGGGGGGAGGGGGGGCAGAGCCCCCCGAAGAGTCTACCGCCCCCCACCCCCCGAACGAGATGGAATTTATATATTAAACATACACTTTTACTAGTGTCCGCCCCCCCTCCGAAAAATGTTGACCGCCCCCCCCCCCTGAATATATCAAGTGCCCCCCCCCCGGAGAAAAAAGTCTGGAAGAAACACTGCATGGGATAAGTTGTGAATGTGAGAAACATAGCATTTTGTTTAAAGATTAAATGTTGAGCTAATATTTGGTCTAGTGGTATTATACTTTGAGATTTTAAAACATCTATGATTACAAGTGTTGCCTACGGTAAATTAATGAATGAATACACAGGCAAATGTGCATCAGCTATGGAAAACACTCTCAGCATTTTAAAAGTTGTCACGTGTATGTATCCAAAGCTGGAATAGTTAAACATAACCCTACCCTGATCAAATCCCTAACCAGTCCAAGTGTTGTGTGGTTCTGACACAATCTGTGTAAGAACCGACACGTTGGATGAAACTCCTAGGTTCCCTAGAATCCCACCCCCAGCGACCAGAAGCTACTCACGTGACGCTCTCCCTCCTGCCGGGCCCGCCCGTGGGTGACTGGCTCAAGCTCTGCCACGGGACCCCCTCAAAGTGGACGGTGTCCACTAGGGAGTGTCGCCGCCCCTGGACAGACTGTCGTCTGACGTGAAGGCTGGAGGCTATGACGGATTCGTCGTTACTTCCCTTTCTAACACTTATACTGGATCGTTTCATGCTTTACAAGTTGTTCTATTCAACACTTATACTGGATCGTTTCATGCTTTACAAGTTGTTCTATTCAACACTTATACTGGATCGTTTCATGCTTAACACTTTGTTGGTTCTATCAAACTCTTATACTGGATCGTTTCATACTTTACACTTTGTTTATTCTATTAAACACTTAAACTGGAATGCTTCATTTTCTAAACATTTCTTTTTTTCGATTAAACACCTATACTGAAGGTTTCGTACCTTGAACTTTGTTGTTCAATTAATAAACACTTATACTGGAATGTTTCAAACTTTACAATTTTTCTTCGATTAAACACAGATCCACACTGGATCACTTCATACTATCAATATTGTTTTCCGATTTTTAAAAATAATGAAGACCTATTATTTATTTTTTCTCCGTTGACTTATAAACATTCAGCTCTTCCAAGGATAAATTTTAAACTTTAACATCAGTCACAAAGAAAAAAATGGCTATTAATTTGCCAAAATGAGTAAAATTATTAAAAACGGATGACAGTTTTGAAATTGGCGAACACTAACTGAATACAGATCTATAATAATCACTTTTTCTAGACACGAAATTTAACTAAATATCCCAGTAAAATCAGAAGGTACACATAAAAACTCAAACTTGCACACAGCGTGATGACGTCTACACGACACAAATAAACACGAAATGGTTCTTGTAATGGCCCGCGCTGGTCGGTCCCCCAGAAAGAAATTCCAGAAATGAAGCGCCAAGACAAAAGCGGGCTCTAATTGGAAACAATCATTCCAACAAACAGACGTCGGTCGAAGGGACGGAATCGACTATCGGCAATCACGTGATCGGGTATTGTATTCAGAGGGCTGTCGGTGTCGCCATTCTCTGGCTCACTTCTAGAGAAGTGTTGTGTGAGGGGGTGAGTGGGGGGGGGGGGGGGTGGGGGGGGGGGGTATTCGGTGCAATCTTTAAGTGCTGTCTCTTACCTCCGATCCATAGCGTAATATCGGAAATGGAAGCTGAGATCGATACCGCCCATTAAACATTACTTTACAATTCTTCTGAATTTGCCTGATTTAAATCAACAAGGGTATTATGAACTACTCGCATTGAACACATTGACCATATATTAATATATATATATATATATATATATAATATAAATTATATATATATATATAGGCCTATAGATAAAAATATATATAGGCCCTATATATACGTATATATATATATATATATATATATATATATATATATATATATATATATATATATATATATATATATATATATATATAAATATATATCTATATATACGTATATATAGGGCCTATATATATTTTTATCTATAGGCCTATATATATATATATATATATATATATATATATATATATATATATATATATATATATATATATATATATATATGTGACCTAGGCTACTCGCAGCGCCAAATGTGACCCTGTCCGCAGCGCCAAATGTAACGAGACTATTTGCCTGTAGCGCCAAATGTTAACGAGTTCTGCTCGACAACGCCAAATGTTACCGAGTCTAACCACTCATTCTACACAACATGGACCACAGTATAGATACTCGAAGATGCAGGTTCGCTATTGATCCTTTTATTACATGAATCAAAGAAATGCTTCACAATAATATACTGAATCAAAAGGAATGCTTCACAATAATAGTTTGAATCAACTGACTCCCAACAGTCCTCACTAGTCTTCATATAACTGAATACACATGTCTATAGTCCTTCTTAACACAATACGGCTAACCCGTTCTATAACCAACTTGAATACTGCCACACAGACTGACTGATCGAGAGGGAGCGAGAGAGAGAGCGAGCTCAGCCGTCGCCTTCCTTATATCCCCTTAGTATATCCGTAATCGTATTCGGTTCTCTCATAGATATGTTCCATCCGAATATCTCGCCTTCCGATTACTACGCAGTTGTCTCATCAGTCCGATTAATATAACACCTGCATCCTGTCACATCAAAGTTGACAGACCGTATTGCGTTCTTATCATATCGCTTCCCAAAATACTACGCCTTGGCTTTATGATCGTTATCAGTCTACCATCTGCACTATTGCATCAGACTGTAATACGTTGTTAACCATAGTATGGTAACTACACCTAGTTACATCCACCGCCGCCTTTTTTTTTTTGTGTGTTTTCAACCACAAACAACGCTTGGTAGGTGCACTCCTTCAAAGTCAAAAGCACCGCCGTAAAAAAAATGTATTGTTCCACTCACTGTCAATGTCGCCACATTCGTATAAGATTGACAGTTATCCCTATTTCACATATCAAATGTGTCTACATCATCCTCCTCAGACACAAAACAGTTCTAGAATTCACATCCACCTTTTTTCGTTTGGTGCTTTCACCAGTTCCCTTTTATAACTTTTTGAACAGTCTGTTCTCATACCAGCGCGACCATGAAAGAATTGATGGTTGCTGACGAAAAATTTCGTATTCTTTCTGTTTCTCAAACTTCTCCGCGGACCACTTATCTGATGGTCTACTGTCTCTCTGTTTCTGGGAGGAACGGGATCCTCTTCGTTGCCGTTATCCTCCACTTGTGTCTCGCTGTTGTTCTGTTGATGGTGATATGGTTCCGGGATGGGTATGTGAATTTCCGTTATAGTTTCCGGTTCCCTAATTGTCTTGGGTTTCCTTGTGTGTAACTGCTCTTCTTGACTATGACAATATTTCTTTAATTGAGCAATATTCGCCCACCGATCCGGTTTGGCGTGATCGATGGGTCTTATCTTAAAGGGGCCACCTGCTACTTTAGGCATCTCCACGACTTGCCATATCTCCTGTCCCCAGAGATCGTGGATTTTGTTTCTGCCTAACGGGTGGCTACGCAGTAATACCCTGTCGTTCAGTTTGAGTGGCGGGTCCTTTGTCTGTACCGGCGGTTCCCTTCGCCGTGCTTCATGTTCTAGTCTTTCCTGTACTACCCTGTACATTTCTCTAATTCGTCTCATATGTTCATTCACATATTCCAGTGCAGTGTATGAGCCAGTCATACTCTCCTTTTTTCCTAGGAACAAGTCAAGAGGGAGTCGAGCCTCCCGTCCGAACAGCAACATGTGTGGCGAAAAGCCGGTTGTGGCATGGGGGGTGCAGTTGTATAGATATACCAACTCTGGGAGAAAATCAGGCCAACGTTTTTTCTGTTCAGGTTCTAGAGTACGCAGCAAATCATGCATGCTGCGGTTGAACCGCTCGCACTGTCCGTTTCCTTTCGGATTAAATGTGGTTGTTCTAGATTTGTTGATCCCGTAGTGGCTGCACAGTTGGTTAATTACTTCTGACTCGAAGGCCCTTCCTTGGTCAGAGTGTAATTGTCTTGGTATGCCATATTTGATGAACCAATGTTCTATTAAGACCTTTGCCACTGTTTTGGCAGTCTGATCTCGTGTGGGCACCGCCACAGTCCATTTGGTGAATACATCAGTCATTACCAACACATGTTCCGTCCCATCCGATGATTGCTCCAACGACGTAAAGTCCATAGCCACAATCTCTAGTGGTTTTGTCGCTAGTAGGTGTCCTGATGGCTGTCTCATTTTGACAACTGGCATTTTCGCATGCTGACACCTCACACAAGCCTCACAATGGCGTTTGACCTCCATTTCCATATTGGGCCAGTAACACCTCTGTCGTAATATTTTGTGCGTCCTGTCCTGACCCTGGTGTCCTGCCCTGTCATGTGCCAACCTTAGCACTTCTTCTCGTAATTGTCCAGGCACCACCACCTGGTGTATTGTCCCATCAATTTGGTCATGAATTCTCCGCATGAGAACACCATCCTTTATACTGAGACGGTCCCACTGACTCAGTATTTTCTTTGTTTCTCGACCAAATTGTTCTCTTTCCCTTCTTCCTGGGAATTTTTTTTCCTGGACGTGTTTCAACAGCGGCTGTAAGCCACTATCCGTTCTCTGGGCATCTCTTATCTCTTTGTGATTAAGGCAATTAAAATCACTAATGTCCATATGTCCGGGCTCTGTGGAAATGTGCTCCACCCCGGTCTGTCCGTTCTGCATCACTTGCACCCCGTGAGGGATATCTGTTGACGCTCTGACCTCACATATTCCTGTCAGCGTTTCTTCCTCCTCGCCCGGTCTCTCGTAAGGATTCCTTGATAAGGCGTCCGCATTGCCATTGGACCGCCCCGGGCGATATTTTATCTCTAGGTCAAAGAGTGCCAATTCTGCTGCCCATCGCTGTTCGATGGATCCCAACTTTGCTGTCTTTAGGTGACTCAAAGGGTTATTGTCAGTGTATACCACACATTTAGCACCTAATAAATAGTCCCTGAATTTTTCAGTCACAGCCCATTTTAATGTCAAAAGTTCTAGTTTCATGGCGCTGTAATTTGTCATGTTCTTCTCTGATTCCTTCAGAGCTCGACTGGCATACGCAATAACCCTGAAACCTTGCTTTTTTTGTTGTGATAGCACAGCTCCCAGACCTTTCGAGCTGGCGTCAATTTCTAGCCGAAATGGTTTGTCAAATTCCGCGTATCCCAATATCGGCGTCTCTGTCAAAGCCTTTTTCAAGAGCTTAAACGAGTTCAGGCATTCCTCAGTCCATAATTCACCTATCCTTTGTGTTTTACCTTTCTTTTTCTCCTTACTGTGTTTCTTTGTCATTTTGTTTACCAAGTCATGCAATGGTGCGGCAATTTTTGCAAAACCAGGTACAAATTTTCTATAATAGGAAGCAAAGCCCAAGAATGATCTGACCTCTACTGTAGTTGTTGGCTGTTTCCATTCTTTAACAGCTGCAATTTTATCTGGGTCAGTGGCGATGCCATCCGACGAAATCACATAACCCAAAAAATGTACCGATTTCAGACCGAAGCAGCATTTGTCTGGGTTCAGCTTTACTCCTATCTCCCTAAGACGGAGAAACACTTGTTCTAATCTTTTTAGATGGTCCTCCCAAGTTTTTGAGTAAACTAGTATATCATCCAAGTACACCAGCATTATTTGAAATAGAAAGT